TTACCAATTTCTTCTTTTCTCTAATAAATTAATAAACTCGATTCAATGAATTAACCATCTAAAGATCAGTATATTACCTGCTTTCATTGCTAATCCATGGACCCAATGCATTCCCAATTTCTACTCCCATTCTACCTCGACCAATACACAATTTCAATTCCTCTTCTTTTCTCCTCAGTCCAGCCTTCCTCTTCTCAATCTCGTCTCATCCCTTCCCTCCAATTCCTCTTGTTGAATCTATTTTTGATTAATCCGAGGACTACCGATGTGGGTATTGGCCGATTAGAGATGAAATATGATGATGAAACAAAGGATATTTCTAGACTTACGAGGGGTCTTGGTGGTGATGTGACCGGTTGGCGGTATAATAGCCAAAAGAAGGATAGCAACGGTGGTTTATGATGGTGGCTACCGGCAGTGGAAAGAAAGTCCGTGGAAGGAGAAAATTGGGGCTGAAGAAAGTGGAAGTATGGTGAATGACGGGAATGATAGTGTAAGGTGAGTCAAAGTATTCTCAAGCTGTGTTGTCAATTTTTTAGTGTGTGCGAGTGCGTCGTCATCCCGAGGAGAGGGAAGAAAACGGTGGGGAGGGTTTCATAATTTTCTTTTCTTTATGCAACCTTTAAGCTTCTAAGTTTAGTTAAATTGATCCCTCATTTTATTTTCTACAACATTATAATGAAAATTTATTAATGTATTTGATTTCAGTTTTCCATTATCTATTTATTATGTACATTTTTAAGTATTATTATCAACTTGAGGTATGTTATCATTGATTTATAGTACTATATAACTACTAGCTACTACCGGTAAATATTAAGTTAGGTGCTTACTTGTAATTTACGTTCAAATACAGAGGTCTCTAGATTGGTGCCTCACAGTAATTGTTGTTTTTTTTTTTTTTTTAAGATGAAATCGGAGGATTTTTTATTTTTAAGATGTCAAAATTATGAAATTTATAAGTGTTATATATATATATATATATATCCATAAGTAGTAGTTTGTTTTTCATCTAAAATGCGATGACTTGTTCAACAATTATATATATATATATATGTATATATATATTATTATTATTAGAGAATTCATTAGAAAATGTTTCATAGGATTTTCTCCTATGTAACACTCTAAAAGTAACTTTTATTTCCTCTCTTAATATAGGTTATTTCAGTATAGGTTATTGATAATACATAATATATTTATTTGATAATTTTTTTCTAAAAAAAGAATAATGGATGGTCAAGCCCCTAAACATTAGAAGCTGGTACCCTTCCAATACGAGGAGGAGGATGAGGAGAATGCAATCCGCATGTATCATGTGCACAGGCTGTCCACTGGTCAGCACAGCCTTTTAAGCATGCGCGCTTGTCATTGCCATCACTTCTACAATCATAACTTTCACACAAAAACTTCAAATAATCGCAAATACTGCCTATGCAGCTTTTAATCCTCCATTCATCATAGCTCTCAGATTTTGCATTAAGCGAAGTACTCGTCAGCACAAATACAACAAACAACATGGTTGCAACAATTTTCGGAGCCATATTCTGATGACTCAGTGATGAAGATGAAGAGAAGGCTTAGTGAGAAAAGGTGAAGAATTGGGCAAAAAAGTTAGGGTTGACGTCAAATAAGGACTTCTGTTTAAATTCCCCTTTGCAAAAGGCTGCAACTTAATTACTTTTCGCACTCCTTTGTGATCTTACGCCTATGGATATATATAGCTTGTTAACCACACGGCTCCAACCAAGTTTTTTTAATTAATGAACTTTTACGTTTTCCATTTCATCCATAATGTTTGCGCTGGACAAAGCTAGATAGCATTCATTCAGTAATGAATTAATGAATTACATTAATGAATATTACTAACTCCTTTGTTGTCTTAACGAATTCCATTTTAATTAATGAATTTTAACTCCTTTGTCTAATTAAATTGGAATATACGTATTTTTTTCTAGATCCACCATCTAAATGTTTTTCCTAGATGGAAAAAAGCCTTATGTTTTAGGTCTAAAATTTGAGAAAATTCAGTAGATTTGTCTTGAATTATTGAAGTGTAAACCCCAAATTATTGAAGTATTTTAAGCCCCAATGTGTGGGAATCAAGTACTTATGTGTTCAAAGGTCATGAACCAAGTCAGACACCAGCAAGTTTTTGAATAAGTATGATGTTATACTTGATGTTTGCATCTGGACTACGCACTCCCAATCCAAGCTCATTAATCCAATGCGACAACTAAATGCAAAGAATATCGGAGGAGAAAGGGGGCATTTAAGCGGACGAGAACCGGATAGACAGTACGGTACCAACACTGGATAACCAGCAGGCAAAAATTTTGATCCAATAATCTCTTTCTCTTGGTAATTTAATCAAACAGTTTACCGTCCCGTAATTTGTGAGCGAAGTAATGATCAAACGCATCGCCTCGCGAGTCAAAATGAGAACCCAGTTGCAGAATTGTTGGATTCGGGAATCGGGACCATTCCTCATGCAATAAGGCAGCCACCCGAATTGGCCACTCAATACTCCCTCCATTCCAAAATAAGTGTTATTCTAGAGTTTGCACACACTTTAAGACACACTTAAATAGGGTAGCTAAATTACTAGAATATCCTCAAGTAATTCCATTAAAATAAATGTTCACCAATAATATTATTTCTTTTGAGGGTATGTTTGGAAATTTTTGACAAAAACTGCATTGAAATCCGAAAACAACACTTATTTTAGAATTTTTCCATTTTGCTAAAATGACACTTATTTTGGAATGGAGGGAGTAAAAGTTCTTTTACAGTAATTGGAAAAGATGAACACATATGAGTATTTTCAATGTTTAAAAAGAGCCAGTCTCCCAAGTCTGTAAACAAAATAATTCCTCCAAGATCAAGTGACGGCAGATTCATCCAAGGATTCTGTCCCAAATGGTTATGATAATTTTTATTGGGTGCCACTAAAATGGCCTAATGTTTGCCCTTATTTAATTTTTTTTTTTTTTTTTATGTTTTCCTTTCCATTTATATATCTTCTGGCAAGAAGGCACAATATATTTCTTCGCCATCTCATCAGTCTACAGAAATATTTATGATGTTTTTCAAGTCATGGGCACCAGAAAAAAAAAAAAACGAAGTAGATCTGTGTTTCTCTGTAATGCATACCACTGAAAGATAAACAATTTACGCACCAAAACAACAAAAGAAAAGCATCTCTTCAATCTCGACTGATACTGATTTATACACTTTATTCACGATATATCATTTCTTTCCTGGTATGTAAACACTTAGACAGATATGCATGGTTTGTGGACTGGCCCTCTTCGGCATGTCATCCCCCCTTAAAGAACACCCATACCAGGGCCTGCTGCTTTCTTGCCTGCAGAAATGTCAAAGTTGCTGCTAAGTTGCCAGGAAATGGGACATTTGAGCTTCTATATAGAGGGCACAAATTTATGGGAAAGCATAGGTATCAGGTCAAATGCAGTTTACCTTTTTCCTCGAAACATTCCCAGACAGGATATCACTTGATTAAAATGCATCGGATTGGTGATCCCTCAGCACCCAACAACCTCAGGGGCAGGCAATGTACAGTATAGATTCCTGGCTGAACGTCATCAAGTTTCAAGCCTTCCACAAGAATGATTTCCTACACCAGTTCAGCAACTGTTGTTACACTACACCAGCATACTACATCTTGAAAATATACTATTTAAATTTCAATGGTGAAATGTGGAAATCATCTGACTCGTATCCTGAAGAAGTCAAAGCAAGAAATTTTGCCGTGACAGAAAGAAAAGACACAAGTTATTACTGAAATTTCGATGGGATATCTGAATGTGAATAAAGGCAGATGTTCTCACCCTGCTTTCTAGAAAAACCAGGTGGGAAGGGATCAGATCAGCAAATGCAGTAACGGATAAGTAATCAATTCCTACAAGCACGGAAACAACATACATCAGAGTGATCATTGATTTTCCAACAAAGAACGATATGGAATACCATCATGTATCTAAACAAGCTTGGTATTCTGATGCCCTCCCCTTTATTATTATTATTCTGCTGATCCTAATGGCAATATAATATTGATCGTAAAAACAAAAACGAGTAAATTACTCTCACTTACCAACAAGTTTGACATCAGTGTTATCCACAAGCCATTGTGCTCCATCTTTCATGAATACCACATAGCAAGCCATTGTGCTCCATCTTTCATGAATCCCACATAGCTCGTATCGAACTCCCTCTTATACATGAGGCACCTAAAAATGAATTAACATATGTTAATTAACAGCCCAACATTCTTACAATTCACATTTCCTTTTCCCCGCCTATTACATATCTATAAACTCTACTGAATCCAAATTGCAAAGAAAATTGTCAAAATGAGTGCACAGAAATATATCACAATTTTCTGTTGTGCATGTTGCAGTCATAAAACTATTCAAGTGTCTTCTCAACGTTTGAAGACTTGAGCACGGATCAGACATGAAAAGTCGACGAGTAGAGGTTTGAGGTATCTCATGCTGTATTTTCCAAAAACAGAGTCTGCATTTTATTGCAAACAAATAATCTGCTGTATTATAGCTCTCTTGAACTCTATTGCTAGGTTTTACAACAATATTACAATTACTAAAGCTATGTTCAGACTTCAGAATCAAAGATAAAGAAACAAGGCAATAAATTTCATAACTGTAATGCAATTATAGTAGTAGTATTAATGCCCACATGGGCCACATCAGATGTTAAGGTGGAGGTTGGAAAACAGTTCTACACATCCAGAATCCAATAGAAACCCAACTCGTGATAAACAGTTTACTTCTCCAACCAATTAAGTAGCTATACGAGTCTTTCAGTATCGGCAAGAGAGAAAGTACTCGTCTCAATCCTCTTGGAATGAGACGAGTACTTTTTATTAATCTTGCTATTATATTAAAATAATTAAATATACATATATAATATAAAGGGCTAGGGTGGGGCCAGTGGGGGCTAAGGCCCCCACCCTAGATCCGCTAGTGCCTAGTGTTCATGAGGATGCATCTCGCTGTTGCTGCCTCCATTGCAACCTTTATAGGCAAGCAGTAGACATCGTAATACCCTGGCTCCACACCCTTGAGATTCAAGCATTCCACCGGAATTACGCCCTGTTGAATTAATTAATTATTCCCCCAAAATTTAATCAGCTTTAAATAACCCAAGCAATGATGTCACGTCAATTACTAGCTAGGAGATTTCTCGAGGTTAATTTTCAATTATTTACCTAGGCAGTCCATGAAATGTGCTTAAACTAATCCAATACTCGTATTTAATTTCTAGTAATTTTTGTTTACTCAACAAAAGACATGGCAAGGTGGGTTAAAAATACATACCGGCTTGTTCAACAAAATCTCATGAACTTGATGATGGTAGTCAAATGAGGCAACAGACATATAATCCACTCCTGAAAAGAAATTTGAATTATAAAAACAAAAAGGATAAAGACATTGCCCAGGAATGTCTTTAAAAAAAAGAACAAAAATATATCTTTCTGTTTTTTTTTTTCCTTTCTTTTTTCTACCTTTCAATAAACTAGTTTTGCGTCATCCCTTTTGAAGTAGTTTTTACGCTTACCAATGAATTTGATTGTAGTATTCTTCACCAACAAGTCTGCTGCATCTGGTGTCAATCCAGTATAATCTGTTTCGAAAGCTATCTTATTCATAAGGCGCCTGGAAAATCACAACAGACAAGATAAAAGCTTAGTTACGTACGTTGATTATTACCTAAATCACAAACCTTTTAATTAATTTGGCAGTATGTGTAGGCAACCAATGACTTTGATGACCTATGCCAATTTTAACTTTGGGAAAATCGATCTTTTCACTTGAATTTTTACCTGTCGGTGTTATCGGTCTTAAAAATCACTCTTTTTATTCCGCGAGGCAGACCCAAATTGCTTACGACTTGAGCTGGATATTTGTTACAAAAACCCACAAGTCATTACATTGTTATTTTATCAGTTATAGTGAAACATTCTTTAGAACTAAAGAAAAAAAAATCATAACTATTGACATTGAAAAAAAAGAAGGAATTTTAAAATTAAGAGGAATATTTAATACTACAAAAATACACATACCAGTTATGTTCCGAACTCCCGTAGGAATTCTAACAACCAGGACCCTACCTGCACAGCCACATTGTTATTGTTACGTATGATACAACGACAAAAACCCTTCTATCGAGGCATTACGAATACTATAATAATGTTAAAAATGGACGTTAGTTATTGAAACGAAACACATGAGAAAAATTAATCTTGAGAAAAAAGAAAGAAAAAGATAGTCGAACCAATTAGAGTTTGAAGGTCAAGGGTAAGGGCGGAGATGGGGCTATCTTTCAAGCTGAGCAAGTGTTGAGGAGAATCAACATGGGTGCCATAGTCAGTTCCAACCGTAAACTCACCAGTGCGGAAATGCGTACCGTTGTGTTCCCTAATGATTTCTTTGGTTTGTGCATAATTTTTCCAAACAGTCATGTAGTTCTTAAGCGTGTGAGTTATATCGAGTATTGTCCTTTTAGCTTTGGTTGGCTTCATGAGGATGCATCTTGCTGGTGCTCCCTCGGTTTCAACCTTTGTAGGCAAGCAGTAGACATCATAATACCCAGGCTCCACACCCTCAAGATTCAAGCATTCCACTGGAATTACGCCCTGATTAATGGATGAATCATTTATCCAAAATTAATCAGCGTTAAATATATATATAACCAAAGTAGTCATGATGACAATCATGATAATTCTGACGTCACATAGTTGTCACATCAATTACTGGCTAGGAAATTTCTCGAGGGTAATTTTCATTGTATATATATGTATAAATCTTGCCTGGGCTGCCAGGAACGCGAATAAGGAAGCAATACAAGTTGTTTCCAACTTACAAGCCACAACAGTCCATGAAATGTGCTTAAACTAATCTAGTATTTAATTTCTAGTAATTTTCGTTTACTCAACAAAAGAGATGGAAAGGTGAATTAGAAAAACATACCGGCTTGTTCAACAAAATCTCATGAACTTCAACAGCGTAGTTAAATGAGGCAACAGACATGTAATCCACTCCTGAAAAGAAATTTAAATTAAAAAAGAAAATGTGTAGACATTGCCCTGAAATGTCTTTTTTTAAAAAAAAAGACCATATCTTTCTGTTTTTTTTTCAAAAAAAAAAAAAAACTTTTTTCCCACTTTCATTCCTCCTTTTTAAGGTAGTTTTTACGCTTACCAATGAATTTGATTGTAGTATTCTTCACCAACCATTCTGCTGCATCTGGCATCAGTCCGGCATAATTTTTTTCAAAAGGTATCTGATTCATGAGGCACCTGAAAAATCAAAGCAGCCCACATAAAAGCTTAGTTACATACGGTGATTGTTGCCCAAATCACAAACCTGTTAATAAATATGCAGTATATGTAGGCAACCAACGTACTTTGAAGACCGAAGCAAATTTGAAGGGAAAATCAATCTTTTCACTTGAATTTTTACCTGTCAGTGTTATCGGTTTTAAAGATCACTCTTTCTAGTCCGGTGGGCAGACCCAAATTGCATACGACTTGAGCTGGGAATTTGTAACAAAAATCCTCATGTCATTATAATTTCATTAGTTATAATAAAACATTCTTTATTAGAACTAAAAAAAGAGGAGTTTAAAGTTAAGAGGAATATTTAATACTACAAAAATACACATACCAGTTATGTTCTGAACACCCGTAGGAATTCTAACAACCAGGACCGGACCTGCACATCCACATATACACCCACATATCATTTCCATTATATATACTACATAATTAGCTTAATTTTACGTACAGAGTATAATCATGCTCTTGCTATTCAAGTTCTATTAACACATGGAAGATCAGAAACAGCATTACAAAACGAATTGCCTTTAAACAAAAGCTATGCCAAGAAACTTGTTTCCCACATAATTTAACATACCACGTTTTAAAATTTACTTTTGAAATCATTCTCATTATTACACCTGTAAAACCTGTTCTTATTTTTATTTTTATTGTTATTATTATTTTTTTCCTAACCTCTGGATGCATTAGCTGTGAGTTAAAAGGTCGTTTAATGCTATGTAGAGGTTACATTGAGTACCTTGATAAACGCGCAGGATAGAAAAAAAAAAGCAGGATGGAAACGCAAAACATTTTGTAAATAACTTGTAAGAAAGGGGTTTCAGGTCAAGGGCAAAAGCTTTAAAGTCAATTTATGTGTTCTGAAATTTTAGCAGCGAGGTGAGAAATAAGTCTAAGTTACAACGTGCCAAGTTCATGATGAATAAATAGAAAGGAGTTTACAACATTCTTAAAGCAGTTTCTTTTTAACAGCTAAACACACCATGCTACCAAATAGCGCAAGATTCAACCACAGTCATATTTTCCTAAATTCTTTAGACTTATTCCTAGACTGTAAATCATGGTTTGAGCAATTCATGGATAACATTTTCACCCATCAGACCTCATCAGACTACAAAAGCTCAAATTCCGGTTCACCAAATGGCAAAAATATACAATACTCTAGAGCATTATGCCTGTAGAACAAAATTCTTAATTAGACTTAGAGTTCTCAAGATTTCAAACTTATACGAAGTCATTCCTTTTCATTTAGAAAACCCAAGCGAAAAGCCAGGTCTACAAAACAGAATGATACATACAAATTAGTCGCATTTATGATCACTAAAACAAATTGGATTTTCAAACTTTATATTATAATCTGCGGTCTTCGAGTTAAACATTTCATCTCTTCCACACAGCATAGCCTAAGTTAGTTCAATCAGATTAGATTGAAGCACATACAACTAACGCATACCAATGAAACAGTTAGCTAAATCACTTATGGATACATACAAAGATCACATTTGATCATACCTAATCACTATTCAGCATCAGATGAGCCCTACAAATAACAATTAGACGTGCTAAGAATAGCTGTTTGTAAAAGGAGATACGAATACGGGATTCAAATAGAAATATTTGGAAAAAATGATTTCCTTTAAGATGCTGGCAACATCTTATTTTCTATACCTCAAAATTCCTTCCTAATGTTCAGTTGTAGATTATATTCTCTGTCGTTTTATTATTATCCCATTAATTTTTAAAATTAAATATCATAACTCTCCCTATAGTTTACCCTGCCGAAAATGTACTCTATTGCCCTATTTTATTATATAGCTCAGGAACTTTCGAGAATCTGACTCTTTGGGCAGGTTATTTAGATCCATTTTGTCCTTAATTTGAAGTCCTGGAGTTAAGGCATATACTTTTACACACGGTTAATGATAGAGTTGGAAATATGCTGAGAAAAGAGTATATGCTCACGGAGAACCGAATCCTCAAGGTTGGTCTCCAAATTCTGAAAAATTTCCAGCAAAGTGGTGGCAAAGAGGTCCTATTCAAAACTCGTTTTTGATCAAATTAAAAGTCCGATTCACGAGCTGTCAAAAGCATCGTGATCAAATTTCCCCTTTATTCCGAACAAAATGATTACCACCAATCTTGATTGCATTTTAGCTACTTCTAAACATCCAGTAAAGATTAGATTATCTCAAGAACCATGACCAACAGTCTCGACCATCTATTAACAAAACTAAGAGCTAGTTAAATAACAATTCTCCGACTAGCCCAATCATTGAATATTTCAAAACTAAAGATTAACAATCAAATATAAGAATCCTTACCTCTTTTGGCTGCTAATACACCATCCTATTACACACCTTTTTTTTTTTTTTGGGCCGATGCTTACTGCTTTGATCGAGCCGCAAAAATTGATGCAACCCTTCAAGCATCTCTCCTTGTCCTACGATTATTTCCGTAAACATCTTCTTGCTCTTAATTTAGATGGCTTAATCAATTAGATAGCCATGAATAAGAAAAATGCAGATGCTTACACGGGTCTGGTGTGGCTTAGGAATTTTGGGGGGAATGGATTGAGCTTTTATTTTCCTTTGTTCAGTTTGGCAGCCTTGCCCTTGGGGGGAATTGAAAAGAGCTTGAAAATGGTGAGGGAGTGTTCCATATTATTTTCAATTTACTTGCTTTGCTGAGTGTATAGCAGCTGTCAACCAGAAAGGGTTTGTGGGTGTTGCTTGTGTTATACAATCTACCAATGTTTTTGCTAACTTTATGTGTCTTGTTATTAATTAAAATCACATGCATTTTTTAACTACCGATTAAGAGTAATTAGGTGCTGGAGTTATTAAAACAAAACACATGTAACTAATTTTTAGAGAAAAAGAAAAGTAAAAAATAATCTAACCAATTAGAGTGAGAAGGTCAAGAGTAGGGACGGAGATGGGGTTATCTATCAAGCTCATCAAGTGTTGAGGTGTATCGACGTGGGTGCCATAGTGAGTTCCAACGGTATAGTAACCAGTTTGGAATCCGTCCCTGTCTTGTTCGTGGATGATCGGTTTGCTTCCATTTGGACTGCCGAAAGCAGGGATGACATTATAATACGTGTGAGTTATATCGATTATCGTCCTCCTGGCTTCGGTTGGGTTCATGAAATACAGCCCAATAGCAATAGCAACCAACAACGGTACCCTCTTCATGCTGCATGATGAATTCATCTCCATCACCTTTTTTTTCTTTTTGATTTTTGTTGTTGTTGGTCCCCCTGGACGACCGGAATGAAATTCTTCCGAACTATTAAAAATCTAGAAGAAGATATATATAGAGAGAGAGAGAGGGGTGATGGTTCATGATGCCTTGCATTTCGACGAGATATATATAGAGGAGGGAGGGGGGATGATCAAATCTAAGCAATGAAATGTAATATATCACACAACAACAAAATGTAAATTCATAGGGGATGGGAATGGGATACTCTGACGAAAGCCTCCTTTTCTTTCATAAGCTTCTTTCGTACATGTACGTTTTCATTTTTTTTCAATCAGGATGGGTGATGTCGTCCAGAGTGTGTGCATGCGTGAGTGTGTACGTTTTCTTTCGTAAATGCCCAACAATGTGCGTGCATGCAATTTGCAGAGTTGCTGTTTTTGTCCATAACTTGCATCTTCGGTTTTTTGCATTAAATTTGCACCAGTGAAAGTGAACACATTTTATTTTTTGTTGATTTTTGTCTTAAAAAAGAACCCAATGAGGGCATCTGCCTCTTACTATGTGAAATTATTGAGTTGCTGTTCGTATGGTGGATTGGTAGATGATGTCACCAGCATGCCATGGCTTGTGTTCTCAAAATGTTATAGTACTAGCTAGCCCCATGCGCTATGATTTTCCCTCCATCCCCCTCCCACCCATGTGCTATGACTTTCACCATGTAAATTTGATGTGTATCTGATATTACGCCAGAGAGGCCAGTTCCCAGTGCTGTTCAAACATTCCATGGAGAACCAACATCATCAGTTGATGAGGATGCATCGAATAGGTGATCCCTCAGCCCCAACCATCCTTGGAGGCAAACAATGTACAGTATAGATCCCTGGCTGAACATCGTCCAGTTTCAATCCTTCCACTATAATGATGTCCTAAACCAATTCCAAAACTATTAGCAAAAGTACATGAAGATTTCTAGAGCCCACAATGCTAGCGTGCTACCATTTTGCAGGGAAATCATCAAAAAATGGATACGTATAACACGGTGAAAGAAGCTTACTCCTTGGCAGATACAAAGACTAAGTATAGAAATTTGTAAACAAAGAGGAGATTATTACCGCGTTTTTAAGGAAAACCTGGTGAGCAGGGAGTAGACTATCAAATGCAGCGATGGATATGTAATCAATTCCTACAAGCACGACAACAATGTTCAGAGTCAACCTTGTTTTCGTTAACGAAGATCGAAAAGGGATTAGTACCCTAGCTTTTGAAGTTTCTTTGCTTTTCTTTAAAGGGATTAGTACTAAAACAATTCAATTGAAGTTGAACATCCTTATAGAAGACCTATATACATTACAAGCCCTGTATGCATTTACTTTTTTCTGTTCCCAATTGAATGTATTTTGCTTGTGTTTAACATATGACACAAAGTTTACAACTTGGACAAAAATGACACTGATAATAGTACGAAACTAAAAAGTGCTCCAGTTCCTTGTTTTACTGATGAAGAAATTAAAATCACACAACTTAATAATACACTCAAACCCCACTTTCTATTTCATTTAGTTTTATTCAGTTTCCAATTTTTTCCCGTTTGCAAGAATCTGACTCAGTATAATTGTTTAAATTCCTACGTCAGAGATTACGAGTTATGAGTATCTAAGTGCTTACCAACAAGTTTAATATCAGTGTTATCCACAACCCACTGTGCTCCATCCTCTGTGAATCCCACAAAGCTTAAATCAATCTGTCTCGTATACATGAGGCGCCTGAAAATGAAATAAGCCAAGGTTCAATTGAATTTCAGCAGGATCACTGTCAACTTGCATCTCATTGCCACTTCCTTTCAGTTATGCAAATACAGCTCTCTGAATTCACATTGTATTTTTAGATCAGTAGATGATGCACGTGCATTATTTCAGCTTCTTTCTACTGCACATATTCTAGAAGTGAAACGAGCAAAGTATTTATTGGCAAGCCAAGTAAAAAGAACAGAATAATCTCAGCCATGTTAAGCATCAAACTACCACATTAGTAAACTTGAAGGTCATTCTCATGCATCTAGTTGAATTTGATGTCCACATCAGTTAAGTATGAGGAAAACTTATACTATTGGCAAAAACCACAGAACGCTGTACGAAGAATTTTCTGCATTACCCGTATCATTCTTGTTTAAATTGGATTGGCTGCACATGCTAAACAAAGTAGATCACTAAGTCACCTGTCAGTGTTCAACGTTCTGAAGAGTACTCGTTTTATTCCCCTGGGGATGTTTAAGGCCTTCATCACTTCAGCTGGAAATAGTAAGAGAAAAAAGAAAACAACATGAGGACCGAGTGTGTATGTAACTCAGGCAAGCATACCAAAACCAAAAGAATCAATGAACAGCTCAACTATATCATTTGCAGTTAATTATCTCAGATTATAGGCACTAAGATAAGACAGATTCTAAAGATACTTCTTTTCCTTGATGAAAGATACTCATTTCCAATAGAGAAACACGAGCAATAAAATTAGCATGTGAACTTTGCCATCCACTGGTTTCTACTCCCACACAGGATCCACCCACAGAATTAGTTGAATGAAGTGCATAAAAGATATGCAGAAAATAACTATCCTTTTTTTTGGGGGGGTCAAAATATTAATAAAGATATGCAGAAAACAACTATCCTTTTTTTTGGGGGGGTCAAAATATTATATTAACAGAGGCCGAAGCCTTAATCAGGGCATCTTCTAAAGTCTTGCTCTATTAACATAGAAATGAACTGTGGGGAGTCATCAAAAATATATAACCCCTGTTCAAACTAAGTGCCGCTTTAGCTAGAGTATCAGCACAAACATTGTCATCCCTATATATTCACAAAACACACTTCTAGACCCTCGTTCAAGAGGGTTTTAATAACCCTTAGTTCCGGATCCAAGGGCATATCATCCCTAATGTTAAAAAACAACTATCCTCAATGATGTTGGACCTCATTTCTTAGAACTGGCACTATACAAATTAGAGTCAGTCGTGGATTTTGATTGAGTTAAGGACACCTGTTATGTTCTTGTCCCTTGGAATATCAACTACCAAAGCCAGGCCTGCAAATAAAAAATGTATTGAAGTGTAAATATCTGGATAAATCTAGCCAGTCAAATTCTTTCGTCTCAATTGCAAATCATTACACAAGATAAAAATTATGGAACCACTCGAGTAAACACTTGCGACATACAAAGAAGCCAAAGTGGAACATGTTACAGATTTGAACATAAAGGAAACTGTATGAAACACTAAAAGCAGTCTAGTAGGGCCAAAAAAAACCTTACCATTTAGAACTCTGAGGTCTAGGCTGTCAACATCAAATCCAGCATCATAATAGTGATCATAAATATGTCCCGGAGCATCAACATGAGTGCCAACATGAACATGTAGTTTCATTTCGGAGGCATTCGAATCAGACCCGTTCTTCATGCTCTTCACAAGACTAAGATATTCACCGCAACCCTCAATAGTTCCCCCAGGCGTATTGGGAGTTAACTTATGGGTGATATCTATTATCTCTCCGCCTCCATAATAGATTTCTCTCCTCAGAGGCTTTAAACCTTCCCTGTGACTCATACAAGAACCAGATTCATCACCATATCCAGTTGGATATGCATCATTTGTGGACGAAACAGACGAACAGAGGAAGCCAGTTATTAGAAGCAGAGTGCATGCTAGCAAAACAAATACAACCCTCATCTTCTCTGATATTCCTTTTGCCAAAGATGTGAACTATAGATGGAAAGTAGATGTTCTTCCTCTAGATTTAAGTCAACGCCTACTTCTAAAACATACGTGAAATTATGCAATCAGATGCCTACCCAAAAAGCCACTTGTTCAGAAAGTCCGACAGATTTTCAGATAAAATGCTTAAAAAAATGTTTGATTCCCGAACAAAGAGCATCTCCTTATGGCTCTTCATTACCAAAGCGTGCTATATAATTAAAAAAATCAAAAGATGACTGTAGTGTTTTGGCACGACTCGCGTGAAACTGGAGATGCTCTAATTAATTAGATATGGTACTAATTATGTAGACACCATAGTATGGCACCAACACTAAATAAACTGTAGGCAAAAATTTGATCAAATTCATCTCCTTCTCTTCGTAATATAATCAAACAGTTACCGTAATTTGTCAGCGAAGTAGTGATCAAACGCACGCCTGGCAAGTCAAAATGAGCACCAGCGCGAGCATGGTTGCAGAATGATTGGATTCGGGAGTCGGAAGTCGGAACCATTCATCATGCAATAACGCAGCCACCGAAATTGGCCGCTCCATAAAAGTACTCTTTTACGGTAATTCCAAAAGATGAACAAATATATTTCAATGTTTAAAAAGAGCCTCTCCAAAGGCATTATTGTCTTCAATCGCAATTGAAGTCTTCCAAGTCTGTAAGCAAAATAATTCCTCCAAGATCAAGTGACAGCTGATTCATTCCAGGGATTCTGTCCATGGCTAATTCCGGACCCAATACGAAATGGTTTTGATAAGTCTTTTATTGGGTGCCGCTATAATGGCCTAATGTTATCCATATCAAAGGCCTTATTTTAATTTTTTTTTTTTTCCTTTCCATTTATATATCTTCTGGCAAGGAAGCACAATATATTTCTTTGCCATCTCATCAGTCTACAGGATGTTTTTTAAGTCATGGACACCAGAAAAAAGGAAGTAGAGATATGTTTCTCGGTATACCACTGAAAGATAAACAATTTACACACCAAAACAACAAAAGAAAAGCATTTCTTTCAATCTCTACTGATACTAATGTATACACTTTATTCAGGATACATCATTTCTTTCCTGGTATGTAAAAACTAAGACAAATATGCATGGTTCATGGACTGACCCTTTCCGGCATGTCATCCCCCCTTAAAGAACACCCACTCTGCGGCCTGCTGCTTGCTTGCCTGTAGAAATGTATACGCTTTTGCAAGCATGAGTACAATATGCTGCTAAGTTGCCAGAAAAAGGGACATTTGAGCTTCTATACACAAATTAATGGGAAAGCATAGGTATTAGGTCAAAAGCAGTTTACCTTTTTCATCGAAACATTCCCAAACAGGATATCACTTGATTAGAATGCATCTGATTGGTGACCCCTCAGCGCCCAACAACCTCAGGGGCAGGCAATGTACAGTATAAATTCCTGGCTGAACGTCATCAAGTTTCAAGCCTTCCACAAGAATGATTTCCTACACAAATTCAGCAACTGTTGTTACACAACACCAGCATACTACATCTTGAAAATACTAGTCAAATTTCAATGGAGAAATGTGCAAAATCATCCTACTCGTATACTGAAGAAGTCAAAGCAAGAATTTTTTTCATAACAGAAAGAAAAACACAAGTTATTACAGAAATGTAGATAGGATATCTGAAGGTGAATAAAGGCAGACATTCTTACCCTGCTTTCTAGAAAAACCAGGTGGGAAGGGATCAGATCAGCAAATGCAGCAACGGATAAGTAATCAATTCCTACAAGCACGGAAACAACATACATCAGAGTGATAATTGATTTTACAACAACGAACGATATGAAATACCATTATGTATCTGAGCAAGCTTGCTATTCTGGTGTCCTTTCCTTTATTATTTATTATTCTGCTGATCCTTATGGCAACATAATATTGATCATAAAAACAAAAATGAGTAAGGTACTGTCCGGGTGCTCTCACTTACCAACAAGTTTGACATCAGTGTTATCCACAAGCCATTGTGCTCCATCTTTCATGAATCCCACGTAGCTTGTATCGAACTCCCTCTTATACATGAGGCGCCTAAAAATGAATTAACATAAGTTCAATTAACTCTCATCAGCCCAACATTCTTACAATTCACATTTCCTTGCCCCTGCCTTACATATCTATAAAGTCTACTGAATCCAAATTTCAAAAAAAATTGTCAAAATGAGTGCACAGAAATATATCAACTATTTTCTGTTGTGCATGTTGCAGCCATAAAATGATTCAAGTCTGTTCAAGTCTTCTCAACATTTGAAGACTTGAGCACGAATCAGACATGAAAAATCGACGAGTAGAGGTTTGAGGTATCTCATGTTGTATTTTCTCAAAACGGTGTCTGCATTTTATTGCAAACAAACAATATGCTGTATTATAGCTCTCTTGAACTCTACTGCTAGGTTTTTCAACAATATTAGAATTACTAAAGCTATGTTAAGACTTCAGAATCAGAGATAACAAAACAAGGCAATAAATGTCATAACTGTAATGCAATTAAAGTAGTAGTATTAATGCCCATATCAGTTGTTAATGTGGAGGTTGGAAATCAGTTCTACAAATGCCGAATCCAATAGAAACCCAACTGGTGATAAACAATTTACTTCTCCAACTATTAAGTAGCTATATGAAATCTTTCAGAATCTGCAAGAGAGAGTATATCAACCAAAAAAAATAATAAAAAAAAGGATGCGCCCATCACCTGTCAGTGTTTAATGTTCTAAAAAGTACTCGTCTCACTCCTCTTGGAATGTTCAAGGACTTCATAACTTCAGCTGGAATTGAAAAAAATAAAACAAAATCGAATTTAAATTAAGAGATAAAATGGAATAAAGACTTAGTAAGATACTACTCTTTCCTTGTGTTCGAAACAAACTATGAGGTCAACATGCATGTAACTCAGAGCAGATTTAAGACTTGGAAACGTTTCGGTTCACTAGAGACTGGTTAATTTCAATAACAAATCAAAGTTGCTGTACTGCAGGCATTGACTGGGCATGGAAAGACATGCGAAAAATAACCCTTCTCAGTGATCCCGCAAACCATTTCTTCAAGTTGTCTCCGTATATGTTAAATGGTTTCACATACAAACCATATATGTTCAATTTAGTTACTTAGAAATTGATATTACAAATTACCTGTTATATTTTTATCCCTGGGCACATCAACTAGCAAAGCTGGTCCTGCAAATGAATATTAAAAAGGTCACAACTGTGAATGAATCAAGCAATGAGAAACAGCAGTTTTTCCTAATTGCAACTGATTAAGGGGATGCCATTTATAGTAACACCTGAATACATGCAGAAAAATAAAACTTTTTTTTTTTGCTCAAGCCGTACAAAAATTTCCAATTATGTTTCTCTGTGTGTGTGTGTGTTGGGGGCGGGGGGTTCGATCCCGAATAGAAGGAAAAGCTCTCCAAAAAGTCGGTTTTTATGATCCGATAAAGAAGCCGAAGTGAAGCTTATCCAAGAAAAACAAATAAATGAAACCATAGAAATTACTAAAACCATAACTTTAGCAAGAGATGTATTCCACCATAGAAGATCCCAATGTTCTTCAGAAAGGATAGGGGGAAAAATAGATTCAGCTAAGATCATGTCAAAACTCAAAAGGGGAGGAAGTTTTAAAGAAAGAATAGCAATAATGGCATGTGTTAGTCTACCTGAAGCTCCTTAGGCATCACAAACAACTGAAATCATACACGTAAAATCAAAGTGATGGTGAATATAATTAAACACAAAGAGAACCAACTGAAATGGTACCATTAAGAACTCTGAGGTCTAAAGTATCAACATCAAATCCAGCATCATAGTAGTGATCATACATATGGCCCGGAGCATCAACATGGGTGCCAGCATGAACGGGTAATCGTAGTTCAGAGAAATTGTAATCCGAACCATTCTTCATGCTCACCAAAAGGGTAAGTAACTGGCCAATACCCTCAGGAGTACCCACAGGCGTGTCAGGAGTAAATAAGTGGGTAATATCTATAATTTCTCCGCCTTCGTATATTTCTCTCCTCAAAGGCCTTAGATCATTACTACTTCCCAAACAAGCACCAGATTTGTCACCATACCCGGTTGGATATGCATCATTGATGGATGAGAGGGGCAAAGACAAGACCCCAGTTAGTAGGAGCTCGGAGCATAGTAGTAAAAGAAGCACTACTCTCATCTTCTTTGATCTTTTCTTTCCCTAGCGATGTGATTAATATGGAAACTACCAGTTTTCACTAGACTTGTCAGCTCTACCCTAATACATGTGTTTGTTGGCTTATATAACAAACATCACAAAAAAGACACATGTTTAGTTCAGAAAGAGACATATCATATTTTCGTAAAAGTTTTGGACGATTCCTCAACCCTCAATGGCAAGTCTTTAATTTACCCTTCCAGCTTTCCAAAAAACTAAGTGCATTGGTGCCATAAATCAGATAATAATGGAAGTGAAAAATAAAAAACAAAGTGAAAAATGGAGTACAAACACTAAATCTCACTTAGAAGCCACTAGTTTCAGAAAGAGAAACAGAGTCCTCTTGCTCTTATAGATATTTTCTTCGAGATTGTGGACGATCCCTGCCCCAGGAGCAAATCTCTTGATAGCTGTATTTTACTTGTGCCACACTTTTAAAGAATCAAAAACATTACTCTAATTTCTTCACATGACTAACGTGGAATAGTCATGATCACAATAATTGAAACATACCATATCTTTAATAATCAGTAAAATTTCAGAATTCAATCAAACTATCCACCAAATCAAACTCACTCTGCAATAACTGCACCCAGGTAAACTATACGCAAAACCATGATTAACAAAGCATCCACTTCACCTCGTAATTTAATCAAACACTTACCGTTCAAAACGTCGAGGTCGAGAGTATCAACGTCGAAACCAGCATCGAAGTAGTGATCGAACACATGACCGGGGGCGTCGACGTGAGTCCCCGTATGAGTAGGGAGCTTCATCTCGGAATTATTAGCCAGCGAACCATTCTTCATGCTGGCTGGCAGCCACAGGAACTGGCCCAACCCTTCCTCGCTTTCCCAGCTCGGCATATCCGTCCGGTATCGATGAGAGATGTCGATTATCCTGCCGCCGTCCCCATAGACTTCTCGTCGGACGGGGGTGGGGACAACGAAGCTATCGTGGACAGAGGTTTCAAGGCCGTAGGGAGGTGGGTAAGCTGAATTAGACGCAGAGTTGACTGCCGTGCCGCAGGTTAATAGTATTCCTAGAGTGATGATAACGTTGATGGAAGCCATGATCGTCGTGGTCAGATCAAGTTTCGCCGGAAACACACTACAGGAAAAATAAAGATTTTACCCTGAAGCTTACGGTAACAAATTGATGGGGAAATTGTAGCTGCAACCTGCTGCAGAGTAGTAGGAGTATTTTTGGTGAATAAAATGAAAGTCACCAAGAAATTACAGTGTAGTAAGTCAAGCTAGAGTGGGTTACTCTTTAGTCAAGAGTCTTGACTAATGTGGATTATGACATTTTGCCTTTTTTTTGTTTTTTTGGAATAAAGGGAGACATTATCTTTTTTTCTTTGAAGCAACGAGAAAAGATTATCCATTTTTATCTTCTTAAACATTATCCGTTTTCTGGAAAAGGAAAACATAATTTTAGGAGGAGAAGAATATATACACTAGTATAACTTAAATTGATTCTAAAGACTTGTAGTGGGTAAATGCTGCGTAGTGGAGTGGACAAACTTAATAGAGAAGAACAACTGGAGTGAAGAGCCAATTTCAACCAACAAGATTAGAATACTATTCCCTTTGTAAAAAAAAAATTATTATCCAATTTAGATTTTTTATTTTTAATAAAATTTGAACTAAAAAAAATAGAATTCTAAACTAAACAACAATTTCGGGACGGAGAGAGTATTTGCACATACTTCACTACACACGGACTCCACCTTCAAGACTAGATTCGATCATCAGAAATTATCAAATTCAGGATGCCATCTCAGTCTCGTTATATCCTTGTAATCTCATCTTCTAAAATTTTAATGAAAGAATTAACCAAAATAATAATAATAATAATAATAATAATAATAATAATTATATCCTACTATATTAGAAACAAAAACCTCCCTTTCAAACACCTCATATGATTGCCATGTGGCATGTAGAAAATACTAAATTGCCCTTTTGTCTAACCATAACTAAATTACTAAATCTCCCTTTGCACTTTACGTGACACGTTTTTTTAAAAAAATTTTTCTTTATGTTTCATTCAACTAGAGTGGTTTTTTAAATTGAATTGATCAATTAGGTTTTTTGTTACAAAGTGTCAATTTTGTTTTAAGCGTATACCCTTTGGATGAAGCTTATTACAAACCTATTAAAAATCTCCAAAACTAAATATTGATTTCGCACGACCAATGGAGAACACCAATAAATCATCTTACTAATATTTAAATTTATTAGGATGCTTTTATATTTTATCTAACATTTACTTCAACACATATATTCGATTAAGCTATTTATATTTAATAAGTAACACTTATAAAACATTTCTAAAACATACATGGCGAAATACAATTTGTTTTTTTTTTACGAAATACAAATATTTCTATGATCACACTTATAAAACATTTCTAAATCCTTCAAAAATTTCTAAAATATATCGCTCCAAATACAAAATTTTATTTGTTTTAAATATAAACATTTCTAAGATCTACAGATAGACTGGGCCAGGGTCGCGCATTGCGCGACCAGACATCACTAGTATATTAAAGGAAAAAAAGATAATCGACACGTGTCGTTTATTGAGACCATCAAATCTCAATTAACACGTGTCATTTACTAATTGGTTCATCATTAATTAGTTAAAATTTTTTATAAACAGTTAATAAATTATTTACTACTCCCTCCGTCCCACAAGAATAATCTAATTTAATAAAAAATTTTGTCCTAAAAAAACAGTTCAGTTTAACAAAATTCAAAATTCATTGAATTGAATTGAAATTACTTAAATATCCAAAAGAGTAGTGGTATGAAAAACAAGATCCACTTCCTTTGATTTTCATTTTTTTTTAATTTTCTCTTATTTTTTCAAATGATTATATCTTTTAATAAATGAATAATTAAAAATTGTGTTATATATCAAATTAATCTACGTAACGAGATCTTTCCATCAAGATCCATTGTCAATATTTTTTGAGATAAAAATTTTTATCAAATTTAAGTTGTAAAATAAATGCATATGTAGTTAACTTTTATAGAAATAACTAGAAGGGGCATTAGTGGAAGTTAGGGGAATGAAATAAGTTGTACATTTGGTGTATTGACCAAATTAAAAAAATTGTACAGTTTCAAATTGGACTATTTTTATGGGACGGAGGGAGTATATAAGATTTTTACAGATATTACAAATTCCTGATTGTGAGCTTGAAAATGAATATTTTTGAAAATTGTTTAGAAGCTCCCGACTTCAAAAGTCCATTCATTTACAAGTTTAAACTTTCAACCTATTGTCATTTTGGCCCTTAAAGTTCCATTTGTATGCTATTTACTTTTCAAGTTTAATCGATTTTACATTTTCAAGGACGATTAATTGTGTCTCATATTTTATTAGAAATACATCTAATCCCCAAAGTCCACTTGCCTATAAAAATAGATCATATGCATCTAGACATAATTTACACATTTTTTAAATATATTTTTTAAACCAAACATAATATTAGTTAGTGCTGACAATTTTTATTATACAACTTTTGAAAATCTTTGTTGTAATATTTTTTTACCAGATCTTACAAATATACCTCTCATAAATAATATCAATACCTCTCATTTTGATCTAAAACTGATTAATCAAAAAATATGACATTTTTAAGAAATATTAGTAACTACAGTTTTTTTTAAGAGAATAAGGACGGTATATTTGTAACTACATTATCTAATCAATTTTTTTGAAATATAAATTTTCAACATTGACAAAGCCACGCAAAGCGCGGGACACACACTAGTAATAATAATAATAATAATAATAATAATAATGAAAGAAGATGTAAGCCCATCCTTTTTGGCCCAAACAACTTCAATCTTCAGGCCCATCATCACTTCGAAGAATTCGCCAGGAAATACAGACTACAGCGTTTTTTTTTTTTTTTCTTTTTCTTATTTATCTGCTTGCTACATGGCTGTTGTGGGAATTCCAACTGTATATTTCTGAACTGAAAAGGTTGTGGTCTCAGAGTTGATGTTTGATGTAGTTTAACTATTACTATTAATGTTATTTGGACATGAACAAGTTGAGTAGCTCTTATCTCGTTCTTTAATTTCTTGCAAACTTTGTCATATTGAGAGGTTAGAATTTTATGTGATGAAATATAATAGAAAGCTTTGGGAAGATTGCTTAGACGAAATGAAGCATTGCTTAAAAAAGGTCAGAGGTGAAAAACAGACACAGCCCTAATTAGAGGAAACTGCTCTTTTTTTTCCTTGGTTCTTTTCTGGTGAAAGTGAAACTGAGCTTCTTGTTACATTGAACGGCTCATATGAAGTAAACTTTTGCGGTCTTTTCAAGACTTGCCTATTAGCACATGACATCCTCTAAATTGATCATCTCTTCTTCCTCGTTACAAAAAAAAAAAAAAACCACTCCATCCGTCCTGTTCTAACAATAATCTGATTTTGGTGTGTAGTGTTTCAACAACTTGAAAAACAGTAACTAAATGGGACGAAAGAAAAATATAAAAAGAATACGGATGATCAGTTAATACGAATGGATGATTAGATTAGACAACAATCTAACTCTCCCACCTTGGTTTAATGTTTGTACTTTTCAAAGACAAGACAACTAAACGGCGGTTCTCGTGGATTATGACATAAAGAGTAACCGAGGTTCAATTCGCTAGGTAATTGCCCGAAATGTTGGGGGCTTGGGGCAACAATAAGGCCAATGAAAATGTGACCAAAGTATATATAGGTGTTTAAGAAGGTGGTGCATACCATGTTAGTTAAGATCACCACCATTTTTCACCAAGTAGTACAGCAGCAATTAATGGGAATTCGGAATGATGAATGATTCATCATCACGTATTCATAATATCTACTACTATTATATCTCTCTAGATATATAGTGCCGACTGAAAAACACCACTTCACTTTTTAAAATTTCTTCAGCGCATTATTGATTGTCAGTGAGTTTGTGTGATCAATATCATTCTGTCTGAATGATGCCTCAAATCTGGTTTTCCTATGGTCCTTTTTCCCTTTCTTCCCCCTCCTTTGCACAGTTCTATTGCTATCATAATTTTACCGTACTCATAGATGCTATTTCAGTCAACAAAAAAAAAAAGTAAAGCTGTTCATGGAGCCCAGATTCATAATCCATGTTTGCGAGTGTATTGTATTTCAACTATTTGGTCTATTGCATGTAAAATCTTGGTATAAAAAAATAAGTTAAGATAGAAAAGGATTAATTATCAGTAATATGTCACCGAAAATCTTTTATCATTTCTTTTATTTATCGGTAATTTCATCAATATTTTTCCAGCAATTTTCTCAGCCATCAATTATGCGGTATCAAATTTCACTATGCCACCATTGCAAGAAAATATTTTCGAATATTACAACTCATCATAAAACTCAAGTAGATTGATCATTATTTCCTTTTATTTAACCTCCCCCGCTAGGAACCCATTTGTGGATGCGTGTACGAGAGGACTTAAACAAATTGCATTATGGCAAATGAATAATCATGGCACCACTAATTAATCGTTATTTCTTCAAGCAGAGAATCTAGTAACTAACGAATAAAAGTGCTGTATGAAATCCTACTGATGATCGTAATAAACAAGCAATAAAAAGCCAGCTTAAGTAGTTAGTACTAATCTCCTCCCTAACTTAGTGAAAATCGAAATGATTAGATATGGTTAGTGAGTTGGGCCCTACCTAGTGATCATTCAGTTCCGGCCAGGCCCCGTTCAATAAAGTAATGCAACCCGATACTGCTGTCCAACTAGACAACACCACCAACTATTGTTCGACTTTGACATTTTGACATTTGCCATATTGCAAAATTGCCAATGCAGTACTCCTATTACTTTATATTCCATCGTGTACTTATTATAGGACATTTTAACTTTATCTTAAGTTTTACTTATAATGTATTTTAATTAAAAAAATCTTACAAGTGTATTTTCACATTCATTACATTTTTTTAATAATTAAGATATATTTTTAAATTTTTTATTTCATTTAAAAAAAATCATAAGTTTCATTTAAAATAATCAAAATGGTTTATAATAAAAACCGAACGGAATATTTCTAATATTTCATCCCGTATTCAAAATCACTCTGTCTATACAAATCCTAATTTGTATAAACATAAGATATTGTTCCAACTTATCCAAAATATCTAAATTTGAAACGGTTAAATTCTTTTTAAGGGGATGGAATACTTTCTAACAAATCTTAAAACTTCTCTTATATTCAAATTAGATTCGAATGATTTAATAGTTAAACTGATTCAATAACTTATACCATCCAACAAAATACATGTTGGTGTGTATAAAAACTTTCTTTTGGTATTTCGAACTACCAAACCCCTCGAGAACAAAATAAATAAATAAATAAAATACAGTGTCACTTTTGCCATGAGTTCACACAAACATACACACCCCAAAGTCGCTCGTATATATAAATGCAATATAGAGCAGCATCTACCGTTATAATATCTGAACCACACTAATTTCCAGAACTCAAAGTAACAAAGGCATAATAATGTCTTCTCAACTTCAAATTTCCCAATGCCTCAAAATATCTGTGTTCATTTTTGTACTCGTCTCTGTTTCAATTTCTGTAGTTGAATCCATTACATCTCCATCAGATGTTAGAGCACTTCAAGCTTTCAAAGCCTCCATAAAGTCTTCTTCAATTCCATCCTATTCATGTCTAGGTTCATGGAACTTCACCAACGATCCTTGTGCTGTTCCTCGTACTTACTTCACTTGCGGCATCCTCTGCGACGGCAACCGAATCACCCAACTCAGTCTCGACTCACCGGGCTACATCGGCCGGCTGACACCACTGATTTCTCAGCTCACTGAGCTCGTGAAGATTGACCTTGGCAACAACAAATTCTACGGTCCAATCCCGCCTCTCAATTCGTTAACCAAGTTGGAAATTCTGATATTGAAGTTTAATTACTTCTCCGGCTCCATCCCGCCTTCATTAACCTTGCTGAAAGAGCTTGAGATTGTTGATCTTTCGCATAATGTGCTCACCGGAGCTTTGCCGGAGTCCATCAGCTCGATGAACAGTTTGACAAGACTTGACCTGAGCTACAACAAGCTCACCGGATCACTCCCCAAAAAGCTCCCATCCAACCTAATTGAACTCGCCGCCAAAGCCAATTCTCTATCTGGGTCGCTCACGAAATCCACATTCGACGGCCTAGCTCAGCTGGAAGTGGTGGAGCTCAGCGAAAATTGGTTGGCCGGAGCAATTGAGCCGTGGTTTTTCCTCATGCCGGCGCTGCAGCAGGTGGACTTGTCCAATAACAGCTTCACACGTATAGAGATCTGGAAACCCACGGATATGAACAGTGACCTCATCGCCGTCGATCTGGGTTTCAACAGCATCGAAGGGTACTTGCCAGCCAACTTCGCGGCATATCCCCTGCTTTCATCTCTGTCTCTACGGTACAACCGGTTCCGTGGCCGAATCCCGCTGGAGTACAGCAAGAAGGAGTCGTTGAAGCGGCTGTATCTGGACGGGAATTTCTTGAACGGGTCACCGCCGGACGGATTCTTCAACGGCGGCGCGTCGGTTTCGTCCGGGAGTTTGGGGGATAATTGCCTACAAAAATGTCCGGTATCTTCGCAACTTTGCTTAAAATCACAGAAACCTTCGTCGATTTGCCAGCATGCTTACGGGGGCAAACCAAGGTCTTAGTGTCAGATGTCTGCAGATTTTTTTTTATTTTTCATGAATTAATTTATATTGAAAAAAAAAAAAACTGTAACAAATTAATTTCCGTATGTTAACACATAGCCCAAAGAATAATTGCAGTGTTATTCTTATGGGAAAGTATATATGTATATTGTTTTTAACTTTGTAAGGACAATAATTACGCCGAATTGCTGTAAAATGTGCTACTGGTAGTACAAATATTCTTTTGTAGAAATATATAAATGAGCAGTGGAATATTGCGGGAAAAAATGGTAGTATTTTGTCAGCCTGTCAGGCGGCGGAGGTGTTAATGTTGTTTAAAGGGGTTTGGTTGGTGGTGTGAGCGCGATTCTTGCAACCGGCCGTCAGCCAAATTCCGCCATCACGGGTGAAACGCGTATAGAATATTTATGAAATCAAATGTAACACTGAGTTCTCGTTGACCGGATTGTCTTCCTTCTGTATTAGTATTTTACTATTTTTCACTTAGATTTAATCGTAACAGAAGCGGTATACGTCTAATGAAATTTCAAACAATGCATCCGTCTAAAAATAAGATTAAAATTATTTTTCAAAAAATGTAATAATACCATAATATACTTGTATTTTGGGTGGAGGAATAATTACAAAAAAAAAGAGCTTAAAATCGTAACAAAAGTTTCTACATCATAAACGACTTTTTGTTTTTAGTTCTTGATAAATTACGTCATTAAATTTAATATTGTTGTGTCGAACTCCCGACTAATACAAATTCGAGAATATGTAAATCTCTTCCATAAAATAAAATTATTTGAATAAGTATTTTAATCAACGTTATATGTCTAACTCTTCATGCTCAATTGTAATTTCAAACTCAAACAAATTTGTGTTTCCATTATGGTCAGCAGTCAGCACTTAATCCTGTGAAATTAGTTTCACTTCAGCTTTGAGTTTGAGGCTTGTACTTGTCAATTATGTGATGAATCAATCAAATAAATGTGAACTACATCCATCACCTTCGTTGCTGATGTGAAACACGTTTCAAGTTTAAAGAAACAAACATATGGTTCAGTTTTTTTCAAGGAATAACCAAAGTTCCTAATAAGTTTGCGAGCATCAGTCCAAAAAAAGACCTACTTGAATTTTGGACAAAGAGTCAATACCTAGGCAGGGACTAGGGAGAAGTCTGAAGTTTTTAATTTTTTGTTTGTTTCTTTAGTACTTTCAGTCGTGTGCAGCTGTGCCTGTGCTACATCAAATTAATTTTATCCTGGAAGTACTAGAAGTTGTATATGAAATGGAATGAAAAATTGCATAAACTAGGACTGACATGAATAATTAATATTAATTGTTTGCCTATTTCATAGTCATAATTATATCCAAATAGAAACTAGCTATGTAGACGTATAGCTCTTTAGGTGGTCTTGGAAGTGAATGAATGTGCACGTACGTACGCCTTTGAAATTAATTGACTGTGGAGAAATATAGGAGAAAACATGCTTCCTGAATCCTGATCAAAATTTTGTTACAGAATCAGATCCAGAATTCCATCTGGAAAGGCACAACTAATTCTCTGGAACATTTCTTCCTTTATCCTAAATCATAAAAAGCCTATACTTTTTTATAGTAAAAACTTGACAAACACCCTGATTTCCACTTGAAGATAATAGCTCTGTTTCCAGTCTTCTTATTATTTTTTAAACTTGTATCATTAACATTGTACTTGTAATTCATATAATTTTATCGAGTGAGAAACTTCGGGAAACTCTGTAATAAAGGTCCATAACTAATTAAAATCTCAAGATGAAAGATCCTAACAATAAAATCGGCTTGTCCAGAATTTATAAAAATAGTACCACCTCTGTTCCACAAAAATAGTCTATATTGAGTTTTTAAATTTGTACGGATTTTAGTACTCCCTTCATTCCAATTCAATAGACCCATTTAGACATACACGGAGATTAAGAAAAAGTGGGTAATGTAGTTTATGTGATTAATTTTAAATGAAATTTCTACTATACCCCTATTAGTGACTAGTGAGTTATTGGTTGATATGAGAGAATAATTGTTAAAATTAATAAATGTTCTTGATTTCAGTGAAAGTAAAAGGGTATATTAGAAAGTTTATAATAAGACTTAATTAATAATCTGAAGTGGGACTAAATTTTGAAACATCCTAAAAAGGGAAGTGAGCTTATTGAATTGGAATGAATGGAGTACAAATTCTAAAACTCAAAATGGACTATTTTTTTGGACGGAAGGTATTACATCACACATTTTTAGTGCACAAATCATCCATCGGTGCGCCTTAGGCCGACGAGAGCATATGATATGTCTAGTGGAGGGGTCAACAAAACAATCGTAATCAAAATGTCATCTCTTTAAGTATCCACATGATTTGTGAGGCCAAGGTTATGAAAAAAGGGTTTGGTTTGCTCTTTAGATTTGTGTTTATCTCAGTGATACAAACGTTTTTGTCCTCTTCACTATTATCTGGTTTCAGCCAGAAGGTTTATTTTGGATCTTAGTCGGTAATGCTTTTAAAAAATTTAGCCGAAAATACATTAAAAATTTGATCACACACGAAAATGGAATTATAAAAATGGATCAAACACGAATTTCAAACACGAATTTCAAACACACCTTTTGGATATTCACAAAAATCAATCCAGTTGGCAAAGATGCTTTTGACCTAACAGTTCCCTGTAATAACAACTAGATGTTTGGCCCAAGCAGATGCTCGGGCGTCCCTTCTAAATTACTATTTTATTAAAATCTAATTGAATTACTATTTTTTGAGAAATTAATTTGGCGTATATATCATTTATGCTATGATTTGGGGGTTAAAAAAATATACCTATAAATCTGAGGTTATAAGGAAATAATAAATAATTAGTTTATAAGGCGTTATTCTTAATTGCTGGATTTAGGTATTTTTATTTTTTGTTTATATTAAGCCTGCAAAATTATTCGATTGGACATTTGAATTTGAATTAATATATCCATTCGTTTGAAATGTAACTGATCCTTATTTGTAGTAAAACATGTATTTTTTTTTAAAAAAAAAAATTTTATATAACTTCTAATTAAAAGAGACTTACACGTGGCAAAAAGACTCCTGAAATTTGAAATATGGTGCATTGGAGTCAAAACAGATGCATACTTAGTTGCCACATAAGTTTCATGTCTTCTACTTTAATAGGGTAAAAGGGATTAAAACCCCCCAAAATAGATTACCGAAGCTTAATGATCAATGTCCCACAAGATCAAGCTCATCTTGAGGCTGAAACCCATGAAGATGCCCACAGTTAAAAAGAGTTGAAAAATAAATAGCAAATTTTATGTTCCCTCCCTGAAAATTATATACGTAGTGACGGAGCCTGGAAATTGATGTAGTGGGTGCAAAATTTTTTAAAAACTAATAACGGCTAGAAAATCAATATAAGGAGCACAAAAAATTCTACAACACATAATTTTCTATTTAAAATTTAAGAACCTCTACTAGTTACAAAAAATTGAACATGTACGACCACGCCCTCCACCCCTAGCTCCACCACTGGATATACGAGTATTAGATGATCATGGTTAATGTGTCATTTGGGTTTACACTATTTAGGTGGTGATTACTACTATAAGGTTATACGTGCTACTTTTTATACTCATCTATTTATGAGACGGAAATGTAAATTACTGGTAAGAAGGATACTTGGGATTTTATAACCTACCACTCCTTTTTTATTTAAAATTGCGGTCATAATTTGATCATTTTTTTAAGTGTGTGTCAATTTTGTTGTTGAAAATGTAAAAAGTGATTATTTCAAAAAAAAAAATGCATCAGAAATGTAAATTAAATTGTATACTAGGAAGGTAATGTATTAATTAAAAAAGGAACAAAAAAAGAAAAATTAATTACCAATATTCAATTCATGATAGAAATTCATCATATTTCCATTTGCTCTTGATTTATTTATTAGCTCTCATAAGAGCATCTCCAAACCAAGATACCAAAATACTAAATTTGGTGTTTTAGTGTAAAGTTTTTACTCCAACGAACACACTAAATTAATACACTATTTTGGTGCAATAAATAGTATTACACCAAATTTGGTTTAAATAGTCCATTACACTATTTTTAGTGCACTATATTTTTACTTAAATCTAAAGATATATTTGAAAAGTAATTAAACTTGTGAAACAAATTATGTTATAAAAATTATATCATATTAAATATTTTGTTGAGATCTACAAAATAAGACACATATTGAATATAATTTTTTATTTTTTTAAAAAATAATTTTTAGTCATTATTAAAATTGTGTATGAAAAATAAGTAAAAAAATTTGATATTTTTACAATCAAATAAAACGCGATTATAAGAAATAAATTTCACAAAATTATTATAAAATTATATTATTGTAATTAACTACAAAAATAAAATTTAAACTAAAACATTTCATAGATAGACATTTTAGTGCATTAAGGTTGGAGTGTAAAAAACTTTGGTGTAAAAAAATGCTCAAAATATTTTATTTTGACACTAAATTTAATGGAAATTATAGTGCAATGATTGGAAATACTCTAAATTTTCCTGTAATGAATTTCCCTTCTTCCTAACCCAACTTCGGGATTCTGTTATTAGACAATGACCCGTGATTGGAACCTTATTACGTCATTTTCCAACTCGATTTTAGTCATTTCATTCTACGATGATCATTGTTGCAGAATGCAGATACATTACTATCGACATAATATTAAAATATTAAATTTTCTTCATTTACATGTGTACGTACTTTCTGTGGGGGAGAGAATTATATTAAGGCTCGGAAACCACTTAATTAGGTTATGCTAAAGCACGAATCTCCCAACACAACACCATTTGGAGTTTGGACCACTTCCCAAGTTAACACGCACAAATGGACATGCACTGACCGGGGATCCTAATCAATTTGCTAATTTTGTTCCTGTACTTTCTGGTCATATTAATACGGGTGTTTTTGATGGGAGAGTTAAATAAGGTGGTGAAGGAGGAATAAATGCTATCACGGTAAAACTAGTTTGGAATTCAAAGCTCGTCGGGCAACCCAATTTTTTAAGAAATGAAATACTTTCTCTGTTAAAATTCACAAAAAAAAAAAATCACATCGAATTTATAGAAGCCTATGGCAATAAGAAGAGTAGTCCATAGACTTATATATTGATATCAACTCTCTCTCACCACCGATGTGGGATATTCGACACTCCCCCGCAAACCTAACGTCTCTTCTTGGGTTGGGGTTGTCAGCCCAGTCACCGCCTCACGTCTCAGCCCTATTAGTTTTATCATATCAGGCTTTGGAGTCCAACTTTTGACGGGCTAGCTCTGATACCATATAGAAGTCCATAGGGTTCTACCTAAAAACCAATTGGTAATAAAGGGAGTAGCCCATAGACTTATATATTGATATCAACTCTCTCCCACCACCGATGTGAGATACTCAATAAAATTTTTTAAATTTGTTCTGTTTTTAGTATAAATATCAAAATTCAATGTGGATTATTTTTATAAAGCAGAAGGAATATCGAACTTTTCTTGGTTTTCTTCTCAGGAAAGATTTCTTAAACCTTAATTATTGAAGGAAAAGATATTCTGTTGGATTACGAAGCACATGGCTTCCTCGTCAATAATTCCTCAAGGAAAGCAAGAAAATAGGGAGAAGAAGAAAAAAAAATAAAAAAATCCAAAGTCTGTTTGAAACAAAGCGAGGGTTTTGATGCCAACAAACTAACATTATGCTCCTCCTTTTCTGATTTCGGCCTTTCGGGGCATTTCTAAGGCTGACGAACTGTTTCTTCCGGTCTTTATTATAAGTCATTTTGATTTTATCTTAAGTTTCACTTAAGATGTCATTTTAATTGGAATAAATACCTTAAAAATATTTTTTAACAATTAAGAGAACACAACGAATATGAAAATATATTTTTAAGATTTTTTTTAATTAAAAAGACATCCTATGTGCAAACTTAGACAAAATTAAAATACCTTTTAATAAGGATCGGAGAAAGTACTTAAAAAAAAAAAAAAAACCTTACGAACCAAACCACCTCTTTCTTGAGGTGACAGACATACTCCACGATCACGTATTGTAATTCCAATGGTGGAGCAATGCGGATGTTATTATAACAGATGATGAAATGAAACAAAGTAGTCTACCCAAAGTCTACCTTTTAACGCTCCGGAAATTCAATTCCGATTAATAAGGTAGGATAGGGATTTATCATTTATGAATATTTAACAAAGGACTAAAGGCTAGTATTCGTCTTTTTTTTTTTTAAATGTTAAAAACAAGTGATTGGTCTAAACGATAAAGGTTGAGTCAGTTTTGTTTTAATCTGAGCATAAAATCTAGCCATAAAAATGCAATAGCGAATTTCAAATACAGATTAATCATAACAATGAATTTGGACATTTTATGGTTCTTAATATACCAAAATAAAAATAAAATCGAGTTGTGAATTAGTTGGCCAGCTCTACGGCGAATATATAACACATTCACGGTAGTTATCGTAATTAATTTTGATTGTGATGAGTAATTATTCAATTCCTAATATTTGCTCGTGCAAATATTTAAAATCCATAAATAAAAACTTTTGCACTTTGTCTTTCTGGACAAAGTACAACTGGAAATGTTTAAGATTTATATTATATATAAAAAAAGAGAAAAATAATCACTACTTTCCATCTGGTGCTCGAACCTTTTTATCCATGTTCGTGCCTTTTTTTCTTTTCTCGAACTTGAAAGTTGACTTAGTGAAGCTTCCTACAAAAATTCAGATGATCCACACACGTCTGACGTCTCATACAGTGGATAATTCGGTGGAAGAATATAAGATGCAAGATAACCGACTATAGTGGCCGCCCTATGAAATAATTTAATGTAATTATAAAATTTTAAATTATGACTAAATTCATAATTGATTATCATAATGTTCCCACGAATCTGTAAAACAAATTACAATTCATTCGGACATTACAATAGAAGCTCGAATAAATTTAAAAGTGTTTTTAACAAGATATTTATTAATCTCTTCAAAACGATGCAAAACAAATATGTGAAACTGTACAACAGAAAAATCAATAACGCGAGATAGAAATTTTGACGAGGTAATCGACGATAAACTCGACGAAACTTCAACAACGTCAGCTTTGCGTCTTGTCAACCTAGGCATCGTTAGGCTATAAATCACAGGTCATGTCTTTACATCCCTTCGACCTATCTTGGCATTTTTGGGCCACGAAAAAGTCGACGAAATTCCAACAGCAATGTCGTTACATCTCGTCGACTTAGATGTTTGAGCTAGAATACTCAGAAGAGTAAGTCGACGCACAAGAAATTCCTTTTCTCGTCCCATGCAAAACAGACTAGGGTAACTAATTATATGACCATTTTGAGAAAATCCTGATAAAATCTGCCCAAAGAAACGGATAAAATTGAGAATAAGAATGTGAATTTCAATGACCTAAGCATAGACATGGCTGAGCTTCCTGAGAAGCTTTAAATGTAGAGCTAGCAGAGACAACAAAGGAAGAGTTATAATATCAAAAGGTGAGAAATGGATGAAAATGTCACTTTGAACAGAGGTTGTGTATGCCATTCACCACCTTTGCGTATCATGGTTTTTTTTTTTTTTTTTTCATATTGAAGAGTGTCCACTGTCGACAACAGTGACAATTTCCCTCGCTTATGGTAGGTACCACGATGGATGGAAGAGCTGGTTAAAGGATTTAAAGTTAATCTATATCTATAACGAAATCCAAACCCTCAAATCTATGGTTAAGGGTGAATGGGTAATTAGCACTCCTTCATAACTCCTTTGGTTTGTGCATATCATGTTTGAAAGTTTTGAAATGAACACACACATTAACTGGACCAACGGCCCGAGTATTATTGTAGATTAATGGGCTCAAAACAATTGAGGAGTTTCGGCCCAAATTATGGTCCAGCCCAAACACGGAACATCTTATTGCCTGCCCCGCAGTCCCGCCACTGCTTCAGCCGCTCCGCCCTGGCTTTTCACCGAATCAGTTTTTTTACAAAATAACCCTTCGGATTTTTAGTTTGGGATATTTTTAATCAGAAATCTCTGACTTGTTTAGAGTAATTTTCTCTGAACAGTTAATTCAATTTCTAGGGCAGAAATTTCTTCATACTCAAAGGCTGTTGATATAGATTAAACTTCAATTCTATGATGGGGAAGCCTAGCAGCTCACGGTATCTGTTCTATTGTCTCTTCTATATACTCAGCCATTCGTTGATGGTTATTTATTTATTTTTTATTTTTCCTCATTTTTGCTTGAATTGTTCTGCTTATTGTGTTGGAATTTACATTTTGTTCAGGAAAGAGGCAGCAGCAACTCGTGCTGAGCGCAAATTCGAGAAGAAAGTACAGTTTTATGAAAGTGAGTTGATTTATCAGCTAGAGTGTTCTTTGTTGTTCTTTTAGGATAGCATTATATCGATTCCTCCTTGTTGCTTTCTTTGGCCTCTGGGTTAGGTTAAAAAAAGAAGTTGCATATTCTTCTTAAATAAATTTGGCAATGAGTGGTGATTCCTCATTGAGATTGCAGGTTGGAAAGTTATGATTAATTTGATGAGTTCAAGAAGATTAGGCTGCCAATATATGTCTCTTGAGAGTGCAGAATAATAGATTAGTAGTTAATACAGCTTTCTATCGACTCCATATCTCAGGAATCAGGAGACTACCCTTTTAAGTTCTGTAATAGATTTTCATTCATTAGTGGTTTTGTAGATGTCAAATACATGATGTATAATGACTAATGAGGTCATATGATAAAAAATAAACTGGATTTTCCGTACAAATGTGATTTAAAGTTGCATTTGAAGATTCGTTGGTTGCATTCTTTGTGTAGATAAGGACAGCTTCCAATTGTAATGGAAAAGGTGGAATTTCTTTTGTGTCTTCTAGGGTTGTTGTTAGTGTTAACTTCCTTTGTTGAGATAGTCATTATTAACGAAGTGATGTAGTTATATTTCTTTAACAAGAACAAAAGGGTGTCTTGTTGCTTTTGCTACATGAATGCACTTTCAGAAACGATGAATTTGTTCTGCTCTGATTGTTTTGCTTTCCAAAATGTCTTATCCCTGAACTTTATTCGGGAACTTTTTGTTTCAGAGGTTAGAGATACAGTAGCTTCATTGACAGCTCAAAAGGCCATTGCCAAGGTAAGACCGTAAAAGGCTTTCTGATTTAGACTTCGTTTGTTGACATTATTGTCAATGTTGGTTGCATGAAAATTAATAAGCAGTTGGATACTAGGGAATTTCCGATTGTAATGTGTTGCTTTGTTGGACAAAATTTTGCATAAGCTCATTATTGTGTGGAAAGAAACTCATTTTGTTTGAATATCCATGGCAGCCTTGCCGATCGCCATGAATTAACTAAAGGATTGAAGTTTAACCTGTTCATTTGTATTTGCATGATTTGAACAATCATTATACAACAATTCTACTTTCTCGCAGAAGAAAAAGCGTAGCCACCAGAAAAAATTGAAGCCCTATGACCTTACTTCCCTATCTGAGTTTCTTCCTGAGTTCAATGCTTCACAGCAAAAGCCTCCTACTACATTGAAGCTGAACAGTAAAAGGCGGCAAAATCAAGTGTGAGTACTGGCAAGTGGCAAGTTTTTTGGCATTTTTGGTTTCACCTTTGTGATTCTGTGTGATTTTTACTCTGGTTGAAACTTGTGAATCAGGCTGAAGGAGGGACAGCAGTTGAACACTGTCTTGAATCATCCTGCTTTTCAGTCAGATCCTCTGGGCGCCATTTATAAACATCTTCAGAACACACAGCCACTTACTGATAAGCAACCTAAAGCGAAGGACAACAAGAATGGCCAGAGGAAAGCAAAAAAGAAAAAATCCAAAGCTTCAAAAGGTCCTCAATCCATGGAGTTGTGAATATATTCAACCCTTGACTACTCCACTTTGAATGTTGTCTTCGCTCCCTTATGTTGCATTTTCCTTGAAAAAGAAATATGTCAAGTGGAACATTTGATAGGAAATTTCTAGCTCAACTCGTTTGCAGTAGGAGATGCTTTTGTAAGCTCTTAAATGGCACATGCCCTCCGACTCTGAAATGTACACTTGATACCAAATCGTAGGATGAAGGTAACGTTATTCACGAAGAGAAATCATCTTGCATATTTCCTCAGATTTGCTCTATTTGATGCTTTTTTCAGCCAATTTTGTAGACCTAATGTTATGATCATATCATGTGTTAACATGAAGGTTCGAAGAGCTTGGGAAGTAGTATTAACATCTTCAATCTTTTACTTGTGTGCCTTTGTTGTTTTTTTGTGTACATTGTGATAATGAGAGTGACGATACACTAATTCAAAGAGAGGTATATGTACAATGATAATGTACATGAGCCTCGGAGGTACAAAAATATACTGATAAAATAGTAGTATGGTACATTTTTATCTCATTGTTATACAAACAAGCTGGAACTGCTCAAAAAACTAAAAAAGAAGAAGAAAAAGCCATCAATTCTTTGAGGCAGATTGGAAAATGAATATAGCTGTTAGAACACCCACTAATCCCGTGACAGCCAAAGCAACTGTTGGTAAAGGGCCCGTCAGACCAAAATTCTGCAATTAAGAATCGATTAGATTAGTCAAATTAATCCGATTTTCTGTCAGAAGGGGTAATTATAATCTGCTTAACATCTCCTTCGTACTTAAAGCAACAAAGAAATTAGTATTACTAGAGGTTATCTCAACACTAAATTCAAAGAAAAAGGACCTAGATTTCAGCAACCAAATGCAGGACTTGTGAAGTATGATTGCTCACGAAGACAACAACGGAAACAGAGAACCAAGTTGCATAATCTGTTTATCCACATGATTACTTACAAAGACAAAAATGGAAACAGATAACCAAGTTGCATAATCTGTTTATCCAAAGTGCAGCAAGCAAAAGGAAAAATGCAGATGTCAAACCTCCAGAAGTCCTTTGCCTGTCGCTATTTCGACACTAATAGCTGCCGCAAAGCCAATCATCGCGAACCGGCCGAGCCATACATCCAAACTGTTGCTATCCTTGGCACTCTGCTCGCATCTTATTGAAACTGAAGTTGATTTACTCGAAGCTTTTGTTGAATAAGAAGCTTTCTGAATCACTGGAAAAAGTAAGAAGAGACCATCCTGTTCAGTTCTCATTGGGAAAAATAAGCTCCTTCGTGTTGTGAAGGCATGCGAAACGTATAAAACTTTAACTATCTTAAAGCAAAAACTAAACTAGAGACCAGATTTCTCAGCTTAATTTCTTAATTTCATCATCAGCCAAACAGATTTAGAAGGCAAAAGTACATATAGACAAACAGAATAGTGTGCAATTGAGTTAAACGGAAAGAAGTTGAGATGAATTGAGTTGAAATAAATGGAGCAATTTCAGATTAAGTCAGTACATCTCAACCCGCGGGCTTGACAACAAAAGGAGGAGAAAAGGTCAAGAAAAAAGAGATCAAAACATAGAGGAGCTGCTCATTTGAAGACTAAAAGAGTCACAATGCACTCGGCATAATGCAAGAACAAGAGGAAGAAAAGAACACTGCACATTTGTGATAATAATCACATAAAACCGTTAAACACAATCTGATTCCAAGTTTACTTAAAGTTGCTCCTAATCTGAGCTGAAAGGAAACTCTAATTTGACCTAATATGAGATGATACAAGTCATTTGTATCGAGTGTGAATACATTCCTTTAATCCACACAATACCTAAAAATGACTACAAAGGTAATCACAAAAACCCGAACCCAACTCTGTTAATGATATCCCATAATCTAGAAATTCTTATCACAGCTACAGGGGTGAAGCCTGAGTGTAAGCCCCTCCGCAACATAGTACATAGAAATCCATAGTTCCTTGATAGAAGGTAAACTTACATAGAGGAGTTCCAGTTGCGAATGCAGTTCCAATTTTGACAGAACCCTTTTGGGGAATTCGAACTACGGGTGAAATTCTCGTTGGGTTTGCGATGCAAACATCTGCAGTGAACGTAAGCATAGACGTACTCAAAGTTTGCCTCTTTGCACCTGTTAGCTGATCGGTGCCAGAAAGAAAAAGGAAAAAGTAAAAACAGAAAAAGAGGAGTGGATAAGAAAGGCCTAGACTTTACCTCTAACAGAAGTGTACAAGCAATTGTGAACTTGAGCTATGGCCATTTTCATAGGAAAGGAGCTCCTTTCTGTATACAGTTTGGCGTCTCAAATTTCTGTCTGGTTTCTTCCTGCTTCAAATGTCAAAAGTTAAGGTTCTGGGTTTATCAGTGAGGAAAGAAAGGTTGTGGCTTGCGTTTGGGAAGACGAAGGCAACCGAGTACCACAATTGTCATATCCAAATTAAACTAGTAATTTCCTATAAATTATTTTTATATGGTCATTTCGTTGTTAGTTTTATTGGAAAACAATAAAAAGAGTAAAATTGAAAATAACGGTAAATGTCCCAAAATAATATTTGTGTCCAAATAATTTTGGAAAGTAGGAAGGATATACCTTTTGGCAATAAGCCATAATTAATCACTGTCAGATTTCAAGAAGATCATCATCATCATCACTGCACAGTTTCTTCTTCAAGCTGCAGAGCTCATTCTTCGTTTTTCGATTTCATTTCCTCAAATCTCCCATTCTTCCCTAATTTACTTTCCAGGTAGGATTTTGAAGGACCCCTTTTGTTGTATTCTCATGTCTACTCTGCCTCCTATCAGAACTCGCCTCTTATCCCCTTCTCACCATCACCTCCACCACCACCACCTGCGCCGCCTTGTCGGGTTCTCTTCATCTTTGTCCCTTCAATCGAAACAGCCTTACTTGGGTCAATCTTATTTTACACTTAGAGATGGCCGGAAGTATTTGCAGCGAAGTGGAGTTCTGGCCAGAGCTGAAGACAAAGCCAGGGGCTCTTCTACTTCGTCGACTCAACAGCCCAATTACTCGGAGAGGCCGAAGCTCGAGGTTTATTTCAGCTCCTTTTTTTCTCCATAAAGTTGGAGACCCGTTTTTCATACCATTTCTAAATATCTAATGATGTTTATATGTCTGAAAATCAAATTGAACTTCTGTGGGATTCTGAGATTGTGCATTTACTGGTAATTTTGACGCTAGAGATACAGTAGTTCTTGTGATGTTATTAACAATGATGTTTTGTGAGTTGCTGATACTATTTACTCTAGTATTTACTGGATTATGTTAAAAATTAGCATAATCAAGATTTGGACTGTTAGTTATAAGTTGGTATAGCTTCTGATTAATTACTGCACCGCCTTTGTTCCATTAAAGTTGCATAACTATTTTGAGTTCATTGGATATTACAAATTGTTGTAATCTTTTGTGTGACTTATTTTTTAGAGTTTTTGTTTAGCGTAGTTCGCAACTCATTCAAGAACAAAATGGGTTTCAGAATTATATTCACTTACTGGAAGCTTATATACAGGAACTAGATTCATCTTCTGGACTGTGTGATCCATTGTGTTCTGTGGATGAAACGAGCTCCCAACAATTTGAAGCCAATTACCAGCCAAAGACGGATTTTCTGAAAGCTTTTGCAATTTTGGCTGCAGCTGGAACTGGGACACTGGCAATAAATCACTCCTGGGTAGCCGCAAATCAGGTGGCTCATCATATATTTCTGGGTTTTTGACACAATTTTTGTTAAACTACTTGTAAAACTGTAGGCCTGCCAAAAGTTTATTTGGTTTGATGTAATATCGTGATTCAGGACCTTGCCATGGCAATTTTATTTGGATTAGGGTATGCTGGGATAATATTTGAAGAATCATTGGCGTTTAACAAAAGTGGAGTTGGACTTCTGATGGCAGTCAGCTTGTGGGTGATAAGAAGCATTGGGGTAAGATTTGAGTGCTTGCATAATGTCTTAGTCCATATAGATGAGTTTTTTTTTCCTCTGAGTTCAAAGTCCGTGATGTTTGACAAGGAACGGTAGTGAAACCAATTTTCTTTTCGTTTCTGTTTTGTGGAAGTTTTCCGTTTAAAGAAGGATGACAACTACTAATATCTGTAAGTACATTGGCCTCGCAAGATATGCATTTCGACTGAGCTTGATGGAAACATGCACAAAGTAGGATAGAGGTTGCTTGTTGTTTTGCAATACTTTGTCAAGCTTGCATAAGTAGTTTTGTTTTTCACTTGATATCAGACCTCGCTGTGTTCATGGGAGTGGCATCCTATGCTAACCTTATGCTATATCATTTCCTTGAGCTCAAGAATGAAGTTTTGAAACATTCTAGTTGTTTGTGGATGTACGACTTCCTGGAGAATACAATTGTACAAATACTTTAAACTTGACATGTTGGTTTGTTATCTTAAAATGAAGCAGGCTTTGTGTTAATTATTAGAAACTTGTTAGATCCTCTGGGGAGTCGGCCGTGTACTTTAACGCGAATCTTTGTTGTCTACCAAAATGGTTATTTTTCTCCCTTATTTTTTTTGTCAGAATGTGTTTTCTAATTCAGAAAAACCTTGTTTTCCAGGCTCCTTCAACGGATATAGCTGTTTCACAGTTATCGCATGCATCAGCTGAAGTCAGTGAAATCGTGTTTTTTTTACTTGGTGCAATGACTATAGTGGAGATAGTGGACGCTCATCAAGGATTCAAGTTGGTGACGGACAATATTACCACACGAAAACCAAGAACTCTACTCTGGGTGGTTAGTTCTCTCTCTCTATATATATTTTTTTGCAAAGTTCAGTAGTCTGACTCGGAGAATCCAGACGGTGTTCTCTTAACCCTGTTTCTCATATTCAAAGTGGTTCTTTTCTGGTGATGATTGCAGGTTGGATTTGTAACTTTTTTCCTCAGTTCAGTGCTTGACAACCTGACATCGACAATAGTTATGGTCTCTCTATTGAGAAAACTAGTACCTCCATCAGAATATCGAAAGTAAGTTTACACGTTTGCTTTCTAAGAAGATTTAAATTGGTGCATTTTATCATATAACGTAAGAGCCGCTTAGAAAATGTTTCAACATTGTTGATCTGCTCCATCTGGATAAAAGAATGGTATAACAAAACACCTATTTGTGGATTTGAACCTGAATATGCTTTAATAACCATATCTACTTTTTTGGAAAATGAAGGAAAAGAAGAATAATAACCACTGTCCACTTATTATGTTGTTTGAAACCCGATTGGTTTCTTTTAGAAAGTGAAGAAAGACGAATAAATATGAGGGTAAAAAGTCTACAGGTGGACTGGTGATGATGAAGTCGCATGCTTTTGGGTTGTTAAAATTGTGTTTTCAGCTTCCATTATCAAGTATTGGCTGTAAACTTAAAGTAATATTTAAAGAAAGAAGGATAAATCTTTAGGTTCTATTTAAATTGCAATAAACAGATGGTGTCAGTACCCTTGTTTGGCAACAGAGGGAGGTCTATCTTTTTGCTAATATTAGGTTGGAAATTAGATACTTTAGAAATCGCCTCCATGAAGATATCATTTTTGTTTTGATTTCAGCTGCAGTAAAGGTTATCTGTTCTTTTGGGAATTTTTCAGGCTTCTTGGTGCAGTGGTGGTTATAGCAGCGAATGCTGGCGGAGCATGGACACCTATTGGTGATGTCACTACTACCATGTTGTGGATACATGGTCAGATATCGACTCTGCAGACAATGAAGGTCTTGTGATTGACTGATTGCTCAAGCCTAATGAATTGTTGTTTATACTCAACTTTTCTGTTATTTGTTTGATAATATGTCATGTCTTGCATCATGATTAGTTCAAAGAAGACTAATAGAGAAACATTTGTGATGCCTTACCTCATTATCTCAGCTGTTTATTTTTAGCATGTAGCTGAACTTTATCTAAAGCTTTTGCTTGAAAAATCTAATATGGTAGAAAGTAAGAATAGGATCGTTGGAGCTTGTTTGTTAATTCTTCTGATAGAATCAATGCACTAGTGACTAGAGTTGACCTATTCTAACTTCTTTTCCATCCTTCCAGGACCTGGTTTTTCCTTCACTTGTTTCTCTGGCTGTTCCTCTGGCTTTAATGTCCCTTACAAGGTACCTTATATATGAAAACAAGAAGGGAATTTGTCATACATAATCTGAATATTTGAATTTGTGGTTATTTGAATATTCTTTCCCTTCTTTAGTGAAGTTAGTGGGAGAGGACAGAATTCTTCAGATGTGTTGGCTTCAGAGCAGATGGCTCCTAGGGGAAAGCTTGTGTTTTCTGTGGGAATAGGAGCTTTAGTGTTCGTCCCCGTATTCAAAGCTTTAACAGGCTTACCTCCTTATATGGGGATGCTTCTTGGACTGGGCGTCCTTTGGATTCTAACAGATGCTATTCACTATGGTGAATCAGAGAGATTGAAAGTACCTCAGGCTTTATCACGAATTGATACTCAAGGAGTTCTTTTCTTTCTGGGGATTCTCTTGTCTGTTAGCAGGTACACATGGCACTCTCTTTTATGTCCTTCTTTTTAAAAAAAGTAAAATAAAAATCCAGACCCCTTGGTGAGAGTTGAACCTGGGTCTATTCCCAGACCCTTACCACTGGGCTGTTACTCAATTCCCCGCACTCCGTCTTATGTCATTTGAAAATCAAACCTGTTATTTGTTTGAAATCATTTCACCCTAGCTTAGATGTAAATGCAAGAAATCAAAGCAAATGAATTTTTTTCATCAGGATCGGCTTCTTTAATTCATAAGTTGTGTTCTCCAGACCATACAAACTAGGAACCATACAAGCAGAGTCACTTCATTAGTTGGTCTGAATGAGAATCAAAATCCTTTAATGTCATAACTTTTCACATCTGTGAGTTGCAAAAGGAAGAGGAAGGTATAAGAATCAATAATGAAAAGAATGTTTGCAACCTACCACGAATGGGGAGAAGTTTGTTGCTTCATGCAGTATGCCAGTGTTTGAACTTTCTTGTATGCGACAATTATCAGCTGCCTATGCGTTTTACATTTTTTGCTTACTGACATCATGTGTGCAGCTAACTTCTTCTAGGATGAGTTCAATGTTTCCTTTGTATTACTCTCCTCATTCAGTTTGGTGTGACATTCACTTTCTTTTTTCACAGCCTAGAAGCTGCAGGAATTTTGCGGGAATTGGCTAATTACCTTGATGCCACCATACCAAACGTTGAATTGATTGCTAGTGCAATAGGAGTAGTGTCAGCAATCATAGACAATGTTCCATTGGTTGCAGCAACAATGGGAATGTATGATCTCACTTCATTTCCTGTAGACTCGGAGTTCTGGCAGTTAGTAGCATATTGTGCTGGTACCGGCGGATCTATGCTAATTATCGGGTCTGCTGCTGGAGTTGCATTCATGGGGATGGAGAAAGTTGACTTCTTTTGGTACTTCCGGAAGGTATGTCCTCCTTTTCTTGATTGTTCAGTACAGTGCCATGTAAAGGTGGTTTTTGGTTTAATTCACCTCATTCAACTCATGCAGGTGAGTGGCTTTGCTTTTGCTGGTTACGCTGCCGGCATTGCTGCATATTTGGCAGTTCACAATCTCAACTTTTCCCTCCCTACAACACTGGCTGAGTTTCCCATTCTTTTGGGTTCCTAAGCGTATTAATTCCGTGGATAAAGATGAACAACGCACCCATGGAATGGCACTGTTGATGGAACTGAAAATGTTGCTATATTTAAATGTTCCTTCTTCAAAACACACGATTAATGGAGTATTCCTCCCAAAATTAAGAAATAAAGGGAGGAAGAGATGTTCCTCTGCCTGTGAAAATGTTGCCATTGAAGCCTGGAAATGATAGAAAATTTTGTCCTCCTAACTCCCTATTGTAATATTATTGTAGTTTTCCTTTCAATTATGGTACTCTGATCAATTTTGGTTTCTTCGATCTGGGAACTGTACAACAAAGAAAAATATAAATAACTGCCCTCATTCTATGGTTTGACTCATGATAGTCACAATAAAATCATTGAATGATTTGCAGCAGGAAATAATGGGACAAGAAATAAGAACTAAACCACTAGGCAGTACTCGCAAAAATGTGTAATAAAATCAGCTATCCTCCATGGCTATCAAAGAGTTGACTATGAAGCTCACGGAGATTTCCATCATCTATATCTGCAAGATATGCAGAACTCAACAAATAATTATGGAACCACAATACCCAAAGCCAAATTATTTTTTCCCCTTTCCTACAAAAATTCAAAAATAAAACCCAAAGTCAAAATCTGAGTGTGCCCAGAAATCCACCTATAACTTCAGGTAAACAAACTCCTCAACAGCTGGTATTTCTCCAATTCTCTTCAATGTTTGTTTGCTAGGTTGCTCATCAACTCCAATAGCCATGACAGCGTGCTTCCTTGGAGCAACTCTTCCGACACTCATAAAGCTCACATTCACATTCTCCTCACCCAAAATGCTGCCAACCTTTCCGATCATTCCTGGTTGATCCACCTGCCTACAGAGGATGATGCTTCCTTCCAAGCTCACATCTACTTCAAATGATCCAACCTTAGTCAAGTGAGGAATTCCATCTTTAACACGTCCTTCCACTTTAATTTCCCCAGTTTCTGAAATCGCACTAGCGAATTTTGATTCCACATTTGCGATTTGAACCTGGATAAACTCAAGGGGGCTCTCAGGAGAACCATCCAACAGGATTCTTTCTTCGGTTATACGGAGTCCTCTTTGTTTAGCAGTGAAATCTGCATTCACCAGGTTCACGAAAACACTAGAGATGGGCTCGATAATACCCTTGGTAATCATAGCACGAAGGAGTCTAGTGTCGAGATCATCGGGTGCTCTAGCTGATGCATAAGAGACTTTCACAGTTTTTACACCACTTCCTCCAGTGACTAACTGAACAGCAAGTCTTCCAAGTTTTTCAGCAAGGTCAACAAATGGCTTCAGCTCGGATAGAACCTGCAGGTAATTTATTAGAGTTGCCCAACAATTATAAAACACAAGGTAGAAAAGATTTTCAAGCCCTCTCATTCAAATAATCAATCAACCATTGCAGATTAGTCAGCAGAGACAGCAAGTGGACACAGAGGATCCCTTTAATTCCTAAAAGTTGTCCATTCTGGAGCTATTAACCTCTCAAAATTGAGTTTTAACAGCCCCAAAAATAAATAAAAATAGAAACTAAAAATTAGATACACCATGCCTTCTAACAGCTAACCACAATAAGGAAAATGGATAATACAATCGGCTTACAGAGAAATAGAAAACATGGCATATGAAATAACTTAAGAACCGAGAGAAAACCAGCTCAGACTTTAGTGCACAGAATATTGCACCCAAGGATCATAGATCTTGATGATATCAACCCATCAAGTTACAGGTAGCATATTGAGAGTAGGAGAACAAAAGTTATAGCAAGGGAATTAAGAACGAAGGGGTCTTTAATTGATACCTCAGCAGGAACCATGGGCGCATTCACGGCAGTAGCAGCAAGCTCCCCTTTCAATGCTCCAACAACGGCTTCCGCAATTTCAATGGCAACTCCTTCCTGAGAACATATATAGGAATTCAAACATCTTGTTTAAAAGACTGAAAAACAAGCAACATGTCCATACATTCAAATTATACCTGAGCTTCCATTGTACTCGCACCAAGATGTGGAGTCACGGTGACATTCTCATGTTGAACCAACTTGCTGTCCTTTGCAGGTGGCTCTTCGGTGAAAACATCAAGTGCTGCCTGAATTATAAATTCACCAACCACACCAGGTATCAATTATGGTTTTCTTCAAGGTCATCAAACAATCTGAATAAGAAAGACAACGATAAAAAAAGAACGAACCTGAGCCACTATGCCAGCATCCAGTGCCTTTACAAGAGCATCTTCATCAATTACTCCTCCACGGGCTACATTCACAATTCTCACCCCTTTCTTCATCTTTGCAAAGTTTTCATCGTTAAGGATCTTATTTGTGGAAGGTGTAAGGGGCATGTGCAGTGAGATGAAATCAGCCGTTGCAATGGCTTCGTCAAAGCTAACCAGTTCCACTCCAATAGCACGAGCACGGTCAGCTGGTGCATAAGGATCGTGTGCAATAACATGCATACCAAGTCCTTTTGCCCGTCTAGCAACTTCTGACCCGACCTTTCCAAATCCCATGACAGCAAGTGTCTTGCCCACAAGTGATACACCAACATACTTGTTCCTCTGCCACTTTCCTATACCCATCAAGCAATGAATACTTTAGTACTAACAACAAGGAAACAACACCGAAACCTCAATCTTACTTGGCTAAGCACCTGTATGGCTATATTCCTATTTACTGGTTCACAAGTCTTACTGTTTTCTAGCTTTTCCATCTTATCCTCCCATTAGTGCACAAAGACTCTGGAACTTTTGGCACCAACAAAGAGGACCCATTTAACTGAAGATGAGCAAATATATTGCATTATTTCTGAAAGGATTAGAACTTTGCACCAATATCTTCCTCCCAAATAATGACATGTAAAATTCTTAAACTGTGATCAATTTGCCATGAAAATGTAAAGCCTACTGCTAAGTGCAATAAGGTTGACAAAGTGAAACAAGCTGCTCCTGAGTAACCTCCTCCATGCGAAAACTAAAAATGATCCTAAATTTCCAAAGGCCAAAATTTTACCGTCTTTATCAATTTTCTTCCTAATTTCAGCTCAAGTTCTAAACAAAAGAGAGGGTACAGTCAGCACAGTATTACCATTATTCATTCCATTTCCCATTTTACAAAACAACTTTCAACATTCATAATTGACCTTCTAAGTTTCCAATTAAAAATTGTTTCTCAGGTCACACACAGCTTCTTAATAACCTTTATAATGGCTAGACGTGGTGGTAAATAAGTACACCTATTACAGTTCTCCAAAGCTACTTTCCAACTTTTGAGCCAAACATGAGTTCCCCTACCCAATCAACCATAAATAAAGGTCTTTTCTTTCTGTTCCTCTGCTCTCCCAATTCCAAATAACTAGATCTGACAATATTCCCAACTTTCCACTTTAAGTCGACTTAAAAAGATTCGAAGTTAATCACTTTTCCCATAATAAAAATTCCAATTTTCAGGAAAGGAAAAAACCAGAAGCGGCAAACATCACTAACCAGCTTTAACAGAGGCATCAGCTTGGGCAACATTCCGAGCCATGGCAGCGAGCAGAGCGATACCATGCTCAGCGGCAGCAACAGTATTAGCCGTCGGCGCATTCACAACAAGGCATCCATGTTCCGTGGCGGCGGCCAGATCCACGTTGTCAATACCAACTCCCGCGCGTCCGACCACCTTAAGCCGCCCACCGGAGGACTCGAAAACCTCCCGGGTCACCTTCGTCCCGCTCCGAACAATCAAGGCATCGCAGAGCGAGATCTTGGTGCAGAGCTCTTCGGGGGTCAGATTGTAGGAGCAATCCACGTTGGCGAAATCCTTCAACAGATTGACTCCAGCTTCCCCGAGCTTCTCGGCGACCAAAACGGTGGGTTTGGCGTCCATGGCATAAACGACGAGCTTTCCTCCTCCCCGGCGGCGGCTGGGAAGAGAGATGGTGGCGAAGACGGGAGGAAGCTGGCGCCTCCATGAGAGACTGGCCTGTGAAATGGATGGCTTCGTAGAGAGAAGACTCGCCGATGAAGCTGCCATTTTCAAATTAATTTGGAGTCTTAAACCAACAACGAAAGATTTTCGTCTTGCCGGGGAGGAATTGACGGCGGGGGAATGAAAATTGAGAGGGCGAATTTATAGGGGTTTAAGGGGGTTGGTGGTGGTGTTGGAGTTGGTGAGTAGGACTGAGAGAAATGAGGTTTAAGGGCGAGTTTTGGGGGTAATAATATACACGCGCCTCTGTGTTTTGGGAGGGAAAATGAGTCCAGATGGGTAGGTACGTGACTCCCACGGAATTGTTGTGACAGTGGGCTTGGGGAATTCGATATGCGGATCTACGTGAGTTTAGAGTAAACAATGGAGTACTATAAAGATCTGGACCCGTGGATTCTATTTTGTAGGATCCGACCGTATCTATAAAATGTGTACTCTAAATTAAGGATATTACTAGATGCTTGTCCCGGGCAAATGTCCGGGGCGTCCTTTCACCTAATAAATTAATATATAAATAATCACTGATTAGCAATGCATTTAGTTTTTGATGAAGATAATTGATTGACCGAAAATTAATTTTTTCGAAAGTCCTAAATAAGTGGAGAAAGAAAGTTCTATTCACTGTCAAATTCAAAATTTAAATGAACATGTCCATCTAATCTCTTCGTTAATATTATAAATATATTTTTTATTTTTAAAAGGGGGTGACACGTGTCAGAATAGTTTATGCAATATGGTGCATTTGGAGCCAAAACATTTTAATACAAAATTGCCATATCAACATCCTGTTTTCTGCTTTAATAGAGTAAAAGGGATTAATCTACCAGACTTAACTGAATAAATTATTTATAATGGTTAATCCAATCCTTTAGTTATTCAGTAGTACTAAAAAGTAGAGTATTTGAGTTCCTGGGGCATCCTGAGGAAAAGCGTTTAGTTATCCACTTTATTTATCGTAATGTTTATACTTCAATGAATGGATTCGGTACTAATTAATATAATTTACATTGTAATTTACCCTCCAAACTATAATGGTAATTACGATAATGAAAAAAATGGTTGGTGGGCAGTTGGTAGTGGTGGCCCTTAACGATTTAAAAAATATCGCTGATTCGGCAGTGTCAGGCAGCTACTTGGGTAAGCTGGATTTTTCCTGGTAGGTTCCACGTTCAGGAGTCCAATCCAATTGGTTCATCGTGCGAAATTCGGGCTACTTGCTATTTTTTTTTACTGCATTCCTCTTCTTCCTTAATTTTTTATTTTTTTTTTTAATATACCGGGGAAGTAAAAAGCTAGTTTACGAAAAGTCAATTCGTCAAGGCGGAGTTGAGCTAGGTAAAGATGAGCTAGAACAATGTATTGCTAGTTTTTCTAGGATCTTCTTCCTTAAATTGCTATATAAAACGATAATGCAGTTTGTAGACATCACATGTAGTAGGTCTAATAACTCAGTCTTGCTACTGAAATGGGTTGGTATACTGGCTTCTGTTTATCTCATAAGCCCGATTTCACCATGCAAACAAACTTTGTAATTTTATTTATTTATTTATTTATTTTGGAAAACCGTTCATTATCAAAGCAAATTACAAAACATTCATTACAAAGGACGCTCTATCTAACTTATGAGTGTTTTCAACATTACATTTATCTACTATTCTACTTTTATAAAAGAAGGAAATGTTTTTTCTAGCTACCAAACTTTAATTCTTTCAGCTACTAATTTCTAATTTTGACCATTTTACTCCTGTCATTTGACCAAATCAAATTGAAGGAGAGAGAGAGGTGGAGAGGGAGAATGAGCCACTCAAATGCATTTGGAGAAAATAAAAAAAAAATTGGACGGAACCGGATAAGTCATTCGGTCCGACTCACTGAGAACGGACAAATTATTAATTTTCATTTTAATACTAATTTATTCTCCGTATCGTTGCATGCTGAATATCTCGTATTTTAAATATTATTAACAATATTTATACTTTAATTCTTAAACTCTCAACTTTATATTTATTTGAATATAAATAAGTAATTAGTTTTTTCTTGAAAATAAATTTAAGATTATTTGTTAAGTTAATTTATTTAAATTGATGTTAAAATATAAAATTCTGGTTCAATCATCATTCTTTAATATAATTTTTAGTTAAAAATAATAATTATACATTTAACTAATAATTAGTGATACATAATATACCTCAAATAATAAATTATTCATAAATTTAAGTAATAAAAATTTAATGACATAAAAACTAAATTAACTAATTAAAAAATTAAAAAACAATAACAAAAAAATTAAAAATTAAAAAATAGATCTGACCGGATCGATTTGCAAGACCAGACCGGACAGATTTGCATGACTGGACCAGACCGGACAACACATCCGTCCCGCTAAAAAGATGAAAGGGCAATACACCTGTCCCGAGTTTAAGGCGAACGGGCAGTCCACCCGTCCCGAGTTAACTCGGGACGGCCAATTCACCCGTTCAGGCAAATAAGAGGACGTGCAGTTCACCCGTCCCGAGGACGGGTTCCTTGCACGGTCGACTGATTTTTTATTTTATTTTTTTAAATTTTCAATTTTTTTTATAGTTTTCTCTTTAATCAAGTTACTCGGTTTGGAAAAATGATGGGGACAAAATGGTCAAAATCGAAAATTAGTGACTGAAAGAACTAAACCTGGTGGCTTGAAGAAGTAACACCCAAAAGAACACAAAAGAAAACTATCTCTCAACTTACATGTATCATCCCCTAACATGTGAAGAGGATGGGGCAATGCTACTGATTCTTATCCAAGTTTTACAACAGCTGCATTGTCAGATTGGAGAGTACATTGAGAAATTCCCATCGCTTTTGCTCCTTGTAAACCTTTTAAGCAGGCCATTGCCTCCGCATTGAAAAGTAAATTTGATCTTATGAGCAGAGCAACTTTTAGGCAACACAACAAAAATTACTCCTATTATTTGAACAAAGCATGAAACAGAATGATTCTCCTAAAATTGCTACGACCGCCACAGGTAAAAAGTAAGTAGAATCATTTGGATCACGAATCAGAAATTGGTTTGACCTAGACAATAGGAGCACCGCACTTCCTAGTGAGTGAACAACAAGTTCCAGCTCGAATCGAAGTATTGAACCATAACCAGCAAAATGATACAAGCATATGCTTACAAGACCATTTAATAGTACTGCTTAAGGTGCTTGCAAATTACTCTCTCGTCCCAAAACTATAATCCATTTTAGATTTTAATTTTTAATTAAAAAGTGAAAATCTAAACTCAATAATTTTAGAAGAGAGAAAGTCCAAGTTAACATTTTCGAATTGTGAATGTGATGTGACATGGCATAATCAAGTTTGGATTCAGTAATTCATAGAGTAAACGTGATAATTAAGGTGCCAACGATGCTGATCATTCACGCACCCTCATCTCACACAGAGAAAAGGCACTGTGGAACACAAAATTACAAGCAGACAAACCAACTCGAAGGTTACCTCAGGGTGAAGAAAAACAGAGCAACTTAGGAAAATGACAACAAAAAGGGTTGTCTTTTTCTAACATGCAAAATTGGCGAGGTATGCTTCAGCCAACATTTGGCCTAATTTGACCTGAGCTTCAGTAGTCAAATGGAGATTGTCTTCCTTCAGCTCCAACCCTATAGCATCCACGCAAACCACGTTCTCCATTTCTATACTCTTTTGCGCTTCCCTTATTTTTTCCATGTATTTCCCATCCCCTGATGCTATTGCAACCTATACATTCCAATTTCCACCACCAGCCCAATTCATCAATTTACTACAGTACTTGAATAAAAAATCACAAATCACATTCAGTAAAAAAATAAAAGTCTTTTCTACATTTCATCATTTACCAACCTGAATGATTGGGAGATTAGGCAAATTGAGATCAAAACGCACATTATGAATCAGTTCCTCCATCTTAGCCTTGTAGCAATCCGCGTCATGCTGCGATGACGTGTCGCTCTCTCCCTGATACCAAAGCACCGCCTTGATTTCACCGCCGCCGTCGTGATGCACGGCGGCTCTGGCCCTCTTGATCATATTGTCGTACAAGTGAGCCCCACGCTCCCACTCCTTGATGGCTGTCCCGCCCACCGCGCAAGGGACCAGCCCCAGAATTCCGGCCACGCGCTCCTTCACGGCGTTGGCGAATGACATCCCTGGTCCCACCCCGCAGGTCTTCTTGGTGTCGATGTCGTGGTGGAGCGGCTCACGCGCGACTTCCCAGTTCAGGTGGGAGGTGAAGCGGAAGATCCGGCATGGATCGGGGGCGCATTCTGGTGGAACGACGCCGTCCCACTGCTTGAGCTTGTTGTGCAGCCGGATCACGCCTCCCCGGCCGGCCATGTTGCTTTGACCTGATAAGATGAAGATTTGTTTTGTGGGCTGGGCTTCATACTCCTGGTTGGGTTTGGATTGCTCCATGGAATAGTGTGGGTCGACTACTGGGGAGACGTCCGATTGTGATGATTTTGTTGTCAAGTGCGAAAATGGCCGACAACTAAAAGCTGAGTTGACGTTATCGTAAAGGTATATACTAGATCGTTGGTTCTTTTTTTATTCCCTTTTTTACTTTATAGAAATGGGCGGGTAGTAGGTGGGCCTCTCACTCTTGGGCTGAAAATGAATTTGATCACCTTGTCAATTGTTGCTTAGCCATCTTCATCAGTTCTGAACTTCGTCCAGTTCCAAGCACATGAAAAGTTTAGTGAAAATAAGGAAAATACATTAATCAACATTTTTATGTTGCGAACTTGCGATCCATTAATTACTCCCCAGATAAATAGTTCACATAGAATTTCGAATTTATATATTAAAAATAGTGTAAATTTCAAAATTATAGGTGAATTATTTTTTAAAAAACTAGACAAAGAGAGTACCTGTATATATAAATATATAATGAATATTAGATGACTTACGTAGAACAAGCAAAATGTAATGAAGATCTCATTCCATGCATACGTTGTCTCAGTGAACATCAATTCCAGACATAGTACGAAAACGTTCAATTCAAAACTCAGCACGTAAACCTGAATTTAGTTTGCAGTTTAATGAACATGGTTTGATTTGTACAAAAAAAATGAAATATTCGTCGATAACATGTTGCATCATCATAATACATTTAACATGTGACCAGATTGAAAGAGTTATGTCACATCATGCTATATATTCCAGAATGGAAGGAAATGATATATTCCATCCGGTTCTTAATATAAGGCATTTTGATTTGTCATATGTTTTACCTAGCATGCATTTTCAATCGACGAAAAAATCTTAAAATATTTCATAACAATCAAGAGAACACAACTATTTTTAAGAATTTTTTATTAATTAATAATACGTACTAGATGAAACTTAGGACGTAATATTAAGGACCGGAGAGAATATTACACTTAAATTTTAACCGTTGGCCAAGATATCGTCATCAATAAACATTAACAAAACCAAATTGAGATGGTTGCGTGCTTAACATTATGAGGTGTGCATGCCGGGATTGCGTTTACAGATTTTATTAAACCATGGTTGTGGGAGCAATCAGTATGTCTCTTCTTCGCGTGTCAACTTGCTCCATTCCTAATCCAAATCTTGTTGATTTTTAACCCTTAATTAACCACCAAAAGTCAGGTATCATTACTAGATAACAAATTATCTTACAGAAATGTACGTACTAGACTTAATTTTTTTAAAAAAAATTGATCAAACTTTGCAACACCTTTAATCAGTACACTATTCAACGACAAAAGCTTCTTTGGATCATCTCCTCCTTTTATCAAACAAAGCATTCTCCCAAGTCAATAAAGACCAAAAGCTACCAAGAGTCCAAGATCCCTCCACTATCAATCTAATACATTTGGACCGAACCGACTTGGACCGGATGGACCCAACCCGACACCATGATTACTCCTTCGCATGGGGATTAAGAACATGGAAATCTCTCCAGGATTTGACGTGCATCTTTCATGGAAGGTCTCTTTTGTGGATTCAATGAAGCACAATTAAAGCCTAATTTGAAGCATTCCAATACTAAATCCTCCCGGTTCGCCACCTCGCCTCTAATTGCCACGTCAGCCATTGCCAAAACCCGGTATTTGTCTTCCATCACTAAATCGGATGACGTCCATTCGCCCAATTCCCGGTCTGAAAACACTTTCCCGGTCAAAAGCTCTAGTACTAATATTCCAAAGGAGTAAACATCCCATTTAGGATTAGGCTTGAGGTTCTTGAGGGACTCAGGGGCATGATATGGTGAGGTGCAACCCATGAACCCTAACGCCGGCGCGATCCAGGGGCTGCCAGCTGACGTCATCGCAGGATCGGCCCTCCGGCTACCAAAATGCCTAGATGAAGAATGAGGGTCAGTTTGGTTTGTGTTCTTTTTGCCGTACATTAGCCAATGAAGTCCGAAATCACTAATTACTGCATCCATTTCTTGTGTCAGAAGAATGTTGCTGGGCTTGATGTTGCCATGCACATGTTTCTTTTCATGGATGTAGGCTAGTCCTCGTGCTACACCTTTTGCTATCTTTAACCGTACTTGAAACGGCATATGATAAGGTGATGATCCAATCTTCCCTGAAACATTTACAATCATCAATAGACAATAACAATATGTTATACTTAACCAAAAATAGTAACCAATTGCCTTCTATTTTTGAGTTTTTTTCCCTTTCTTTTTTGGTTCAGAAATTACAAAATGTTCTGAACAGACACATATCATGCTCAAACTAACAAATATACTGAGAAAATAGACGACACGAATAACAATGATTGATAGGAAGAAATTCAAACGACTATAATGGCAAACAATATTTATGAGATTTTTGCTTTTTAAATTTGTCAAAAAAGTCACAAGCCATAAACTTGACAGCAATCAGCTTTTTGCCTTTTTCATACGCACAAAAAGCACATTGGGGTCTGTTTATGTGAATCTTAGTGCATATATGAAAGAAGAACATTGTTAATTTCGGAAAAATTTTGTGACACATGCTTTTGGCGTATTACCTGTTTTCTTCTGCTACGTACTTTTTAAGTTTTAGAAAAGAAAAATCCCTAACAAAGAGATTCAGTAATATAAAATTACTGTGTTGAATGGACCTGGCAACCTGCTACGTATGTGAACAAAACCACATCCTAATTTGGAGCAAAATGGATAGCAACAACCAATATATTCTCTTGTCTTGATGTGAAAATAAAGTTTCCAAATTAATGTGGGAAGTCAGCTAGATTTAGGGTAAAGATTCATTGGAAAATGATAGTGATAAGATAAAATGAAACATGTTTTTTTTGTTGGAACAGAACAGAGTTCCTCTTATTGGGTATCATCATAAATTTTTGAGAATTAAATTCAAGAAAGCCCCTCAAACTGTCTCTTTACCTAACATTAAATATCCACAATTTACCAAAATTTTGACAGGTTTTCCATAGAAAAAAAAATTGTAGAAAGAAAATGAAAAAATTGAAAGAAGCTTTAGCACTTGATTAGGTAATACAAGAGCGAGGATAAAAGAAAGCTTACTGTAATCAGCATTGGCCAAACTGCCATTGGAGATGTAATCATAAATGACAAGCTTTTCATCTTCTCCCCAACAGAACCCTCTGAGCACAACCAAATTGGGATGTCTCAGCTTGGCAATGGCCTTCACTTGATGTTCGAACTCTTTAAACCTCTCAACTCCACTTTCTCCGATTCTTCTAACTGCAAATGCAGTGCCATTCTGAAGAACAGCTTTGTAAACTATACTCGCAGCAGTACTAGACCCCAAAATATACGCAGAAGCCCTTAACAGAGTTTCTATTTCGAGCTCTGTTTCACCATCGACCATGACAAGTGATTTCTCATCCATGTACTTACTCTTTATGTCATTCTTCACGCTTTGAGTATCAACCTGGTGAATGTGATCTTCAATGTCATCCATTTCCTTCTTTTCATCGCAATCGGAGACGGTGGTTTCTGATGTTTCTTCTCCATTTCCAAGTGTTAGGCATGGACAAGACGGCAAACTCAGATTTCTAGTTGTTACTGTTGATGTTGTTGTCTGAATTGCTGCTGCTGAGAAATGGGGATCTTGGTGATAATTCTTTTGGATTTCCGGAATGTCTTTGCTGCTTTCAACTGCTCTTTTCTTCCTAACTTGATAGACATAAAAACAAACCATTGCAATAAGTCCAATGCCTGCTAAGCCACCTACGGCCATGCCAGCAATCATTCCCGGCTTTAGACCGTGTTGTTGTCCTTGACTTGAGCCTGATGTTGTCGTCCCAGGTGCATTGGGATTTGGGTTTGAGTCAATTGTTTGAGGAATAGCTGCAATTGCTGGAGATGAAGAGTTTGTGGCGGTGACATTGGGTGGTGGAAGGGAAAAACTTGAAGGAATTGTGCAGGCTTTGTTGAGTGGTTTTCCACAGAGGTCTAAATTTCCCCTGAAGGACTCTGTTTTCTGATTAGATAACGCCATTGATTTTGGTATCTCTCCGGTGAAGTTGTTGAATGAGAGATCAATTGTGGCATTTCCTGGGATTTTCTTGGCGAAATCTGGAGGAAGCAGCCCAGAAAGCTTGTTGGAAGAAAGATTCAAGTATCTCAATCTTTCTCCACTAAATTCAACCGGCAAGGAACCATTGAGCAAGTTGGATGACAAATCCAGCACTTCAGCGTACTGGAATCCACTTGGAATCACACCCGAAAGGAAATTTTTCCTGAGTGAAATCACTGTTAATTCCTGCAAAGAAGACAACATTGGAGGGACATTTCCTGCCAAAGCATTGTCAGAAAGGTTCAAAAACTTGAGGCTCTTTAGGCCCGGCATGAGACCCGGAAGCCCACCAGTGATTGAATTGCTGGAGAGAGATAAAACTTGCAGCTCCGATGCATTGAAAAGTGAGAACGGCAGAGTGCCATTTAGAAAATTGCCTGAAAGGTCCAGCGTTTTAAGGTGTTGAATGTAGCCCAAATCTTCTGGGATTGAACCCAATAGCTTGGAATCAGGAAGAACTAAGCTTACCACCCTAAAAACATCTGGTGGGCTACCAATTTGTGCGCATGCAACCCCTTTCCATAAACATGGAGTTTCATCATCATAGTTCCAATTTTCAAGAACTGACAAAGGGTCATCCAGAATGGAGTATTTGAAAGAAAGCAAGAGGGTTCCATCAATGGTTAGACCCAGAGAAGGAGCAAAATGAAGGAAAAACAGAGCAGAAAAAAAGCACAGAACTTGGCGACTGTTATTATTACTTCCCCTCATTTTTTTCCAGGATGCATATGAAATTTTCCGTTGGGAAGGAGGAGGAGCATAAGAAGGGGGGGGGGGGTGTGGGAAGGAAAACAAATCAAAGAGAGGGTAAACCAACTTTACAAGAAGTTGTTTTGGTGACCAAAAAGATAAGAAGAGCTGAAGTTAAAAACAGAGTTTCTGAAAATGGAGTAAGTTGTGGTGATTAAAGGAAGAAAAAAACAGGGGAAAGGAACAGAAAGGCAACAAAAGGTAATGTTAGTAGCAGTGAAAAAGCTTCACTAATTAATGATACTGTACTTTGGTTTTTTTAAGGATTCAGTAAAGACACATTTGTTAATCATTTGAATTTTTTTGGTGTGAGATTATTTGATTAAATTAAGGAAAGGGGAAAGGAGAGTGGAATCTTTTGGTTATTGCTACTGGACGCTCTGAATGGATCAGTTGGAATAAGACAGATATGAAAGGCAAAGGCAGCCCAATTCAGGCTATTTTGTCTTTTGACTCTTTCTTCATAGTTCCCACACTTCATAATTTATCAGATTTACCTTCCGTTAGGATAAACTTTGGACTTCCTGTGATTTTTGTCAAGTTACTATGAATCATTTAAGAGTTACAGTGTGAATTATTTTTGTAGAAGTTTTAATAATTTGCCACATATCTTTCCTATTTAATAGTAAGATAAATAGATGATTGAGTTAAGAAAAACTATGTTGATCATTTGCGAACCCATTGAAAATGTTCTTTTTGGGGCAGTGGCCAACTATTATATGGCCATAATTGACCAATGCGGTGCATAAGTTGTGGTCATTTTACCAATCCATCATAAATCATAGTCACATTCTTGCAATCACAAGAGTACCGCAGAAGTACATACACTCATTGACAACCATCGTTTTTGGAACTTTTGAAAGGGTAAACCTTTACAAGTCATACAACTAAGGGCTACTGAAATTCGAGGGGTATGCCTTTACAAGTCATAAAACTTTGAACTTTGAAGTGAAGGGTCTTTGGTTATTATCTGCCCTACTACTCAACTGCTCTACTTAGAACACGGGGAGTAACAGAACCAGAGCCTAAACCACTATCTAAACGACATCCAACCTAATGTGATAAGGTCATAACTAAAGCCTACATGATCCTTGTTCATTGAAAGATTCTCCCCATCTACCTGATCCAAGTGTCATCTTCAAGTACTTATAACTCCCCACTTCTTGATGAGCTCAATTAAGAAGAATAGTTCATCCCCACACACCTAGGAATATGAACATCCGAGTTGTCGAATGGATGAACTGAATCACTACAATCGACTTAAATATAAATATTGAAGCGTTATTCCTTAATTTAGAAGTCAACTTATATTTTGTCACCTAATCATATTGTGGTGGAACTTGGACTGTTGCATCAAGTCGAGAAATCTTACTATGTAATAGAAATTATATCATTAATTCATGTACTCTTTCTATTCAATGTAGTCTAACTTTTGAATTCAACTTAAATCATTTCGCCCATTTGATAACTACAACGTGCATGCCCAATCAATATACTCACAAGCATTGGTCAACGATGAAATCAATACACAATTTAGTTTCTCACCAAACAAATCGAAGTACATCACCTTAAAAAGGGGGGATAATTTTGAAATTTTGTTGATAAGGACCACATATAACCTTCTAATATTTGGTACAATGCAGTAAGCAAACGAAAAGTGCATCGTAGTTGCTAGGAAGTTAGGGACCTTGTAAGTTGTACATGGAGTCTGGAATCATCTTCTATACTTCGATTTTGGATTGAAAGGTATAAAGTATAGACAATGGATTTGTTTGTGTACTTAGAGGTTCACGATAACTGAACTCTATTATCAATTTGTTTTTGGTACAATGAAATAAGTCAAAACCTAGTTACAATGTACAAGAAATTAAAAAAATTTGAGAATAAGAAACACAAATAATGTCATCTTCCAATCACTGTATGATTTCAGCTGGCGGAAACAACAAGAGTTGTAATCTTCCCGGACTACAAAATTAGTTTCTTGATAAACATGCTTAAAAAATAACCCTCCACAGTCTCTTCAATAAGTCATGACACGAACTAGGCCAATTTTTTAATGATAGTTAGCTATAATATTTTAATTTTATATTTAATAATTTTTAGATTCGAAAGATTAAGTCATCGAATTTATATATTTAATAATTTTTAAATTAGATTATTTTTTTTCCTGGATAGGGGGTAATTTTATAAAAATTTTAAATTTAGAAATTAACGGCTCAAATTTTTATTGTACGTATTATTTTTGTGTTTTACTGTAATTGATTTTTTTTATTAAAAAAAAAAGCGAAGAAGATTCCACGGAGCTATTGACATTGCTTGACCCCCGTTCATTGCCGTTTCACTTCCTAGTAAGCACCGGCACAGCTCCGACGAACGGTTCGACGGGACAGCGATTCCAATTCCCTCGCCAAATTTTATTGGTCTGTTTGATTTAACCATGCAAACTCTCCTCCTACCGGCACCCCGCTCCGGCGGGCCATTATCACCTCTCCATTCGGTGCTTTCCTCAAGTCCGTCGCCGCCATACCTCCACCGAACGCCACCCAAATCCGCCTGCTCCGTCGCCACATTTACTCTATCATCATCATCGTCTTTCAACCCACTTAAATTACGCGCACCGCTTTTTTCACCCCAATTCTTAGTATGCAGTAAACAGACCAAAACCCTCGTTTCCGCTTCTGTATCGACTCCATACAATTCCTCAAATGACGACTCTGAAAAATCCAAGCTTGCTCAGGTCAGCCTCCCTTAACCACTTCTATGTATGATAGTCCTAATTTTTTGAGCATTTCGGTATTGTCTTGTTTTTTATTTTGTTGTTGTCAAAGGTGTGCAGTTTGCAATTTAGGAGGAATTTATGAGCTTTTATTTAGTTAAGGAAGAATGATCAAAAGCATTTAACATGTCATTTATTTTATTCATGTGTATTGAGTAGTTTGTAGAAATGAGGATGGTGTCTTCATTTTAGATAGGGCGAGGAAGACTGTGAGTTTCTTTGGGCTATTGAATTGTTTGTGATTTGCTCTTTACTGGTGGCCTTTGTACTGGGGGGAACTGATTTTTTGTTGTTCTTTATATGTGTTTTTTTTTTTGTGTGGTGATTCTAGGTTGCAAAGAGACTAGAGAGTACTGCAAGATATTTCAAAAGATTGGGTGGATTAGGATTTTGGGGGCAGCTGGTTTGTACAGTCGTTGCGGCTGTAATCCTCTCATTTTCTGTTGTTATTACAGGGAAGATTACATCTCCCGCAACATTTTATTCGACGGCTGGAGGTATTGCGGCTGCGTTCATTTCCGTGTTCTGGTCTTTTGGATACCTTCGTCTGTCTGAAAAGCTTCGCAAAACCGCGAATGATCCTTCAAAGGTAAGAAACTGTTGTTTCTATGCACAAACCTGTAAGATGGACTGATGTTCAACTTGTCCGAAGTAAGGAACTTTTGTTCTTGTTCTAGAGATGTAAATTTTCGTATCGCAAGCTCATTGCGGAGTCTCTCCTGTGTAATGGTTGCTTAAGTATTTTCTTAAATATGCCCGTTAAAAGATATTGGCCTTCATTTTACATTCAGCTTTTTGATTCTGTGTAAGTGCAGATTATGAAACTGTATGACCCTTTTCTTTGGTCAAGCCTTCATCTTACATATTTCTTCCCTATGGACATGTTATTTATGGCTTTTGTTCTGGAAGTATCTTTTACTCTTGAATGACAATGTTACAACTTACGATGGTTTGAAAATGATCATTTCCCCCACTTAAGAAGCGTTTTATTCCAGGGTTCATTACTATGGTATTATTTGGCAGTGAATATGTGTACTTGGATGCTTATTCCGGTTAGCAGAATTTGAGGAATATGTTATTTTTGGATCCTGTTTATTCAGATGCTATTTTTACTTAGTGATTTACGGTTATCTTGATTGTTTTTGCTTCATTCTCATCTCCTGTAAAAGCGTGCCATAATGTGTTTAGATGAGTTTGTTCAGCTTGGAATCAAGATCTGTTTCATCTGATGACTGACACACCTAAAAATTCACTTTAACTGGCAAAGTATTCGGTTCAGTGGTCTTTCTTTTTCCTTTGTCACCCGTCCATTATTTTGTTATAAAGGTACTGAGATTCAGGAATTTGTGTCTTCCTTCAATATAGCTATACATGTCTTGGCTGGATTTAGAACTGATGATTTGGGATATTCTTGCAATGTTACCCATGCTTTCAGGCTCCTCCTCGTGCGGATGTTGTGAGAAGCTTAAAAAATGGTATAATCTTGAACATTCTCGGGATGGGTGCTGCAATATTTGGCATGCAAGCTACTGTAGGTTTGCTGGTGGCAAAAGCTCTTACCACATCATCCAATCCTTACTATCAGGGTATTGCTCCTGGAAGTACTCCTGTTCTTCCACTTGATGTGTTCTTGATACAGGTAACATATTTGTAACATTGTCTGTCACTCCCTTTTGCTATTAAATTTGATCAATCTGCTGACATTAAATCTTCATTCTAATCATCTTTGCATGTAGTGGTTTGTTCCAAATCTTTCAAATTTCAATGTTTTCATTTAATTCGGTTTCCTTGTTATGTGTTTTTTTCCACAGGCTTCAGCAAATACTATCCTTTCTCATTTTCTCGGCCTTATATTCTCACTCGAACTGCTGCGTTCAGTCGCCTTACCACCTTCAGAAACCAACCCAGTTCCTAGGGTGGCATGATTCCCAGTACCAGAGCTGATAAAAGAGCTGTCGAGATGCAACAAAATTCCATGTATGCTTGGCCATATTGCAGTGTCACTGTGAGGGGTTTCTCATTTAAGTTTACTCTAAACCAAATTACGTTGCTTACCATTGTAACAAAAGTTAACAGGGAATTTGCTTTTAGTAAATTTCCAATGAGATAGGTGTTTTCAAAATTGGTCGGAGTTTGGTTTGTAATAGAACATAAGATACCTCTAGGCTTATTACTTGATATAAACTGTAGAAACTGTGTGGATTATTAACTCTTGGTCTTCCGGTGATGCAATAATGAACCTTTTCATCACTCCGAACTGAATGAATTTTTTCATCAAATATTACCTTTCGTTTCATATTGTGTTCTGAACACAATTGTATAAGGTTATTTATTTATTTATTTATTTATGTTTCTTGTCAAGAATCGGTACTAGGGTATAGGAGTATTTTTTATATATATATATATTTTTTTTATGTTTTTACAAATAGAAACAAAAATTTGGGGAAATTATATTTGTAGTATAAATGACTTTAGGTGTGTTAGATTACAAATGAATTTTATTTGTTAGAACGTTGGTTAAAAATTTGAAATTTCTTTAAAAATGTAATTAGTAATGTTATCATGATCTAACCAAATTAGCTTAGTTTAGGTTTGTATGCATCATTGAGTTTATCTCATGTAGCGAGCAAGGCATGTAATAATCTGTACGATGTTCCAAACCGACTCTTGTAATTATTTTTCTTTGTTATTTGTATGAAATAATTATTTACTTTGGTCCTAAAATGGAGTTTATTACATTTTTTACTAAAAGTAAATTCAAACTTCACAATTATTTTGCACCTAAAATTTCTGTCTAAGATGAGAAAAGAAAGGCCGTAAAAACCCAATCCAAACTTACATATCGAAGCCCAAAAGTAACATCTCCCCGAGCCCAACAAGTGCATGTTAAAATCATTTAGTTTAATAAATCCATCATAACCCTCCCGCCAGGAGCCAAAATCGAAACCGTATCATCTCCATCAACTAATCAACTTCTGAAGTCTTCTTCTTCAAGAATATTTCATTACTCTTCTCATTTTCTCTTTCAAGAATCATGTCATTTTTCTTCGAACTCAAAGAAATGTCTCAGAAATCTATCCTCCAACTCAAAGAAAAGCCCCAGAAACTCTTCCTCAACCCCACCGCGGCGATTATTGCCATGGGCCCCTCTCTCCCTTAATCCGAACAACGACGCGCCGCCGCCGGAGGCCTCCGCCTGGGCTGCCACCAGACAAAAAGGAGCCGGCGAAGAGGATTATTATCAGAGCTGCATCATAATTCTCCAATTAATGATTCAATTCCGCGATGCAAAAGGGTACACCCCGGACCCGGAGGAGCCATCCTTCTCGGAGTTCTTGGATTTCATCAATGGAGGCGGAAAATTCGTAGTAGCAGAAGAATCTTCACTGAAAGTACTTGTTAAAACCTTCAAGAATTCGTATGATCTAAAGAAGGCCGAGGAGGAGGAGGAGGAAACGAGGGCTTAGAGTTCTCCGGCGGCGGCGATGACCTCATTCTGAGACAGCTTTCAGAAACGGCTTTTGAATTGTGCGATAGGTTATGGAACAAGGAAGAATCCATCAATACAGTTTCTGAGAGTGGAAAAAAACAGTTTCTTGAAGTTAATTCCTGTTTGGTAACTGCAGTGTTGAACAAAATCCTGGAATACCAAGAAAACAGGGGATTAATGTTTCTTCAGGGGAAGGAATCCCTGTATGATTTTCTCAGGAGAAGTATTCCTGAGTTGTCTGATAATCATCATTACTCGAGGCCTTACATAACAACCATAGTTTGGCTGTTGCATTACAAGTTTAAGCGTATTAATGAAAGAGAAGATGTTCGTGTCCCAATGCTAACACCACAGGATCGGAAGATGTATGATTTGAGTAAGCAAATCTGGGGTAATATTAATCTCTCTGTTCAAGATGATGAAGAAGAAGACAGAGCAAGAATTGCAGATGACATCTTCAGATTTGTACTTTTCTCGGCCTACTTGGATTTGGATTATGATGTTTGGAAAAGGCTTGCATTTGATGGCAGTTTTTAATTTTGAGGGCTTTGTGAATCTGGTTTTTTCTTACTATCTGATCTGGTGCTGCAGGACATTCATTTTCCCTTTTGGTGTTTTGGGTTTTAAATTTGGTGTGAAGTTAGGAATGAAGAAAATTTGATGATTGTTTCCAGTTACGAAGTTTGCCGGCTGAATTGATGAAAAGATAGTGGAGATGAAGTCAAGTTCTGTTGCTCTGTTCTGGAGTTTGGACTCTGTTCTGCTGGTGATGGAGTAGTTATTAGGATTTTCCAAATTCGAAATTTCTGTTATTTTCTTACCACTTTTCAGTTTGGGATGCTAAATTCGACAGGGTATGTTAGTAAGGTTGGTAGAGTACATATGAATGGGAATATATAAATAAGGATAACCAGTAAACAAACTCACGATGATCAGCAGCAATCACAATTCCTTCTTCCAGAACAAAACCCAGAGTGGTCATTCCCTTTTCAAATACAGGGTCCCAAGGATTAAACGTCTACCAGAAAAGAGAAAAAAGCTTACATCAAACCATGCTAAATGGTAAACAATTTAAAAATAAAAATAAAATAAAAATAAATTACCCCATCCGGACGCAGAGCAGTTCTGGGTCCGATAAATTCCGCTGAGGAGGATCCGGCGGTAGTCATCTTTCGTTCGTTCCTCAAAACCAAGCAAAACAAACAAAATCACCAAACCAAAATTAGGGCATTAATAAGCCTACTCCGAAAAAGAAAAGATAAAAGCGACAAGAGATATTATTAACCTTTGCAGATGTCCAACGGTAGACGAAATCGTTCAAACTCCAGATCTAAAAGCAAAGAAAACACACAACATCATCAGCCGAGGATGAACAGAGTTGATTCATCAATTCATATAAACGCGACTAACATCCTGATGAAAGAAGAGAATCGTAACACCAAAATAATATGGATCTAAGAGGAAGCCCTAGATTCAATGAAGAAAACGAGAACGGCGGCCAGAGAGGTCTTTTACCTTCTTCGGGAATTTTTGTTGCTTTAAACAAGGGTTTTGGTTTTGGGGATGGTTTTTTAAAGACCCCAACTGGAAGTGGAGCGAGGGGTATTATGTCACCGCGATGGCTACAGCTGGAAGTAAATGGGGGAATCATTATGTCTCGTGGAGCTGGTTTTACAGAGCAGGTTTCAGATTAATATTTTTGGTGTTCATTTGGTTCATAATATCTAGGGAAGAAGTATGTGTTGGTAATCAATGCTCTGAAGGTTGTGGAGCTAGATTTTACTTATCCCAGTGATGGTATTCATCGGCGATGGGATGTTGGATATCGTATAACTGCAACCGCCGCGACTTCAGACCAGGCTGCCTTTATACTTAGTCAACCTAAGGAGCAACTAACAGACGATACACAGGAGACCCTTCGCACAACTGGATTTCCCAGTTCTCATATAAAGGTTCATATTCACGCTACCTGAATTGTGGATTCTTATACGCTTTTTTGGTTGCGGTTCTGTAAGTTATGCTTCTGATGTCGTTGCAGGAAAAATGGGCAAAAAATCTGTACATTGAATCTATGTGTTATGGGCGTACAGTTTCATAGTTTCTTAGTGCCGTGAAATTCATGACTTGAAAACATCAGATCGATCAAGGAATACTTGTCCAAGAATCGTAGACCTGGATGCCAATGTAGGTTGAGAAAAGTTTGTGATTGCGGCAAGCTGTGTATCAATTTCAACTTCCAGTTGTAAAGTAGGTACATTACCACCAAAATCTGTAGTCTTGGGCAAATGATCTTTTGGTACAGTGAAATAGTTTGACACTGTACTTAAATGAAATGGAATTATTTTTCAAGCCTCTTTGTTCTATTCTATCAAATTAACTAACAATTCATCAGGTGAGCAAAGTAAGTGGTCTTCAGGTCTTCAACTCGTAATAGCAGATTATGGATATTTTTGGACTGAAACATCACAAAGACGGCCTGCCACACAGTCTCTTTTTCCGAACGTGGTCCTGCTAATGAAACAATATCCCATAATCATGTTATTTCCAACACCGCTTGAAACAAGGAAGAACATGGATGAATTTGATAAAGATACAAAGTATATCTAGTATGATATGTACCTCAAAAAAATCAAAGTCAAAACGGACACCAAACATGCAAGTGCAACCTTCGGTCTCATCGTGTAGTTTTCTTTTAATATCTATTACCCTTGCATCCCGGTATACAGCGAGGTCTTCAGTTTCCTGAGTACAGAGGAGACAAAAGGCAAAAGATTAAGCATTCAGCTCAGTCTCCAGAAACTTGCTTCTTGTTTTTTGAAATTTGCTTATAATTTAAACAAGTAGAAGAAGGAAACTATTCCCCCAGCTTTCAGAAAAGTCAGATATTAAATTGCCTTCAACCAAGAACAACGCCATGCGCATTGCGCAGTGCAGTTGAATAAAGATTGTGGTGAAGATCGGGAAACAAAAGCCATACCCTGTAGCATAAAACAAGGTCTCCAACCTTGACCTTCTCACATTCTGAATCCTCCAAAGGAATTGAACGCTCACATACACCCCTTTTCACATTAACCCGCTCATCGTGATCCTTATCAAAACCAGCAAACCATACACGAACTTCCTGTGAAGAAAGTACGAGGACACAGTCCATAGGTGGCAGATTCAGTAATTTGTTGAATTAATCTAATTACTGTTTGACTATACATCCAATAGGATTGCTACATGGGATACTTATGCAAATTAAAAGTGAGCAAAGCCATCTTTGAACAGCTGGTATACTTTGATACAAAATTTCATATTTTCTAATCCATAAACATATCTAAAATTCAAGTGGTCCTTTTTCGGATAACAACTTTGCCAGTAACACAAACATTACTATGTTCAAACTGGACCAAATTGCTTTTCTTACATGGGAGGATATTGAAAAGTACACAGAAGAAGAAAAGTTTTTACAAGCTCTCCAGAATGCACAATTCTGTAGTTGAGAAACGAACCAACATCATACCTGAAGACAGCAATAACACAAATGTCACTGGATATCTTCATTACCTACCTTTTACTTTGTAGTGGAAATGCAACAAAATAATCCAATTCATGGCAGTTCTAATGAAGTCTCTACAGTCTTTAAATTTTAAACCACTACCTTTCTTAATAGCTTTAAGACTACACATATGGAGAGGAATCAGGAGAATAACCACAACTCCGGAGATATCAAAAACTTCCAACTTATGGAAAATGGCCTAGTGACCACTTTCGGGACAAGAAAACCAATCACATAAACTAGACCACCTTATACACGGAGAACTGGTTGCATCTTGAAAACTTTAAAGATGCTCACCAAGCAAGATCCCTCGCTGATTTAGCTTCGTAAAGCAAGCCAGACAGCTCTGCAGCGACAACATCTGAAAATATCCATGAACATTAGGATGAGTAAAACAAAATTTCAATCATATCTGGCCAAAAAGCAAAAAATTTCCCTCTTATTTTAAGAAAGCTCAGAAACATGGACAGCAGACACTATTTAACTTGCAGATGTCCAACGCTTGATATGTCCCTTCTATTTTTAGGATCTTAAATTTAATGAGAAATTGTTTATACTGTAAATATCACATAATTATGCATGATACTCAGCAAGTCATGGTCGATGAGTACAGAGTCAGTTTACAATTTAGAGATATCAAACTACAAATTCACACAACAAAATGGAACCTCTGGACTTATAATAAGTTTGAATTGCAAGGTCTAAGCCTGCATCAGGAAATTGCAACTTGACTTCTTCACGAATAGTAAGTGCAGAATCAGTTGCACTTTTATCTATGAGCATATTTGCATGAACATTAGATTTCTTCACATTTCGATGCATAGCTAGGACTTCATCTTTCAGTTCTCTCTTCCCCCGATCTTGGAACCAATATGCCACCTACAACATCACAATTGAATGATTAATGAGAAGGGTCACTGGATAGAAAAATGTGCACCGGAATCACCTGCTCCCATTCTATTAAAGGCTTCCCACATCGATGAACTGAATTACTGCAGAATAATCAGGCACACCGATGGTATAAGTCAACTTCCCAAACACTTCAAGGGGGAAAAGAAAGAGAGAGGGTCTAGGGATATATACTTGAACTTGTCAGATAGTTCTTGAAAGAACTCTGATTTAAGGGGTTTTCCTCCCATTTTCCTCCTGTATAGGCTCTCCATTTCCATAACCTGATAAACAGAATGAAATCCTACCTTGTGAATTACAGCAAGAACCCAACAGAGAAAATGCATTCTGACCCCTAAAATAAAAACTAAAATAAAGAATCAAAAATCTTCTCTGATGACAACACTTACATAAAGATCAAAACTTTGGACATGCATGATTGAAAGCAGAAGGAGAATCAGAAATAGAAACAGCAAGATAGAAAGCATGAATCGAAAACAGAACGGAAAAAGGAAGTTAATTAAGATGATTACCTCAGCTACTGTAAACTCGGCATCGAAATCATTTTCCATTTCCATTGAATTGAGCTCGGTATCCATACCCATTGTCAGAGTGAGATTATTGAAGTACTTTCCCAGAGAATTTTGTGTCCTGCACTTTGTTAGAAATATATATATTTTCTTTCCGCCATTTATTCTTGTTTTGGGTCCTGGACATCCTTCTCGAAAACAGTAGCATTCAGCATTAAAATTTGGGCTTTTGCCCAAACTCATGTGGACTATTCCCCAGACACACTCTCTTCATTTAGTATTTCAAATTGTCCAAATCCTGAACTTAATTTCCACATTTTCCATTCTTTTGATTTTGATTTTGTTTTAGCTTTTGTTTTTCTTAATGTAATTCGCATCGAGGAATGTCTTAATTAATTTAATGTAACAAATTTTGCGTCTCTCAGTATATCAGAGGAGGTGTATGTATACTAATGGAAAGGAACTACCATCATACACTTATATGATAGATTAGAGAGTAACATTAATAATCCTACAGAGAAGATATTCGTTTTGGTTAAAAGGTGGGTTCGAATTTATTGTACAACATTCCTCCCAAAAAAAAAAATAGCTCACATTTAATTTTAGTGTAAATTTCAAAACTAAATATCTTGGGACACAGGAAGTATGTCCTAATAATCACGGAGTTTTTTTTTTTTTTTTTTGAAAGGGAATAATTGCGGAGTTAGTATTGATAATGTTTGAACTTTGTTTTCACCTTTTTGGTTGATCTTCACATTTCTTACTGACACCAAGTCATTGTTACTTCCTTGTATAATTATATCAAGGAAGGTCTGAAATTACTAATAACAATTATATTTTATTTTTCCGGGCAAAAGAAATATAACTTGTGGTGCTTCATAAAAATCTTTGTAATAATGTACAAAAATTATGTTATCGTCGTCTTGAATTGTTGGTCGACCAACTATTTCATTTAGACCAAAAAAATGACCTTAGAAAAACTTCCGAGGTGTTGATAAGTGGTGAACAAGACGAAGAAAATGAGAGGAAAAAATAGAACGGGGAAAAAAAAAAGGAAGCCTAACATAGAGTTTCATGATGGAATCCTCTTTAGCCTCTCAAAATGTTGCAAATGTAACTGATCATTTGATACAAGAGTGTGAATAAAATTACAAATACAATTTGCTGACCAATTGAAATGGCATGCTGCTTTTTCTTCTTAGCTTTGTCAGAATTGGTGATGAATAAAGGAGAATACAGGAAGGCCATTGAAATATGTTGCTGCTGATCATGATCATCACCACCTTTGAAGATTGGCCTTCCTATTACATGCTTGATCTGTCCCCTACCCCATTCCTGACCAAAGTTCAAAAAGATATATTTATGTCGTTATTCTTTCTACAAATATTTGTTAATTAGAATTTGGAGTTGATAGAAATTTTTTTTTACCTTGAGGTGATCACCAATGGTGATGATTAATGAATCCTGATCAGGATGGAAAGAAACCCATCCTTTCTTGGAGTAGACATGGAATTCTTGAGCTCCATTGAAGACATGAACACATAATGCATGAGGGAATTCTGCTCCTCTAACCAGCATCCTAATCACATTATACCTTAAAGAACTCTCTGATTGATCTCCATTCATCATAAGCTGCCAATTATTATGCTTTTGGAGACAACAGATTGAACTGAATTCTTGATGATGATGATCCTCTTTCTTCACATCTTCCCAATTACTTGTCACAGATGAATAAGTATTCTGCTCTAGCAATTGCAGAATCTTCTCTGCCATGCTCTCCATCATTGAGACCAGCTTTTCCATCTTTTCACTGTAATTTGATAAATGAAGAACATTGTGAAAGTTTGGCATTAGCATTGGAAAATTTGAAATAAAGGGCCAAAATTAGAACTTTTTAGTTGGATTTAAGTAAACCTGAAGTTTGATTATGCGAGTGGAAAGATCTTCTCCATTTCATTCTTGAAGGTTTCATCTTTGCACCAAATAAACTCGTCATTAATATCCTTTTCCTGTTCTTTTTCGCCATGGAAATCTTCGAACCCATATGGCTGTTCCGTCGATCTTGTCATAATCTTCTTCTTCTCAGGCGAAATTCCAAAAATCCCATTCCCAGCAGCCAAAGCTGATTTGATCAAGTCCAAAGGAACCCCGTGATTGAAAACCTCAAAGCATCCAGTTCTTGAAGCAGAGTCGATGAATTTCATGATGACTAATCAATGGTCGTCAGGTGGTTTAAGATGCCTGGTAGATTTACAAAAGTCCTGTCCGGACTATATTGTTGTTGGCTTGATTGTTTTTTTTCTCTTTAAAGTCCCTTGTTATGATTCTTTTATTGATCTATTCAGGCTATATTTGCCGATCGATAGCCTTACTAAAACGCCTGATAACTTGTTTAGTTTTGCTTGTTATGATATTTTCCCTTGTTTTGATCATTCTTCGTTTTAGGCTTCTTTTTATGGTCTTCTGGTTTAAGATGCCTGCTATGTTTACTAGAGTCCTTTACTCTATTGTTTTTTCTTTGATTGTTCATTTTTTTCAAGTCCCTTGTTATGAAATTGTTATGAAATTTTTATTGATCTATTCATTTTACATCTGCTAAAGACCATCCTAAGAATGTCCTTTAGAATATTAATTCAATTAATGTCCCTTAGAATATTAATTTAATTTATTTCTTAATTGTAGAATATATGTGTTTTGCAGGGATAATGTCATTATATAAGGTTTTATTATCAAAGATCAATGCTCTAGATCTATCTCTGACTGCACTGTAACAAGGCAAAAATGTGTAATTCCTTCTTACACAAATCTACTCATAAACCAAAATAAAGACCTAAAATCTACTCATAAACCAAAATCTTATGCAAATATGCTCATAAAACAAAATAAAGAACTAAAATAACAACTCAAAGATCAATTGCAACCCAGAGATCAATTTTAAAAAACATAACATTCTTACATTTGCCTTGGACGTTAAAAGACTATGAACAGACTCAATATCTTCACTATCTCCACATCCCACAACATAAATGGGTTTACCGGGTATTTGCCGAATCTTTTGAATATTGTCATTGTCTGAGAAATACAATGATCAGAGAAAAAGATAATTAAAAAAAACAGAGACCACATATAGAAGAGTTTTAAGAGAGAACTTCCAAACACAAAGACCAAATCTATCAAAATAATAAAGGGTATTAAAAAGGGAAAATTACAACAATCCTTTTCCTATCCACAGTACGCCCTCTACGGCTATCACAAGCAAGTAAAAACCCACCTTCAACCTCCACAAAAGCAATCACAATCCCATGATATCTGCAACTAAAAAAATTTAGTTTCAAACAACACCATAAACGCAGAAACACAGCCATTTAGAATACAAATCAAACACTAGTTCCAAACTGATTCAAAATCGATAAAAATACACAAAAAAATTTAGGATTTTATTTCTTTAGACTTCATAAAGAGAGTAAGATTTGGCTACCAAACAAAGAAAAAACACAACCAGATCAAATTCAAATCACAACAATATTAACAACCACAGAAAGGTCGAGAAGAGTGGATGGTTTCAAACAGCACCATAAACCTAGAAGTGCAGCCGATTAGAATACAAATCAAACACTTAGATCCAAACTTATTCAGAATAGACAAAAATGACCCAAAAAAATTAAGTTTCTTTCTTTAGACTTAGCAAAGAGAGTAAGATTTGGCTAAAAATTCTTCCTCAGGGAAAAAAATATAAAATCCATATTAAACCAAACAAAAGGCAGTCAAAATCGAAACCAGCCAAATTCAGAATACCAATAAAACACTTAGATCCAAATTGATTCAAAATCGACCAAAATGACAAAAGTCACCCAAAACTGAAATTAGCATTCAAATTCAGAAAGAAAAAACAGGAAATGACAAAGAAAATTATTACCAAATAGTACCTTTTAGGAGACAAACTCATCTTTGGTGGAGACAAATGGATGGACTCTCTGATATGCTGGATGAAATAACCAAATGAAGTAAAGTCTAAAATATACAAAGTTTTTATAGTGATAAATTTATAACCTAATGGGCCTTTGGGGACTTTTTGTGGGGATTCCTTCAATTGGGCTAATCCAGTGAAAAATGGACAGAAATTGGAAAACAACTGAAAAGAAGAAACAGATAATTCCATAAGCAAGAATCTTACACAAATCTACTCATAAACCAAAATAAAGACCTAAAATCTCATAAACCAAAATAAAGACCTAAAATCTACTCATAAACCAAAATCTTACGCAAATCTACTCATAAACAAAAATAATCTATTCATAAACCAAAATAAAGACCTAAAATCTACTCATAAACCAAAATCTTACCCAAATCTACTCATAAACAAAAATAATCTACTCATAAACCAAAATAAAGACCTAAAATCTACTCATAAACCAAAATCTTACGCAAATCTAGTTATAAAACAAAATAAAGAACTAAAATAACAACTCAAAGATCAATTACAACCCAGAGATCAATTTTAAAAAACATAACATTCTTACATTTGCCTTGGACGCTAAAAGACTATGAACAGACTCAATATCTTCACTATCTCCACATCCCACAACATAAATGGGTTTACCGGGTGTTGGTGAAGGTACTGTTCATCAGTACCTTCCCAGTGGGGAGAGCTCAAACATTTTCTATCTTAATGAAAATGTTTACAACTTTGTTAATCCACTTGTCTATTGTGTGGATAATAATGGAGAAATGGTCCTGTATCATCCTGATGCTAATCCTTAGGTATCAACTATTAACTAACTGTTCAATTCCAAAATCTGTCAATTTTCTTTTAATAGATCAGTTCTGACATACTCTTTTTGTTTTAGGTGTGTTGAAACTTGAAACAGTTCGTTTGGATCCTGTTGCTGAAGTTGAACGTGTTCGGTTAGTTTGGTAGAGTTTTCACTGGGCATGTCCAAGTCATATTCTAGAACACTTAGTTTGGTAGAGTTTTCACTGCGCATGTGACTTGCCATAATAGTACTTTCTGTAGTGTACTATAAATTATCAGATATTTCTTCCTTCTAAAATTCTAATCTCTCTTCTTCCCCATGCTACTTTAATTCCTTTAAAATATGAAAATCTAGATCTATTTCACCATTGAACAGCGAATGATATTAATTTTTTGTTTTCATTGCTCTGTTCAAAAAATTTGATGAACAGTTTAATTTCTTTCCAACCAAAATGATTCTGGTTTTGGTTGTTCGACAAAGAATTTAAAGAGAGGAATATCACAATCAAAATTTTATCACGTTTCATGTATATATGTAAGAATATCAAACAGATGCTCTGGACCCGACATTTGTTGTATTAGTAGCTAGCTACAGTATTTAATCAACAAAGTAGACAGTAAATTAGAAAAAATATTAACGAGTTTGGTGACAAATGACCTCGATTACTTCTACAAGGAAAGATTAAATTCAAACGTACAAGCTTTATGCGATTACACCCAATTAATATCCAATAACTCCCGAACAAAAGTTTAAGTACAAAGAAATTGATTTCTCTTAGGGATAGGTGAAAATCAAAATTTGTTTATGGGATTGACATGTCCTCCGGATTTAATTTGGTGGAAGAAATTGCTTTGGTGATAAGATTTGGAATTTTTTAGATTTTGGTAATTGGAGATTTGAAATTTGTTTGTTCGTGGCTTCTCTCCAAAAAAAAAATATTTATGGATTAATGCTGGTAGAAAGTGATGCAGTTGGGAATTTGATTACGTGGGTTAATATGATTCTGGTTTCATGGCAACTCAATAGTTGCCGGATTTTGTGTTTCATACTTTGGACATGTGGGATTTTGTAAAAATATATATTTTCAATTTTAATTTTGCAATTAATTAGCATTTCCCTTGAAAGTAATATTCCTTTTTGATTTTTACCTCAGAATACTATATTCACTTGAATGTTGTTGATTTTTAGTGAAATGTGGAGTCCAACATTTTAAAAAGGATTATTAATTTAATGGAAATAATTGTTGATTTTCCTACTAGAAGGATAAGGAAATAACAACTCTCAACTGTTCTTGAATGCCTTTTAACTGTTCTTGGGCTTCTAAGACTTGCTGATCAATATTCAGAAACTGCTCCTTATTCAGTTCCTTCAGTTTCCCTTTAAGTATCTTCTGTTTAGTGACCATCTGGAAGTGTTTACATCCTTCTACGCTAACATCTCAAACCTGCTTAATAATTTTTTTTATATTGTGGAGATTTACTCCTCATATTAAAGAATTTGAAAGTTGGTTGTTTCGTTACAAAAACATATACCAATTGTATAGTAACGTGAGTGATCAGATACCACAGCTGGTAGCGTAACTGTATAACTGTTCTCAAACTCATTTAGCCATGCATATTCATCAAACACCTATCCAATCTTGCTAAAATTCTCTCTGCTCCAATTCTCTTATTATTCAGGTGAGCAGACTTCCTTGGGTCTTCATATTCTCCAATTGACATGTATCCACTTCCATCTGAAACATCCATGTATCTCCAGTTAATTCTCTGGTCCCTCCTATTTTTTCCTCAACAGTTAAAATACTATTGAAGTCACCTGCTAAAAGCCAGGCATGTTGTATTCTTGGTGCGATACTTAGTAGAGCTTGCCATTGTTTATCTCTCTCAGCAACTTGGGGATAACCATAGACTAGTATAAGTTAGAACTCCTTATGTTGAATGATATTCCTCACTTCACAATTTACCAGCTGCTCTTTACAAAAAATAACTTTCACTTGGAATATCTCCCTTTTCCACATAACCAGGATCCTTCCCTTCTCCCCTGGTTTATGGTTACTAACATATTCCATCTGCCCCGATTTTTGTTCCATAATTTCTCCAACTCTGTTCCCTGCTAATTTTGTTTCTAACAAAGCCATTAACCCAACATTATTCACAGATAATACATGCTGCACTTCTCTGTGTTTCAGAAGGCTGTTAAACCCCCTGATATTCCAGATAAGGATGTTAACCTCGGAGGCTAGGCCCCCTTGACTGGTGACCAGGCTCTCCATTTCGTGTTACCACCACAAATCCCTCATTATCTTCTCAGTAACCAAACTCTTTCATCCCCTAGTATCAAGTTTTTTATAAATCAACTGATACTCAGTCCCCTGCATCTCTGATTGTTGTTTCTTCTCTTTCCCATCAGGCTTCTTCACTTTCCATCCAGATCGAGGTGTTACTTTCTCTTTCTGTACCTCCTTCTCCCTACAATCCTTTCCTTAGTGTCCAAATCCATGGCAACTATCACATTTAACTGGCAGCCATTCATATTGTACTTCTTGGATAGTATGACTCCAAATTCATTCTCAAACTTGACTTCTCTAGGCATTGATTCCTCTACTTCCATTTCAACCATAACCCTCCTATCCTTCTGAGTCGTATTCTCATCCATCATGATTGGTTTACTGAGAGCACTGACAATGCTACTCAGTGATCTGTCATTTCAATACTTCAAACTAAGCTTAGGTAGCTTAATCCAAACAGGGACCTTAGTTATCTCCTCCATATTAATGCCTTCCATGAGTGACTAATATACCACAACATCATTAGCTTCTCCAGTTTTAAACCTGACTACAAATATATCACCCTCAAGTATCAGTATCTTGTCAATTCCCAAACTCCCCCAATTCCGTTTGACATAGCCACTGACAACTTGATAAGGTGGGTTTGCACCCAAAACATAGCACAAAATAGACGTACTCCAATAATTTGCTTCAGTCTCAACATCCAGTATGTTAATCTTTCCTATTTTCACATTCTCAATGACTTTGGGTTCCACATATGTTAAACTTTGCTCATTCTTAAAGATCTCCTTCAGTTTAAAATTCTTCCAATCCTTAATTTCAGAGATTGCCTTACTATTCTCCGTTTCTCCCAAATCAACATGCTTCACAGTCTCATCAACCCCTCCTTTCACAATCTTTTGATTACATAATTCTTCCAAAGCAATTTCATGATTACTAAGAAGGGAGAATTTGTTACCCGATTTAGATGTAGAAGCCTCAGTATGAACCAGTGGAACCCTAGGTGAATCGCTTGGCCCCAACTGGTTTTTCCCGGTAGCTTTGCCAGCACTCCCTTCAATTTGTTGCTGCACTTCTTCGATTTATTTATGCTCCTTCCTCACAACGCTTTTCTCTTTCTTTTTCCTTAGTTGTCTTGCCATGGCAGGCGGCGAGCACCGAGAGCTGCGGTATTTTATGTTTTTTTTCATGCCTTTTAATTATTCATTTTAACGTATTTTATATTTTATATTTTTCAAAAAAAAATTTCAAGACGGTTAGATGCATCGATGATTAATAAATAATTTGTTTAGTAGTAAATTCATAAGTTTTAACTTTTATTAAATGATAATTTTTTGTTTAAATTTAAAAAATGTTACATATTTAAATGATAAATTTTCATAAGAATTTACTACGTAATTAAGCAACATACTACAAATATTTAAGTTAAAATTATTTGTTTAACCGCCAAACATATAAATAAATGAACTTAAATAAATAAATGAATTAAATAAATTAATTAAGTAAATAAATTAAAAATTTAAAAATAAAATAATTTCGGTTTGGAAAGCGTGGCGCTAGTTTGTGAGCCACCCCATTCCTGGGGGAAGTTTGTCTCACCTTCATTAATGGGTGGCGTGTTTTTCGGCTGGCGCAAAAATGCGTTCCTCTCCTATTTTTTTTTTTTAAAATAATATTTTTTAGGGCGCTCAAAAAAAAAAAATTATGCCGCTCAATAATCTTTCCAGTATCCCCAAAAAGAAAAAAAGAAAAAGAAAATTATGGAAACTATTATAACAAAAATTAAAAAAAAAAAAACTATGAAAAATAGGAAAGGTATGCCTAAATTCAGAATGAAAGAAACGGGGGGAAAAATTATTTCAGGAAACCTTGATGTAGTTTAATTTGTGGATATGTAGTTTAACTATGTAAAACGAAATCCCCCTAAATGCCAAACCCATCAATTTCAGATGTGCACCGAAATGATCGCTGAGTGTAAGATCATTCTTTCTTCGACCAATTGATGCATCTATTGACATTGTCTTTCAGCCTTCTTCCTGTTGTTCCTTCTCTTTGTCTTATTGTCCTTCGCTTTATTCCTTTTTTGTAAAAAGTTGCATAATTTTATATTCAGTTAGTTTTTGTAATGGATAGCTGTGGCAATAGCTTAACATAACAGATGTGTTTGCTTTCCAGATTCGAGTATCTTGTGCAACGTTTGCAGCATGCTCACGATATGCCCCATAAGAAAATCCTTGATTTAGTGAAACGCTTAGAAGAAGGATTGTTCAAGAGTGCTGGCTCAAAGGTTTATAATCCTCCCTCCCCTTCTCCTTCCCCTTCTTTCTTGCTGTTTGGTATTTTGTATTGGTGATGATTCAAATTTTGCACATAAAGTTTTAGATGGACTTGATTTGATGCTTGTTCTTGTTTACTGTGCTTATATAATGGTCTTTTTCTGTGGCTTGGGTAATTGGTGGTTTGCTATAAATTTGGAGGTTACATTTTGGTTTGTTTTCTGGCGTATTGCTCTATCATTGTTGTTAATAATTGAAGTTTTCCTTATTAGGAGGAATATTTGAATCTCTCAACCCTGGAGAGTCGACTGCATTTTTTTACCCAAAGGCTGCCCGGTAATCCAAGCAATCAATTTTCACGTGTTAATACTTCCTCTTCCATTGGCACAATGATACCAACACCTGGCATGCCGCAAAGTGGTAACTCAAACATGATGGGAATGTCATCCATGGATAATGGTGGTAATATTGAAGTTCTAAAAATTTATTGCCAACTGCCCATGGACCCTCTTTGAGTGCTGGACATGGTGGTTCTTACAGCTCATCTGATGGTACAAATAAGTCTTATATTCTTATCAAGTATAGGTATTATCTTCTTTTTTCTGCAGAGTTATAAATTTGATTTTTTTTGTGCAGGCAGTGCAGTCAATGGATACCAACATTCGACTTCTAATTTTGGTATCAACTCAGGCGGATAGTTTGGGATCATCCATGGGTGCTCAAAGAATGGCGAGCCAAATGATTCCAACTCCTGGATTCAGTAGTACGGGGAGTGATGCTATGAACAATATTAACAACCAGGGTAGCAATTCATACATGAATATGGATTCATCCAATAATGTTGGTGCATTTTCAAATGTTGAATCCACAGTGGTACCCCAACCAATGCCGCAGAAGCAGCATGTTGGTGGTCAAAACAGTCGAATCCTGCACAATCTTGGAAGCCATATGGGTGGCGGAATCAGGCCTGGCATGCAGCAGAAGTCATATGGATTATCAAATGGAGTCTTAAATGGGGGACTCGGAATGATGTCTGGCAATCAACATGCCATGAATGGCTCTGGGACGTCAGATGGTTTCACGGGATCATCTATGTATGGCAACTCTCATAAGTCGTTGCAACAACCTTATGATTCAAATCAACGTGCATTGTTCCATGGTACTTTCTCCTCCTTTTGTTGCGTTTATTTGCGATGAGTGAGTTTAGTGTCGTGCTTGGGCTCATCATGTTCTGGCTGACTTTGGTTGGAACCTCAAAATTTATCTTCTTTTGTCCTTGTTATCTCTTGGAGAAACTTCTTGAAGAAGAAACAAACTTTTAAAGAAAGCCATAACTCAGCTTTAATTGCATCATTGAAGTGTTACATTACAAAAAGTACGTTAATGTTGTATTGAAGTACAACCAAAAACGTTAAAGATCAAACCTTAACTTTTAAAATCTTACGTTACTTCTCGTTAATTTTTCTCACTCAATATAAACTCCATTCATCGAATGGAATCTCATAAACAGATAATGACACTATATATATATATATATAAAAAAAAGATGCCAAACCAAATTCAAAAATCTCTTCAAGATTACATCTCAAAGATGAAGCAGAAACCCAATTCACAGAATCAATTTCCACCAACACCAAGATCCATTTCTTCATCAACTAGCTGGATTTTAAGAGGATGCAAGCACCCCAGGACTCCATCTTTTTCATCATCATCTGATCAAAACAAGAACAACGGAAAAGAAAGCAAGCAACACAGTAACGCTACTTCTGATCATGATGCAGGGGCAGCTACATTAGCAGATGTAGATCGTTTTCTGTCCGAGAATTTCAAAACACTTTACGAAAATCAAGAAGAAGAGCAAGTTCAAGACGTTACAGAGATGATGATCAAGACCAGAATTGATGATGATCATCAGGCGGAAAAAGAAGAAAGCCTCATTGAAATCATTCCCATTTCAGGGAGGATGCCTGCTCGGAGAATCAATCCTCGTCCTCGCCGGTCATCGTCTGACCGTGTTTATACACCCCCGCCAGCGGCTGCTTCCGCTGGTTCGATCTCTTCCGATGACGTCAGCTCCACCTCTACTACCACCGCCGGCGGGGGCGGGAAGGCGGAAACAGAGCAGTTGAGCCCTGATGATTTCATCACGGTGCTGACGTATTCTCGCAACCCATATGACGATTTTAAGAACTCCATGCAGGAAATGATCGATGCAAGGTTGCAGCATAATGGGAAAATTAACTGGGAATTCATGGAGGAGCTCTTGTTTTGCTACTTGAATCTGAACGATAAGAAATCACACCGGTTTATTCTCCGAGCTTTTGTTGATCTGGTAGTAACTTTATGTGAAAATCAAGGCTGCGTTGTCCCGGCACCCCGCAAAGCAGCCGCAGAATTTTCCGTCCAAAGCCAGCAGAAGGTCGATGAGGAATATTGGTTAAAATTCATTGGAATGCAGATGAATTATTGTCACTTTTTTTTTTCCTCTCTTTTTGGTAACTTTTCAAATCAGACATTGTCCATAAACAGTTATTAATCCAGTGAAATGGTGACTGACAGCAGAAAAGGCACAACCCCGGGATCTAAAAGGACAGTATATATATGCACAACCTCTGTTTATTTCGTGAATAACAAAAGCCGAACACAAGAATTGGACTCGCATCGAACCTGGGAACAGATCAAACGAAAACAGATACAAGGATGGAAGTTGTAAGGCTTAGAGCTCGAATTTATATAAACTATTTCCAAATATACTACTGCGATCAATTTGGGAGCTGCAAGTTTTACAGTTGGGTCCTTTACATATATTCCTGCACTAAGTTACAAAATGCAGCCTATACAGGCTCTGCCTCATAATTAATATTTACAGTTGCTCCTATGCAACAGCCATTCCCACTATTAAGAGACTCCTCCAAAATCATTACTTATCAGTCAGCTATTAGAATTGACAGCCCTATTGCCACAAACCCCAAGAAACTGCATTTGCATGGCGCTCTACTTGATTTGGACGAAAACTTTCTGCCACGGAACTCTTCAACTTCAACGGTTGGATTCCTTAACATGTAAACCATTAGCAGGAATCAGATATTGATGATTCTCCCCTTCGGTCTCTATTTTTCTTTTTAAATTTTTTTTCCTTTTTAACTATGCCTTTCAGAAGTTCAAATGGTTTCATGGAGTGTAAACATTACATCCAAAAAGAGAGTAACAGATCTTTCAGAATCGCAGCAGTTTTCTGGTATGATGCGTTCAAAAGAGAATGTGTGAGATATCAAGGTTATAGAATAGGAATGAGAAAAGTGACCGTGAACTTAATAATTGTTCTCTCAGCTAAGAATCAGTGAAACTGGATATAAGTTGCTTAGAGGTTTTCTTTATGATTAAAGAAACTTTGTTTGCCACTTTGCCATGACAGTCCGAAATTGTGCAAAAAACTAGCTAGTCAGAGCAAATGGTAAGCGTACCTGATGGTATCAACGAGAACTTTGAGAAGAGTCTCTTCCAAGTCCAGAATTCTTCTGAGTGATCTGAACACACTGTTCATATAAAGTATGATACTTTGCAGGGACATAATTTTTGAATCTGCACATCAAGATGATGAAGAAGAAGACAGAGCAAGAATTGCAGATGACATCTTCAGATTTGTACTTTTCTCGGCCTACTTGGATTTGGATTATGATGTTTGGAAAAGGCTTGCATTTGGTGGCAGTTTTTAGTTTTGAGGGCTTTGTGAATCTGGTTTTTTCTTACTATCTGATCTGGTGCTGCAGGACATTCTTTTTCCCTTTTGGTGTTTTGGGTTTTAAATTTGGTGTGAAGTTAGGAATGAAGAAAATTTGATGATTGTTTCCAGTTACGAAGTTTGCCGGCTGAATTGATGAAAAGATAGTGGAGATGAAGTCAAATTCGAAATTTCTGTTATTTTCTTACCAGTTTTGGACTTGCGTCAACTATTGTAATGGCTACTTCGTTCTATATTAGGCCTGTTCTTTGAGGCATTTTGTTATATTCAGTTCTATATTTGAGGCATTATTTGCATTTGGCACATCATGCCATTAAAAGGCTCCATTTAACTTTTACTTGATCTTTGGCTACACTGACTGACATTGGGTTTGTGCTTTTGCAATGAGAACCTCCTCCTCGTCATCCTTCTTCTTTTGTTGTTTTTTTTTTTTTGTAAAGCAACTGAGATTCAGGTATTTGTGTCTTCCTTCAATACAGCTCTATATACTCTTGGCACTTGATTTAGTAGTAGTAGCGATGATTTGGGAAACACCTATAAGTATATTACACAGTTAGTTATCCAAAGTCACTTGTTCCATTTTTGCACATCGGCTACAACTATAACGACTATCCTTGAAAACCTGTTTGGTCGAGTGCTCCGTTGGACTAAATGTCTCAAAATGTTATAAAGCTAAAAATCATCCATTGATTCGTAGTTAACATTCATCACTAAAATTAATGTAGTACTATAAGATGTAACAAGATCTGAATTTATGGTAAAATATTTAATCAAATTTTTATTTTATTTTTGCAAAAAAAAACCCTCTTCATCGTGTTTAGGTTTTTTCTTCTAAAATATTAAATTATATCAAAATAAAAATTTAAACAAAACAATCAATCGAGGTCGGAGGAACTAATATTTACGAAGAACTTAGCAAGTACAAACTACAAACTAAATTAATCTTTATGTTAGAAGAAATGATGGTATTTGAAAAAAAAAATTGCCCTTCAATGAAAAGCCCACTAAGCCCTAACCATCCACAAGCCCAAGAAACCAACCGTTCATTGACTTATTTAAAACCCACCCCGTCTCCCGCCACCGGCAGAAAGCAGCCGGAAATAAAAAACCGTCAATCATAACCAACTTCTGCAAGCTGCAATTTTTTTTCAAGAAATCAGTGCTCCTCCCTTTCTGGGTTTTTTTTTTCAATCGAAATTCAGAAAAATTTCCGAAGCTGAAGAAATGGCGCACCCGTCCCATCTCGGGCGATCCTTCCTTGATGCTCTGTTGGAAAGCCCTCTCGCCGATCCGTACAATAAAGCCCCGACGAAGATCATCTGGGCTGAGAAAAAAGAACAAGGCACATTCTATCCCGAAATCTACACGGTGATTCTCCAGCTGATGATCAAATTCCGGCACGAAAAAGGGTACACGCCGGACCCGCCGGAGTTGGCCGCCTTCATTAATCAAGATGGGCTTTTCCGGGTCACAAGCGAATCTTTACTGGCGAAGTATGTAACCGACATCAAGAATGAGTATCTTAAGAAGAAGGCCAAATCCTCTTGGAGAGTAAAATTGGTCTTCCGTAGTCACGTCCAAGAACGAATCTTTGAGATGTCCAATATGTTGTGGGACGACGAAGCAAAGCTGAACCAAGATGGAGTACGAGAATTGATTCAGGTTCGGGTCGACCCAATTCTAGGCACCAGGCAAGTTATTCATCAGGAGGCGACATTCATCAAAAGAGGTGTTCTCGGTAATGGGATTACTGTGGGTGATAATACTTGGGTTGTTGAGAATCTTGACGTTCAGAATAACTTGGTGATTTCTGTCCTGACCGGAATCCTTGAATACGGCGACCAGCCGGAGGGAATTTCCCTGTATGAGTTTCTCCGGGGGCGTATAACTGAAATTTCTGAGAATGATCAGCAGTACTCGAGGCCTTACATTGCGGCAATGATTCTGTGGTTGCAATTCAGATTCATGTTTATGAATGAAGTCGAACATCATTATGTCCCTGGATTAGAAACATCAGAATATCGCATGATGTATGATCTGTGTAAAAAGATATGGGGCGATTTGGCCGGCCAGACTGATCCGACCAATGCTTCCCCACAAGAGCCTGGTGGTCATATTATTGGTCTCTCTGATCAAGATGAAGAAGATACAGTTCGTGAATTTATTGCTTTTGATTTCTTAAGGTTCTTTCTTTTCTTCAACTTCTTCAATTGTTGATCATAAGAATTTGATGGTGGCAGTTTTTTAGTTTCTCTCGATACTTTCTTCTTCTTTTCTTGGTGGAATCTGGTCGGATTATCTGTTTAGACTTGCTGGTGTTTCTTCTGTGCGTGGGAAGCTCAAATTTTAGGCTTAGTTAGTATAACAAAGTAGCAAACGGTGGGAACAGGGGAATTCAAGGATGAAGAACTTTGAAGATTTTTTCTTTCCAGAAAACAAAGTTTTGACAGCAGAATTGATGAAAACAGGATGGAGATAAGGAGGTCAACGTCGATCTCAACGTCAACAGGCGATGGTAGAGTTATGTTGCTCTTCTTAGTACGTAGTTTGGACTCTGTTCTGATAAAGTAGTGATGTATTTTGCTCTGTTCTTCGAAAAATCTGGTTTTCCCTGAAGCTTCAAAAGATTTGTCGAACGAACTTCTCTGTAAAGGCTAATTGTCCTCTATTAGGCCCTAATATTTTTGGGCATTTTGTGGCTTTGTTTTTGTTCAATTCAAATTAGTGGCAATTAAAGTTGCATTTAGCATGGCATACCAGCCACTGTAAGGCTAGATTTCACTTTGTGCCTTTTCTTATTTGGCGATGTTGATTTTTATCTTTTTTTTTGCATGGCAATATTGAGACAAAAGAATACAAGACTCCGTTTTGTTCCTTCTGATTTGAGGAATTAGCAGTCATTGGCAAAGTTTGTATTGTTGGCTGAACTGAAACTAATATACTTCCATCTTCGTCCCAAAATAATTGTCAATAACTCGAAATTTTATTTTCACACCAAAGTAATATGTAACAAATAACAATAATAATAATAAAAAAAACTGGTACCTGTCCAGACTCCAGAGTGCTTTCTGTCAAGAATCAGTAGGAAGACAAAGGAGTTTCAAAACAAAATGTATCTTTACACGAAAACGAACAGAAACAAGGGGGCAATTATATTTGTACACAGCATTACAAATCGGACATTAACTACATTCAGCTGTTCGATTAACTGTCTAATGATCTAATCAAGATATAAGTTTTTCTGAACATTTGATGAAATTACAAAAGTAATTATTCTGTTCAACACTATATATAATTATTATAGATACAGTACTAATGGAAGTATATGAGTGAGTTTCTTCTTGTTGTATGCTCTCTCCGTTAAAAGGGGAAATAATTCATCAATTTCAATTTTCTGTACATAAAATTTCATTCAAGATAAGAAAATTAAAATTGGGCCCAAAAGCCATCCCTCTTGCTAACTATATTATGAAAATTGTCCTTCAAGAAAGGCCATAAAAACAGCCCAAATCAGCCCTTATTCCGTTTCCCTTGACTCTTTTCTTTTTAAAAACCACCACAGCTCTCCCGCCAGAAGTCAAAATCGAAAGTCGAAACCATCTTCTTCAACTAAACCAACTTCTAGTTTTCTTCAAGAATCAGCGACTCCCTCCCAATTTCTGCTCTCAACAATCATATCCAACTTTTTTTTTTTTTTTCAAACTCAAAGAAATGTCTCAGAAATCCATTCCTCAGAACTCAAACCCATTCCTCAAACCCAGTTACTCGGACGTGGCGCGGCGCTATCCTCTCTCCGTGGTTGACAGCAACAACAGGCGTCGGCCGGCCACCGTCCCAACTACAGAAAAAGATTCCGTAAAAAGGAATTATTACGGAAACTGCATCTGGATACTCCGACTTATGCACAAATTCCATGGTGAAAAAGGGTATATCCCCGACCCGGAGAACTGGCCCTCCTTCTCCAAGTTCTTGGAATTCATCGGTAAACACAAGTATTTCCAAGTAGAAGATGAATCTTTACTGGCAAAATACGTAATAAAAATCAAGAATGCTTATCTTGAGAAGAAGTTGAAGGAAAAGGAGTCTGTGACCCCCGGGACAGGAATCAAGACCTCAGAGATCTCTGGCGTCGGCAAGGAATCATCAGGGAGCTTACCGGAGCAAGCCTTTTACTGGTGCGATGAGCTGTGGAACGCCAACGTAAATTCGATCAAAGCTGTGTGCTCCGGGATAGTTGCTTTCTTGGACGAAATCCTGGAATTCAAAAGCAGAGAGGCTCTGCGGCCGGAGGTTCCAGAATCCAAAAATGGTCGATACCCGAGGCCTATAACAAGGCAAATGGTTCTTAAGGCACATTTAAAAATGAAGCTAGGCAATGAATTGAAAGATGTTGATCGTGTCACATCACTAAAAACGCAAGATGGGAAGAAGATGTGTGGTTCGAGTAAACAAATCTTGGGTGCCCCTGCCCACCGGGATAATGATGATCGGAATGCTCCGCAACAAGAATCCGGCGGTATTGTTCATCCTTCTGATCAAGATGAAGATGATAGTAAAACAATTGCAAGGGAAATTTCCAGATTCGTACTTTACTCGTCCTACTTCGATTTGGATTTTGATGAATGGAAGGAATTGCCATTTGGGGATAGTTCTTAGCTGGGGATCGACCTTTCTGAATCTGCTTTAGTCTTACTATTTGACTTGGCGCTGCATGAACATAATTGGTGATGAAGTAGAACAATTGTTTGGGTCTTTTTTCTCTGGTGTAGGAAGCTGCTCAAATCTTAAGGATTCTTTTTCTTTTGGGTTTTCAAATGTGCGTTATGGAAATGGTGGGGAGTCCTGGACGAAGAATTTTGAGGATGATTTCCAATTATGAAAGTTTCATAGCTGAATTGATGAAAAGATATTAGAGAGGAAGGCAACGATAATGGTGAAGTTCTGTTGCTCTGCTCTGGAGTAGTGATTAAATTTCCATCTTCAAAATTTCATTTTTTCTTTTTTTTACAACCTCTAGAATTAGCAGCCTTGCATGGACCTTATTTTTGTAATGGCTAATTGTTCTGTATTAGACCTGTTCCTTTTTGGAAGCGTTTGGTTATGCTTAATTCAATTTAGGGGCAGAGTTGCCCTGTTTTGCATGGCAGGTGATGCCTGTAAAAATTGTAAGGCTAAGTTTTGACTCTGTACTTGATGTTTGGCAATTATTGATACTGGTTTTGTGCCCTTTGCAATGAGAAGCTCCTTTTTTTCTTTTTTTTTTCAAAAGTGATAATCATATTTAATATTAAAAGAAATGTAAATCAACCATACTATTGAGCAGTACAATACAAAATTGAGCAGTACAATATAAGATTGAGCTACACAATCCGATGATTGAGCTAATGCAATCTGCCATACACGACTTCTCAACCCACAGACGAGCAAACGTGTCACCATCTGTATACAAGTGTTGAGAAGGCTAAATTGGACAGATTGAAACAACTTCTCTGATAACGAAATCATAGAATTTCCAAACAGGTCTACCAAAAAAGAATAATACATAGAGAACTAATCTATAAGATAAAGTTCCAACACCAATCTAATGTGAACTAAAACTGAATGCAATGGTAAATCTATCAATGAAACCTAGAAGTTCTAGATCTGGAGATTTCCCTTTATCTTTGTACTTTGACTTCATGATTCTTCCTATACCATGATTTCTTCTTCGGTGCCACTTAGATCCATAATTTCTTCACCAGATCTGTTGAGAAACTACCTAAAAAACAACAAAATAAACAATAAAACCTCCTAAGAAGGAAGATCCGAGATCTCCAATTGGAGAAAACGGACACCCATTAAAGGATGAGCAAAACACCCATCAAAGGGTGAGCAAAACTCCCCGAAAGGAGAGCAAAATCACAAAAACTAAGAAGAAGCAAGATAAATTTGAGCTCTCTCATCCCCATTACGGCGGTGGTGCAATTGACGCCACTAAAAAACACATTCCACTCGAATGTGGAGGTTTTTCACTTCTATTTTCTTACATCAAGACCCGTTTCACTTAGTTAACAATGTAGAATTATCAAAACTATGGGCATTATGTTGGAGAGAAATCATCATTCTTGCATGAATAAGGTTTTCGATTTGGAGTTCAGAGAGAAAGGGGAGAGACCGGGTAGAGAGAGAAGGAATTGGCTATATTTCAAATATTCTGAGAAGCTCCTCCTCAATCATCCTTCTTCTTTTGATTGTTTTTGTGCGAGTAAAATGTTCAAATGGTTACTTACAGTTGGACTTACTTGAATTTACGTCTCTAACATTAACATTTCAATATCGTACTCACAAACATTATGTTTTCACACTTTTTTGGTCTCATTTTACTGTTTCGAGCACTTTTCCGTCAAGCTTGATATTGACCGGCAGTTGACCTCCCAGAATTAGGGGTATTTTCGTCTTTTCTTATAATTTGAACTTTCATTAAAATGTAAATCATTAAAAATATTATAAAATTCAAATTTTATTATTTAATTGTTAAAATATTATTTATTAATTTAAAATATTGTTATAAAATTTAAAAATTACATTATTTTAAAAAATTACTTTTTCTATTTACCATTTATGTTGGATACAAAATAAATATTAATTACGTTTCATTTTTAACCCCGAGCTCACTATCACTCTAAAATTTTACCGCGCTACAGTAACTAATTTAAAATTCAATTTTTTGTTTAAAACAAAAAAAAAAGCAAACTAAATTTTTTATTCAGATTTTCACCCCCCGATTTTTTATTCAGACAAAGTCAAAAATCCAGCGAAGGGAAGAAAATTGAGGGGGCGAAAAATACAAATAAAAAATGATTTTAACCCCAACCCACTGTAACTTTAAAAATTTATCGAGTTACAGTAAATAATTCAAAAATTAAATTTAAAAAAAAGCAAAACCAAGATTTTTGACTTTTACCGCTATAATAAACCCTGAGTTATTTCTAAAATTTTACAGGGCTACAATAATTAATTCAAAATTTAATTTTTTTTAAAAAAAAGCGAGAAAATTATAGGATCAAAATCCGGACAAAAAAATAGTTTATTTAAGTTTTTAGCTTAGTTATTGATTTGAATTGGATATATGATTTAAAATGTGGTTTGAGTGGAAATTTTAAAAATTGTTGGGCTAGTATTTTGAATAAAATAATATTATTTTTTATTATATCACCTCCACCACCTCTGTCCGCCGCCGTCTCACCCACTGTCGTCGCCGGACCACATTGAGTATTTGTTGTTTAAAAACATAATGTGCGATGATCTGAACTTTTGGTTTATTTAGGTCATGAGAATATGAGATCATTTTGGCACCTCTCGGGAAAAAAAAAAAAAAACTCCTTCCATCGAAAAAAAAAAAATCTAACTTTAGAAAGGTAAGTAAACCTTAAAAATGCACTTATCATCACATTGGTATAATGTAAAATTAATTCCTAAGTTGAGAAGAAAATCATGAAAATTTATTCAACTTTTCATATCAATTTTTTAATTTGCAAAAATTAAGTCATCTAATTGTAGTATTTTATTTTATTTTTTCACTCGAATAAGAAAATCATGTTGGGCCAAAAAATCTTTCTTTGAAATGGGACACTTTAAGAAAGGCCATAGAAAGCCCAAATTAGCCTTTACACATTATAGGCCAGAAGTAAGATCTCACGAGCCCAACAAAACGTTCTGTTGACTCTTTTCTATTAACTCTCCCGCCAGGAGCCTAAAATCGAAACCATCTTCTTCTTCTTCATCAAACTAATTAACCAACTGCTGAAAAACTGCGTTTTTTCCTTCAAGAATCCAATTTTTCTCTTTTTTCAAGAATCATATCATCATTTTTCAAAACTCAAGGAAATGTCTCAGAAATCCTTCCTCGAACCCAGCTTCAGCTTCAAGGAAGTAATACTGGGCGATCCTTATCCTCTGTTCATGATCGACAAGAAGAATAACAGGGGTTTTCCGGACGCCGTCCCGTTTCCGGCAGCTCCCAAAACAGATGAAGAAGCCAAATAAAGGAAGTATTACGGGAACTGCATCTGGATAGTCCGACTTATGATGAAATTCCGTCATGAAAATGGGTACATCCCGGACCCTGATAAGCCCTCCTCCTTCTCGGAGTTCTTGGCCTTCATCCCTAAAATTAAATCCAGCCCTTTTCATGTCAAAGATGAAGCTTTACTGGAGAAATACGTAAGGAAGATCAAGAATGCGTATCTTCAAAAGAAGTCCGAGAAAACAGAGTCCCAGAACGCCGGGACAGGAAACATGACTTCAGAGCAGATCTCTGAATTGAGCTCACCGGAGCAAGCCTTTTGCTGGTGCGATAAGCTGTGGAACGCCGAGGTAAATTTGAACAAATCTATGTTTCAGGGATAGTTTCAGTCTTGGACGGAGTTCTGACTGCCAAAAGTGACGAACATGTAAGAGAATTTCTGCGGCCAGGATCGAATTCCCTTTCTCTGAATGATCGTTACTCGAGGCCTAACATAGCAGCAGTGTTTGTTCAGAAATATTTTAATCGGAAGGTTGATAATGCATTGAAAGATGTTGATTGTATCCCATCAGTAACAACCCAAGATCAGAAGAAGATGTGTGATTCAAGTAAACAAATCTTGGGTTCCCCTGCTTCCCACCGGGTTAATGATGATCAGAATGCTCCGCCACAAGAATCTGGTGGTATTGTTCTTTCTGCTGAAGATGAAGAGCATAGAAAAATACTTGAAAAGGAAATTTTCTACTTCTTAGTTTTCTCGGACATCTTGGATTCGGATGATTATGATAGGGGGAATTCGCCATTTGGGTGTTGTTCTTAGTACCTTTCTGAATCTGCTTTAGTCTTACTATCTGATTTGGAGCTGCATGGAGTCAAGGATATTCTTTTTCGTTTGGTTGCGAAGTACAACAATTTTTTGGGGTTTTTTTTTTCTTTAGATGATGATTTCCAGTTATGAAGTTTGATAGCTGAATTGATGATGAGAAGATGTTGGAGAAGAAGGCAATGTCGACCATAACGGTGAAGTTCTGTTTGCTCTCTTCTGGTCCTTCTGGAGTAGTGATTAGATTTACATCTTCAAAAACTTTCTTTTTGCTTTACCACCTTTGGACTAGTAGCATTGCATGGATTGACCTTAAGTAGTGGCTAATTGTTCTGTAGTAGGCCTGTTCGGTTTTGCAAGTGTTGGTTATGTTCGATTCAATTTAGAAGCAGAGTGCTAATTGTTCTGTAGCAGGCCTGTTGTGTTTTGGAAGCGTTTGGTTTCAATTCAATTTAGGGGCAGAGTTGCTCTGTTTGCATGGCTACATCATGCCATCAAAAATTCAAATGTACCTGATGTTTGGCAATTACAACGAGAAGCTCCTTGTCATCCGTCTTTTTGTTGCTTTTTATAGCTGGTTTCAGTTAAATTCATCTGTACTATATAATATGGCACTGGAGAATTTTCATAGTAGTTTGGGTATGGAAATAAGTCATGATGCTTTAAAAGTTTCTGCAACCCTTGATTTCATTCGTCATAGTCTTCTGTGTATATGACTTTTAGACCAGACGTACCAAATGTTCATAATCCATGCACATTGATTGAGAAAACATAATTGCATCAAGATCAAAGATTAGGCAATATCAACATGTTTAGAGGGATACAGGGGGAGGGGGACACAAACAATTAGGGATCAAAATTCTCGCTTAGAGGACCATCTATGGGCATTCAAAATAACCCCAATGAATATTTCTTTTAATCAAATATCCTACTTAAGAAGAGGTTTAGAACAAAAGCTAAAGCAGTTGAATCTTCAAGCACCTGCTTCACCTGAAATTGACTGTTTCTTCAGTTCTTCATTAGCTTGGTTCAAGAACTGATCCCAGCCACTCCCGGGGCTTGTATCCAGATAATCATAAGGAACTGCGGTTTTCATGCCAGGACGAACTCCGCACTGGTTTCCTACTATTCTAAACTCTGGGACTTCTTCATCATCTCTTGATATCTCTTCAAGCTCTTCCCAACTAAACAACAACGGCAAGGTAGATCCACACCATGGATTGAAATCTAAGAGCTTAACTCTGTTATCTCCTGTAATATATACATCAAAAGTGTAACTTTCTGATTCGAATTTATCTCCCAATTTCTGCTGGTAAAAGTCTTGGATCATTGTGCTAAGCTCATCTTTCCTCGCAAAAAGAGAAGGATAAAATCCAGTAACTTCACGTTGGGATATGCCAATAAGGATACGATCACGAACAAAGCAACGGAATTCCATCTCAGGTCGTAGTGAGTTGTACCATTTTCGAAGAGCAAGGAAAAACTTTTGGGGCCTTGCTGCTGTTTTATCATCACAAGAATCATATGCGTGGTCCAGATCGTGAACTAGAGAGTCTGACGATTTCAACAAGAGCACAATCTCACTGAAAGTGGAACACTTAAGATTCCCTGAACAACTAATCCAAGCAGCGTCTTTTGGAGCACTCCAGTTAAGCTTGGGAAATACAGCCCCACCAAGAGATTCAATAGATTCCTTGATCTTCAATTCTAGTTCCGGGAAAGAAGGGGGAGGAGTCGAAGGCTGTTCAGATTCATCTTCTTCATCGGAGCCTTCTTGTACTTGGAAATCATCTTCATCTTCAGGTTTATGCACCCTATTTGGAAAGGCATCATCCTCTGTGACAGAGTCCGGAAGAATTAAGGTACCAGGATCGTTGAGGTATTCAACAAAGGGTTCAGGAAGTTCATGAATGATGGTTCTTATGGAGAGGGACTTGAATTTCGGATACCAGTCCTGAATCTGACATCTACTTACTTCTTCTACCTTCATATTTTAATACTGTGGGAGATGATTATGTTTCTGAAGTGCGGCCCTCGTTAACCTCCTGAGAAGACAGGATACAACAAAATGGCACTTAATCAACAGCGAATACGACTTTCAGATGGAAACAAAAAAACAGAAAAATACCAAAGAGAATGACCCAAAAAAGGGAGAAAAAAATGCTTGACCAAATATAATCAATATCCTTACAGTGATAGGCAACCAGCTATAGGGATATAAGAAAGGCAGGGTCTTTGAAAGCTACAAAAGCTTTAATACTACTATATAAATCAGAGAAACGCACACAACAAAGCTACAGTACTTCTCTATTTATAGAGAGGTTCTGATTATTCCTAATCCTAATAGGTTTAGGACTTCCTAAAATAAGGATTGAAACAGACATATTGAGAAAAAAAAATAAAGGACTTATGATAAAAAGGAAACTAACAATTTTAAGCTTTTCCAATACCAGAATGGATTTATGATAATTTCGTTAATCAAAAGACATATCTGCATCTGAATTATATAAAGCTGGAATACCCAATATACTGGACAAACAAGCTTCAGGGAATGAAGAATGAAACAAATTTATGGCCCTTCTGGATTCTGGTTTCTATTTCTTCTCTACTATATCCATTTCCTTCCGTGTGTTGCCAGTATAATCAAACAAAAACCACCAAATTTCCAACTCATGCATAGTTTCTGAGAGGGTCACGATCACTTAAAAAGGAAAAAATCAGTGAACAGAAATGAGCTCTCCACAGTTATACAGAAATATTCCAATTTCAGTTCAGCTCACAAACAGTAATTTCTCAATATTGAAAGTCACTGAAGAAAATACGCATTACACCGAATCCGCAACAACGACCAGAAGTCCAGAATATTACATACAATAACAAAAGGGAGAGAGAAAAAAAAATTACCTGAAGGCGGTTTTGCGGGAGTTTTAAGAAACGGCGGGATATCAGAGGCGGAGTATGGAAGGCCGAAAAGGCGTATTCCTTGTGCTATTCCAGTGATCGGCGTCTCAATCCGGCGAATTTTAGTTTTTAAAAACTGATAAGAGAAGCGACGGCGGAGGAGGGTTTATGGCTCAATGAGGTAGGTGTCTGGGTCTAGGAAGTCCGCCCCGGTTAGATAGAAATAGTTGAAAATAGAAATTGAAGAAAGCAGTAGAAAATTCTTTAATAAACCGGATCCGGGGGCCCGTTTATCAATATGGTCGGACACGAATATAAAACCTGGACGAACCGGGAATCATAGTACCCGAACCGAAAAATATTCCCCCGGGCATCAAGCGACTTTCCCTTTCCTTAGAAAGAGACGATTTTCTTCAGTGTCCCATTTTCAGTTGCCTCATTCCCTCAACTAGTCACTGCGGCCAGCTGAGTTTTACGCCGTCGGCGCCTCCTCTTTCAAGCTGCTCCGCCACAGTTCTAAACTAGGACAGAGTTAGGCTTAATAATTACCAGGTAGAATTATTTTTTGAATCTACATACTGTTAAATGGAGTATTATTTTATTGGCTTCGCAGAATGATAGTCCAGTCGTTTCTTGTAAGCATTCTTCCTGAAGATGCCAAAATTACAGAAGTTTGAGATGTTCAGTATTGCACATTTAGTGTTTTGTTTTGTACAAACCGGATATGAAGTAGCTTTCTTTGGTCTTGCAGATAGTTTTGTGAGTGAAATTGGGGGGAAGATCATGGCCTCCGGTTTACAGATTCAGGGGGATGAATCGGTTCTTTTACGTGTAACTCATTCCAACATCAAGAGCTTTTCTGCTGATATGCGTTTCTCTCTCCAGGTAAATTTCACCCCTGCACTTTCACTGGCTTCTCAGGCTGATGCTTACTTTTTATGTAGTGAAGTTTCTTTGGGTGTTCTATTCTTTTGGAAATGTTAGTTGAACTTCCGGCTTCTCAATCTTATACGTGAATCGTTTACTTGTAATTGGGAGCTGGAATTTATTATTAATCTTTGAGGTTAGATGCCATTCTGCTAACTGCATTTGAGATAATCATGTAGTCTTACCTCTAATTTTGTCACTACTTTTTCTTTTAACCTCCAATGATGAGTTTCAGTGTGAAGAAATAATTAAAGAATGCCCACTTGTTAATCAAGGTTCTATTATAATGAATCAAAACCATGAAAACTGGTCGCATATACTGAATGTAGGCTTTGGCTGAGATTGCATAATTTGATTACTGTTGTGGCGTTCATGAGAGATCTGCCTTCTTGTCCTCAGATGTCTGTGGAGGCAGTAAAAGATAAATTGTGGAAGAAGTGTGGTACTTCTATTAATTCAATGAGCCTTCAACTCTTTGATGAAACTGGTGCTAAAGTTGCTGATATCAGTGATAACATGAGACCTTTGGGATTTTATTCCCCACTGGATGGGTTAGTTTTCTCTTTTCAATCTGTTTCTGTTTCCTTATCTCAAATTTTATATTACTGATTGTCTTTACCAATGAGCTGCATGTAGAAGTATAATGACATTTAACTTTTTGGTTTACAAAAATTTTATTGCAGAAAAGCTAAAAGTAGAGCCAAAAAGATGCAAAGATTGATTAGACAAGTTAATGCAATATCTTTAGATTGGGTAACTCAAAACCAGACAAGTTAATACAATATTTGGAAATTGGATGGGTGCTAAAAATGTGTGCATTTCGAGGTTGAAAAATTATCATAGTTAATTAAGGCTTGCAACTTGACGCTTTTGTTGGACGAAAAAGAGAATAAATTTGGTCAAAATCTTAGGAAACAAGAATAATGTGACCTTCACGGCTAAGTTCCTTGGAAATAGATTTTTTTCTTCTTTTCTGATAGCTACTGGTTCTTTTCCTAACAGTTATCGGCTACATGTCATTGATCTTGATCCTTCGTCAGTAACTTCTGGTGGTTGGTTGGATGACACTTCTCTTGTGGAAAAATACACTATATCTGATGAAGCTTATGGAAAACGCGATGGTAAATCTGAAAGACTTTAATTGGCTTGAATTAGACATCGTGAAATAAATAATATGGGTTTTCAAAAGTTATGAATTAAAGTCTTGTATGATGTGGTAAAACCAAAGATAATGAAATTTAACTGAAACTAGTGCTTTGCCAGGTACATTCAGAAAGTTCAAGGAAAAATTAGCCCAACAGAATCCTTCCATTCTGGAACCTAAAGTGAGGCTCTACTTCTTGTTTAGTTTCCTTTCACATTGTTTGCCCATCAAATTTCTGTCTCCTCTTTTCCATTGATGCTAAATGCTGCTTATTTTTTTTTCATTTGAGCTGCATATCAAAAAGCTCTTACCGATTCACCTTACATTTACCTGAAGTAGCTCTGTTTCTATGCACATTGAATCGGTTTTACCTCCGACTAGAATGTTAAAAGCTTCTTGCCTATGTTTTTCTTTTCTGGATCACCAACAAGCTCTTTATGCAACCAGTGCAGTGATCTTTTTCTGACGCTTAACTTTGTTTTCTATGAGCAGATTTCAGCCAACTACATGGAAGATCTGTGCACTAATATCAAGGTTCATTAATTTGAAATTTTTGTCCCTTTTTTAGCATAAAAAATCTCGAAGATTTTTTCAGGCGCTCTTAATGGTCCAGTACCTATTATTTCTCCGCTGTATGCACATCTCAAGTTTAATTCTTAGATCAGGCCTGAACTCTGTTATTGTTAAAAACCAAGATTTGTTTTTTTAACCTTTCGTTTAATTAACCTCTTATTTTTGCTTGGGCAGACTGGAGATAGATGTGAAGTTGAACCTGGGGAGAAAAGAGGAGTTGTCAAATTTGTTGGCCAAGCAGAAACACTGGGTCCTGGTTTCTGGGTTGGAGTTCAATATGACGAGCCATTAGGAAAACACGATGGCATGTATGTGTTTCTGCACTTTTAACCCTTCATGGTCTCTTCTGCCTATTTCTAGAGGTCCAGGGATCAATTCTCGTCATGGGGTGACGACATTCCCCTGTAGCTCTTGATCTTTATATATCATTACTACATTTAATTTGACATGTGCTATTCTTGACAATGTTCATAGGGTGAAAGGAAAGCGTTATTTTCTGTGCCCTCCACTTCATGGTGCAATGGTCAGGCCTGACAAAGTAAAGGTACTTGAGACTCATGTATTGAAGATATTTTGGTTCATGATTTCATCACGGAACATCTTTTATGTAGTCATTTATTAGGTATTAATAGATGAATGAATGATATTGCAGCTTAAACTTTTGCGTTTTTTCTTGTTTAATACCTTACATAGGTTGGAGACTATCCAGAGCGCGATCCATTAGAAGAGGATGAAATATAAGCTATGAACATTCAAGGTGATTTGGGGATACTGTTGGTTGGAAATTCTGTTACTTACGGTATTTTATTATTGGTCAGTAATTGTGCTCTCTCAATGGTTTTTCTTTTCTCCCTTTACTCTCGTTGAGATTGAATATGATCTGAATTAGTCCATATTAGTTTTGGATGAGAAAAAGAAGAAAATGCATTTATTCCATGATTGGGTGACTCACTCGTTAAGCAGTAGCCGTCCTATTGATAGGGTTGGGCAATGGGCATGGTAAACCAAAGCCAAAAGGCGTGTACGCATGCACTAACTCTCCCAATCAATGAAAAGTTGAAAACTCCATTGAGTCCGTTCCTCCCCTCGTGGACTTTAAAGCCACTAAAGTTAATAATTAAAAGGTCAAAATAATAAGATTTCGCTCGACTAATGTCTGTCCTTTTTTGATGGTTAAACATGAATCTTTAACTCTCTATTAAGATGGTACTTTTCAGGGAATAGAAGAGAATGATAGAACTTTTTGGCACAAGGAAAAAAAAGTTTTTAAGTAAGATTATCTTACTATTTTGGGACGTATAAAGTACAATTATCTAATAATTTAATGAATTTAAGAACCTCAAATTGATTCTCTCTTTTTGTTATCAAATTAATTTTTTTTTTCTTTTTTGGAATTTCTTCGTTCAGTGAGTGGCCTCCAGAGCTCGGAGTTCAAACTTTATTTTGCACAGTATTTTTTTGCATTATTATTTGTTGACAAAAGCTGAGTACTGGACCATCCGTCCTGAATCAGGCACGAGGGTGATTTTAAAGTTACCACTCAATAGAAAGGATTTAAATTCTCTATATAAATGATGGCTGCTTTCAACAATAGCTATATGTGTGACCAAAGCTATTTTTAGAAGTTCTACAAAAGAAAGGGAAAAAAATTTCTATTTATAGGAAGAAGAAAACATAGATCGGATTTGGAGAAGACTAGAGATGAAGGTTTCAATGTTATTATCATATCTTTGCAGTTTCTTTCTTCTTCTAAATGTTGAATCAGTACATTCGAGCTTGATTGATTCAGACGGTTTCATTCAATGCCTTTCTAGTAATCCAATTTCATCATCATCAAACTTTTCTGTTGCGAGTGTTCTGTATGCTCGCACCAACACATCGTATCAGTCCATATTGTATTCCACCATTTCAAATTATATATTCTTGTCATCAGCCACCCCAAAGCCTCTTTTCATCATCACTCCTTTGCTCTTCTCTCATGTTCAAGCCACTGTTGTTTGTGCCAAACGGAATGGACTACAGATTCGAACCCGAAGCGGTGGCCATGATTTCGAAGGTCTTTCCTACAGATCTCAAGTTCCGTTTGTCATACTTGACCTTCGAAACTTGAGATCAATCACCGTTGACATTGAAAATGAGAGTGCTTGGGTTGAATCCGGCGCAATAATCGGGGAATTGTACTACTCCATTGCTGAAAAAAGCCCTGCCCACGGCTTTCCGGCTGGGACGGTTCCAGCAGTTGGTGTTGGAGGGCATTTCAGCGGCGGTGGGAATGGATACCTTGTTAGGAAATACGGGATGGCAGCTGATAATGTCATTGACGCAATCATGGTGGACTATAAAGGTCGAATTCTTGATAAGAAATCGATGGGAGATGACCTTTTCTGGGCTATAAGAGGTGGTGGTGGAGCAAGTTTTGGAGTCATTCTTGCCTGGAAAATCAAGCTCGTTAATGTTCCACCCGTAGTCACAGTCGTCAGATTAACCAAAACATTGGAGCAAGGTGCAATTGAACTTATTCACAAATTGCAATACGTAGGATACAAATTGGATGAGGATCTGTGCCTTAGTGCAGTCATACAGAGAAGGGATGGGACGAGTTCTCCAAGCGCAACATTCAACGCATTGTTCCTTGGCAGAGCTGAAAAACTCCTGGAAATAATGGAACAAAACTTCCCTGAACTTGAGTTAACAAGTGGAGATTGCACTGAGATGAGCTGGATAGATTCGGTGCTTTCTCTATCTGAATATCCAATTCAAAACACCATAGAAATTCTGAAAAACGCGTCGTACAGCCCATTCAACAGTTATATCAAAATGAAGTCTGATTACGTTTACAATCCTTTACCTTACGAAGCTGTTGAACAGTTATGGAACTGGAGCTCCGAGGTCGACTTTCCAAGGATACAAATGCATTACTACGGCGGAATCATGGGGAGGATACCGTAATCACAAATCCCGTTTCCGCACAGAAAAGGGGTGATTTTTGAAATGCTGTACATGGGGTTATGGTTCAATGGCACAGATAATGACCACTACATCAATCAGGTCAGAGGACTAGAAGAGATTTTGAAACCTTATGTGTCGAGCAAGCCAAGGCGTGCGTACTTGAACTGCGTGGATCTTGATTTCGGAACAAATGATGCAAATGGTGGAACTTCGTATTCTAAAGCTAAGAAATGGGGATCAAGATATTTCCATAGGAATTTCAGGAGGTTGGCAATTGTTAAAGGCAAAGCCGATCCAACCAATTTTTTCTTCAACGAGCAAAGCATCCCCCCGCTTCTTTCTCTTTCTGTCTTTGAAAATTGAGCGTATTGAGAACATATATAGTAGTATCAATTAATTACTGAGTAGATAATAATAAGTATTGCAATTTCTCTCTCAGTGACTATTATAAATTAATTAATTAATAGTATCATTAAAATGGAATAGAAGGAAACTTTATGTGACAATTATTCACATGATTGAAATTTAATTTTACATATACATTTTCTCCGTCTCATTAATATATCTCAAATTCATATGATATAAATTAATATCTCAAGTCTAATTTTTAATATTTTAATTAAATCTGATAGAATTTTTTAGAACGGATAAAATATTATACATCACAATATATTTGGTTAGGAACCATGAACAAAGGAGTATTTTAATTAATGCAAAAAATTCCACATAAACACAAGTTCTAGAACTCCATCGTGCGGTAGCTAGTTTCTTTTTAACTTTTGTTTAGTATACAAAAAAATAAAATTAGAAAAGGTTAAACTATAAATGAATGGAGTTGAATTCTTTTCTTCTTCTTTTTTTTTTTCCCATGGATTGATTATTGGGCCTTCGTAATCCAACCCAAAAAAAGAAAATGAAGGCCCAAATCAATTTCAAACACAGTAGATGTTTGACTTTTGACAGTACCCAGAATGAGAAACGATCCAGTCTTTCTGAGAAACAGTGAAGGAAACAAAGGAAATTGAAGCAACAAAGGCCATCGGGGCAAAAAATAAGAAAAAAGCAATCAAGAAAGAAAGAAAGAAGAAATTCTGCGAAAACCAAAGAAATTCCAGATATATCTGGTCGATCAGAAGAATTTATCATCCCTGGAAGTTGCGAAAAATTTGTAGGAAACAGAAGTTGAACAATACTGAAGAATTCTGAGGGAAAGATGCTGCCCACCACATCGAAGGGGCGGACGAGCTCCAATGCCCGACCCACTTCTGCTCTTCCTCATTACCTCCGTAGAATCGTCAAGGTTAGTCCTTCTTCTTTCTTTGAATCTTGCTCTTTCTCTGAATTACGATCACATTGATGTCGTTGTGCTCCATTTCCGATAGATCTGGTATCTTGTTCACTGACTGTTACTCAGGTTTAGTCTTTGTGCTTGATCGTTTTGCTTGATTTCCATGTACTGGAATGGTATAATTCAGAGTTACAGATGATGGGTCTTGCGTGAAAATTTGCCAGGTTTCTGTTTTATGTTGGATTTGGGAATTTTGTTTTATTATTAATACCCAGTAAGCCACTTCTTTGGAGCATGCGATTTGGAGTTACTTTTTTCTCCTTATTGAAGAATCTTGCATTGTCTTGATCGAGTTATAATTTTTTCGTTTCTAAGAACAGTTTAGTAGATAGAGCTTGGTGATCAGGTCAATTATGGCTTGTTGCATTGGATTATTGGTCCTATATTCATTAATTTTGGTTCATTAATGAGATAGCTTGACATCAGAAGGGCTCTGTACTTTTTGTGGGCATTTTTCTTTTAGATTTCCTATTTTGTTTTGTTTATGTTTCAACTTGAGTTTTGACATGGTTTTCTCTTCCGATTCATGGTAGTGGCAACAAATGGACATTGAATATACGTTCTGGCAGATGCTTCATCTTTGCACCTCTCCCAAAGTAGTGTAAGTGTATTCTCGTTCAAGATTTCAGTTCAGATCTTTACTTTCTTAGTTGTTATAAAGAAATTGGTACATGGGGACTTAGATGTTTTGCTACAACCATATTCAATTGGTGATTGTTGTGATTTCATTATGGTGTCCCAGGTTATGCAGAATTATGCAAAAAACCGTTACTTTGTCTGTAACTTATCTGTATTCTCCATTTTGATTGTATCATATTTAAGGTTGTTCAGTTCAACAGGGACGCTGCATCAGTCATACATAGAAGTTCTTTAGATTATTTGCTTAGGAAAGGTATCTTTTAGTGAGAAAATTATCTAATAAGAACTTTCTGACATGTTTTGATCCTAGATTGGTGGAATGCTGACATATTCATCTTCTATCTGATTGGATCAGGCTGGCGTTCAGTTGTAGTTAGTTATGAAGTTTGAGAATATTTCAGATTATTTTGACTAGAAGAGATGTAATTGGCTTCAATTTCCCCCACTCTTTTTGGGTTTCCATACCGCAAAATGTAGACTTCCCAGTACTGGTCTTTGTTTGGTTAAAATTTCTGCAGCTGAGGTGCTGCAATAAGGAATTTCTTTTTTATTGACTCCATCTTTGGTTGAGTCTGTCTGGTTGTTTTTTTTTTTTTTTGTCTGACCAGTTTTATTAATGTTGTTTCTTTTTTCTGGGTGCATTTTCCATGTCAAATTGATGCAGATATCAGCACACAAAGTACCACAAGCGTAAGTCTGCCTTCTCCATTTTGATCTTTTAAAGATGAAGCAAATAGTTCAGCTGACATTGATAACTGATTTTGCTTCACCTAACATAAAAATTTTGATTACAGAAACAAAGAATCAATGGGCGCGTGATGATCCTGCATTTGTTGTTATATGCACTGTTCTTTTGGCGGTTTGTACTTCAGCTTACTGCGTGGCGTAAGTGTATCCCTCTCCCCATGATTATTTTCATGATGCTGGTTTTTGAGTGAATTCTGTTTACGGACAGTGTTGAGATAATTCATTATACATTGTGGTGGACAATTTAGGAATCTCAAAGAGACATTTAGAGTTCTTTTTTGGGTCAATCGTAGGCTATTTTTTTAATCTTAATTCTTAAAGTTTTTGTTGCGCACAAAACACTTTTCAAGAATTTTTAAGAATACGTGTCTTTGCGGATGATTTTTAAATCTGATGCCGGTGGAAGCATGAAGTTAAGGAATATGCCTTGATCCATAATAAAGACTAATGCTCTTTTTAGCAAACCTGCAAAAATAATGAATCAGGCGAAGAATGTTTCTTTCCTTAATCTTAATTATGAAATTACAGAGTCTATACTGTTCTCCTCTTAGACTTCGTTGCTTGTTTGTAGACTTCAAATTCATAGAAAATTCCAACATATCTCCCTGTTTTCGTTGATTTTGTCTTGTTACAGAATTTCATTACTTTTCTCTTGTTTCAGGTATGATCATAGCCTGGGGCATGCTGTTTATGTTGTTATATCAGTTTTGCTTTTTCATTTTCTGATAACCGGTGCAGTTTTGGCAACTTGCTGCTGGTAAGCTTGTGTAACTCACATAGGTTCTTTATTTAGACTAATTAAGAAAGAGGGATTAGAGGAAAATGGTTACAGAGCTGAATACCTTTCCCTAATTTTCTAACTTCGTTATCAATAGCTCAAGCTCTAGCTTGTTGGCAACCGTTAGCAGTAATGATACTTCGCAGATCTTATATGGTTTTCCTCAATAGGATTCATCTAATGCTTTATGTAGGATGATCACTTAAAGTTAAACCTGTTCTTGTGGTTGTCAAGGACTGGGACAAATCTTACCATTATTACGTCTTTCGAACTTTCTGTCTTAGGCTTTTAGCAATGAGGTAGAGGAATGTCCTGTTTGGGGGTTTTCAGCTCAATGTGATCAGTCCTTATCCCTTAACCAGTTATTTTTGTTTACGTTTTATGTGTGCTGAAGTACTCACTACGTGCTTGTCTAATTTTATATTAATGTAGGTTCTTGACCAATAACTATCTTCGCGAAGAAGTTCCAAACAGTCATGTGGTGGAGCAACGAGTAGAATGGTTACTCCAGAACCTTCAATAACCTACAATCCTTTTAATGCATTCTCCTTTTGTCTGAATCTATTGTTGATTGAACGTTTGAATCCAAATGCTAAATATGTATTCCACCTTTGTGAAGGTTGTATGCATTTGATGTACACTGCAACTCGTTCTTTCCGATGTTCGTGCTGTTGTATGGTGAGATCTGGGTTCGTTTACATTTTGGGCAATTGGTGGCTTAAATATTGATTTTTGTGCACTACTGATGATCCCTTTTGTTTTTTAATGGCAGTCATTCATTACTTCTTGTCCCCTGTCTTGATTGCTCATGGTTTCATCCCTGTTTTGCTCTCAAATCTGCTGTTTATGGTGGCTGCTTCCTACTATCATTATCTAAATTTTTTGGGCTATGATGGTAAGAGAAGTTCTGAAACTCATGCAGTTTCCTATCCCATGTTATAGCTCAAGACCTAATGTATGAGTAGTTATCCATCTTATATCAGTCTCCGCATTTTGCATGTCAAACATCTTTCTTTCAGTTGCTAAATCAAATGTTTAAGGTTTAAAGATTGATAAAGTTTTTCTTGTACCTTATTTAAATGGTTAAGGGCATTGTATTTACTTGTATCTCAATTTTTTCTTTCCCAAGCTTATGTTAAATACTATTTACCTCTACCTGTTGCAGTGCTACCATTCTTGGAGAAAACAACTTTCTTCCTATATCCGATTGGCCTTGTACTTGTCCTCTCGCCCATCTGTAAGTGTCCTCATCTTTTTTGGTACTTGTCCTCTCATCTGCAGTGCTACCATTTTTTTTTTTTTTTTCCTTTTTTGGTATTATTTGATGACACTTTCTTCGCTTCCTTTTTACTTCTTTTTCCTGGTTCCAGTCATTCTGAGTGGCTTCAATCCATCAAGATATTTCATGAATCTGTACTTCAGTCAGTTGGAATGATTACAACTAACCGTTAAGATGGTGTCAAAGATGCAAAAAGATCAGAAGGTCGTGCTTCTGCAAAACGCGAGCTTATGCGGTTAGTAATCTGACCGTGCTCTTTGAAGGCCGTGGAATTTGGGACCGAGGGTTTGTGAATCTTAGTTAAGGCCTTATTTTGTTGGGACTCGAGACTATACTTAGGTTGGAAGGTCCCTTAGAATTGATCGGCTGAGGAACTTGATAAGTGAAGAACTGTTTTAATTCCTTAGGTGATAGGTCTTTTGATTTTTCTCTTTGTAATCCTTGATGGGAAATCTAGACTACACCATTTTTTATGGCGGAAGCTACTAGAAGAGTTAATATTGTACCATATCTTGAGGGTATAGAAGACTTTACTCAGTTGCTGTGTTTACTGGCAGTACCTCCTTTTTTAGACCCTTCTTCATTTTTGGTTTTTAGAAGAGAACAAAAAAAAGCACTTTAAAACGCATGATATATACCTTACGCCAGGAACAAAACCTATCACCTACCAACAGCAAGATTCAATCTTTAAGACGTGTGTTATTCTGGGAAGCAGGTAATTAAAGTGAAGATGGTTTTCAAGTTACTACGGTGAAAGTGGGCAGCTGCTAATCTTAAAAATTGATATTGGTTTCTCATTTCTGCGGTAGGTAGGTAGTTGACAAATTTTGTGACTAAGTTGCGCTTCAATTGTCGTGTGGAAAGCTGGTTTCCACTTTCCACAAGCAACAACTGACCCGCACAAGATGGATAGAAGCCTTCGAGAAAAATTTGAGATCTAACGTAAGGTGGAACAACACAATAGATGTCAAATCGGGTCGAAATGAGCCACTTTTTACTGCCTATTTTAGTTCAATAAACAAAGACGACATCTGTTTTGTAGCTAACAATGATTGCGGGGCAAGCATACAAAACTCACCTACCACAACCATCCGAGAAACGCAAATGTGGACGATCAGTAGACAGATTCTCAGCCATCTTGTTGTTACATTAGATTTCTAAACATAAAAATATATATACAAAAAAAAAAAGAGAGCAGCACGTTCGGTTCCTTCGTCTTATACCCTGGCCGAACTCCCTAGTTTGTAGGAAAGCAAAGAGCTTTCAAATTGAAACATCAAGTAATACTTCCTTCAGTTTTTAATATAAGACATTTTGATTTGTTATAGGTTTTACCTAGTATGTATTTTTTATTGACAAAAAAACCTTAAAAAAATATTTTTACATTCGTCGTGTTCTCTTGATTGTTATGAAGTATTTTTAAAATTTTTTTGTCAATGAAAAATGTATAATAAATTAAATCTAAAAAAAGTCAAAATGTCTTATAATAAAGACTGGAGAGGGAGTATATCCAAATAACAACAAATGATTGAAAGAAAAATCAACACAAACAACAAAAAGCTCGCATTGATTCAATAACAGTACTGGAGAAATGGTAATTTCTAGCACATTTCATCATTCTTCTCATAGATATAGTAAAAAGGATGAGCTTATAAATATTTATATTGTGTGTAATGAAGATGATGAGTAAATTAGGCGTCGAGCTTGCTTCCAGCAACGTCCACAACAAATCTGTACCTAACATCATTCTTCTCCAGCCTTTCCATGGCGGTATTGACGTAATCCATCTTCACGACTTCAACCATGGAACTCAGGTTCTTTTCCTTGCAGAATTCCAGCATTTCTTCTGTCTCCTTCATGCTCCCAATAAAGCTTCCAGTGATCATCTTCCTTCCTGCAACATTATTTTAAAAATTAAAAATTTAAAAACTCAATTTGAACTATTTTTATGGGACCGAGGGAGTACTCATTTGGGTCTATTATTATAGGTTCTTAATTCTTTTTTTTATGGGTTATGATAAAGCCTTCACATAAAAGAAACCATCCGAAAAGTTAGCAAGCCGACTCAAGAAGTCACTTCAACCCAAAAAAAAAAAAAAAAAAAAGATTCGTTTAGTGCTGATTTAAAAATAAATATTAGAAGATAAGCCACAAACATCACTAGCATACTAAGTTCAAAAACATGAATGATTTTGTAAAGAACTGTCCAGGAGTTGAGACAGTTCATGAGCATTCAAAAGACAGATAATCTCTACATCTCCTTAAAATAATAGTACTACTTTTTTGTTAAACTAAAAGAAGCAATCTTTTTGAAACATCACAAATTTCCACCATACCTAAACCTCTACAAGTTTGATTAAAGGCTTTCCCACCAACCTCGCCAGACTCTCATTCCCATACTTTTTTCTTCCCAACAAATTTCACTTGGATTGATAATTAGATTAATGACTAGACTTCAGTCTCATTTTAAGGCAAACCACTTTTTCATTATTTTCTTTAGTATTTTTTTTCGCTCCTACAAAAATAATTTATATTGTAAACTAAAATTGTAATAATTTTTAGGGTAATTAGCAATATACAATATAAATTATTTTTATGAACCAGAAAGTAATTTCTTTTTTGGGGTAAGATTCATATAATTTGACATAATCATCATCAAAGTAAAATGTCTAATTAAATTTAAGACAAAATCAATTGCAATTTTCAAAATCAAACATGAAATAAAAAAATCACTCTTATTGAACTCACCAAGCATGACCATGGGGGTGACGAATTGCAAAGGAGTGTTAATAACGCCCATCAAAATCAACTTCCCGTCGACTTTCAACAAAGACAAATACGGCTCCAGCGGGTGAAACACCGGCACCGTGTCGATGATGTAGTCCAGCGAATCCGCCACCTCTTGCATCTTTGCCGCGTCGGAGCTGACCAAGTACTCGTCGGCGCCCAGGTGCTCCAGGGCCTCCTCTCTCTTCTTATTGGACGAGCTTATCACGGTCACATGGTGGCCCATGGCTTTCGCTATCTTCACTCCCATGTGTCCAACTCCTCCCAGCCCAAGTATGGCTCCTCTCAGCCCACTTTTCTTCAGCCCGAAATGCGAGAGTGGACTGTACACCGTCACCCCGGCGCATAGTAATGGTGCGGCCTGTTCCGGCGACATTCCGTCCGGTATCTTCACCACAAACCTGTCGTCCATCCATTTTAATAACATTTTGTTAATTTATTTATATTCTTTTCGTTTTAAAATAATTATCTAGTTTAGATATTCATTTTTATTATAATCTGTATCGAAATTGAGAATCTTAACTAAATAATCATTTCAGAACGAAAGAAAAAGAAAGACATCATGTAAATTTTTATATATATATATATATATATATATATATATTTCGAATTTGGATTGGGCTTACTTGTGATCAACGACCATGGCACCAGCAAAACCACCTTGGGTGGGTTTGCCGTCAGTGTAAACATCATTGTAAGACCAAATCTTTTTGTTGCAGTACTGCTCGATGTCGGCCTCGCAGGGTCGACATTTCCGGCAGCATCCCACCAAGCAACCAACTCCGACGACATCTCCAGCCTTGAATTTGGTCACGTCCGATCCCACCTCCACAACTTCACCCACAACTTCGTGCCTAAAGTTAATTAAAGATTCACAAAAATCAGATAGTATAAATTAAGGCATGATGTTAAATGGTCGAAACACATAAAAACTTAATTCGAAAAATGACACGTACCCTGGAACCATAGGGTAATTGGACATGCCAAGGTCATTTTTGACCTGGTGAAGATCAGTATGGCAAATCCCGCAGCTTATCACCTTGATATAAACATCTTCCGGGCGGGTATTCCTGTAAACATTATTGCATTTTCTTTACATTAATTAATTAACAAGAAATTGATGAACTAATAAGAAGCATAAATGAAAAGGTGCGTAAGTGATCGAGACCTGAGAGTGTAATTGTAGGGTGATAGGATTCCTGAAGGGTCTCTTGCTGCCCATCCAGTTGTTTTCCTCTCGACTTCTAAGCTGCCCATTTTTGATTAATTAGCAACAAAACACGAAGAAAAAAAAAACAATGCTGGAGCTTTTGAGAGAAAAAGAGGGAAGATGAAAGAGAATGAGTGGTGAGTTAATCAATCAATGTTGATGACGAGGAGAAGCACTAGCAAGTATATATATAGTGTAGTGACTCAAGACATGTGAAATATGGGAAAGATAGGCACAAACCATCAAGAAATTAGGATAAAAAGTTAGGAGCACTACACAAAAATATTTGTACTTTGGAAATATTAGTCAATTGATAAATAAATAAATAAATAAAAACTATAGAAAGACATGCACATTTCAACAACAACAGGTCCCGTTGTTGTGTAGTAGGTGAGACCATTTCAGACTTTTCACTTGTTCCATTCGATTTCTTATTTTAATCATTTCAATCGAAAATAAAACACTTTTTTTTTATAATGAAAATAAAACACTAAAATTTGGATATGCTTGTGTCGATGAATCTCCAGAGATCGACTCTAACGTTAATGTCAATTAGTGGAATGTTTACATATATAGACCTTTTGAAATTAGGGGAAGTTGATCTGTAGGGCGAACTTTCAAATATTTTGAAGAAGACTTGAATGAATCAGTATACAAGGAATCGAGTCGTATTCAAGCAGTTATGGCGTTATATTTTTAACCGCGAGTTTTACGATTAGACTTCTACCGTGGACATGGGAAGCAAGCAACTAAAGGACAAAACAAGTAGTTGACCAGCAGTCAGTTTAAGTAAGTAGAAGGCCTGTCATCATTGGCCACGGAGAACCGGACACATCGAGCAAGAGGTACACGCGAATGGAATTTCCCCCTAATAGTATTATCCCCTTTCTCAGTAGGCTCTACCCCGTTGTAATAGCATAGATATTTCCAACGGCCTAAAAAAAAGAATTAGTATACAATCTGAGTTCAAATGATCATGGTATATTGGTATGTACCTTTACAAACTGGAACTGAATATTTATTTTGTACATTTTTTTCATGGATAATATGAGAAAAAAGAGAAGGGAGGAATTCGGAAAAGGGGCCCTGGCGGGTTTGGTGAATGGCAATACGTCAACACTGCATCACTATCTCATAATCTCTCTTTATTAAAATCTTTTCTCTTTTCCCTTTTTTATAATTTGTAAATTTCACCATGTATGCTTTCTTTGGGTTGGCTTTACAAATTAGAAGCAACTGGAGTCCACAGCCATAATACATTGCTTTTCCAACATCATTATTTGCCTTTTCAGCTTTTACCAATCAAACATGCAATTTCTGAGAGCTAACATATTACTTTGGACTGGTTCTTGGTTAATTTAATCTCTCTCTCGAACCGATATGTCAACTTGTGCCTACATCGTATGATGTCGGGCAGTTAAAATATTACGGTAAACTCTTGTCCGTATATAAGAGAAACAAATCGAAGTTCATGACAGACTCTTCAAGCCGTTTTAATACTTCAACCCTAAATTAATTTGATTGTAATTAACACGGTAGGTGGACAGCTAATCTAGTTGTGCATGGCATTTACGTACCAATCATAACCCATATGGGGTTAAGTAATTAAATTATTTTTATCATATGTATCCATTTTTTATTATTTTTATTTTTTTAGTGTCTATTTAGCGAAGTGCGGACAGTAAGTTGAACCAAGTAGATGGGAGGAGTCGTTCGTTGAGCTGCATTCATCATTGACAGAGTCTTACCAAATCCAACTTCATCATGCTTAATATACGAAATCACATCTACGTAAAACCCTTCTATATATATATATATATATATATATGGACTCGATCAGGATGAGGTTATTGTATATATTTGAATGTATATTTTAATAGTTGTAAGTTGAAATGGCAAGTTTACCAACCCCATTGGTCCTAATGAAAATGGTGCACTCTACTGCACTCATCATAAGATGAAGGAGATAAAGGTTCACTTGAAAGCAATCCCCTTTGCAGGGAAAAAAAAAAAAAAAAAACCTTTAAATTTTTTATTTATTTATTTTTTAAGTGTTCTGGACTTCTGGTGTTAATTGTTTTGACATATCATCAAGACTCGATACATGCTGTCGGTTTGGTCCTCAGATCAGCTAGAAAAATCTCTCAAGAAATGGTTTTAACCGTTCGTCTTTTAAGATGTTTTCTCAAGGAAGCCCCCAAAGTTTCTCCACAGGCCTCTGTTTTCCTTTCATCATAATTATTTTTTGGCTCCTTATTTTTGGTGGGGTTTCTGAAAAGGCAGTTCTGTAGCGTAATCTTTGGTTCCTCCTATTTGGATTGGAAAGGATTATGAAACAGTTGCAGCAACAACAATAAACTATTCGAATTACACGAACTTGTATAGTTGTACTATGTGTTTACAGTACATCTAATCTTGCTCGATTGCTTAAGCCCAGTCCCATTGTCCTCACCTTCCGACCTGAGATTGAGATTTTCTCTCCATTCCAAACTAACTGTAATCTTTGTTGTTTTATGTTTTGTACAACGAACATGACCACCATTATAGAATGAACGAAATACCAATCAAACAGTAATATATACTCTTTATTCCATAAAAGTAGTTCATATTAAGTTTGAAATTTGTACTATCTCCAACAAGATTTTAGTCATTCTCTACATGGCAGTGTCATTCCAACATAAACAGCTGAAAATGATAGTTTAGGCACAGAGCGCGTTAAGAAGTAGTTCCCGGTTAATTTGCACCTCAAAATCTCCAAAAGTCATTTACTACACTAATGCAAAGTCTTCGTAAAAAGCCACAATCAAATCATTTCTTGCCTGCAGATGATCAACAAATGAACCCTTAAGGAATCATGTGAACACATACACTCACACAGTATCTAATACTCCAGCTACTAATAATTCCAAATGCCTAGTGAATGTAAACCAACGACTTGGAAATTGGAATTTTTTGGCCGTAGAAGGCCAGAAGTACTGTACTAAGTTAGTTGACCTTTTTTAAACATCAACAAATTCCATCAAGCTGGCTTGGACAAGTACTTTTCATCAAACATCAAATTCAACTTCACTCGTGGCTTTTCAGATACAGATTGATACCTAATATATAGATGGTGAATTTGTCAAGTGATCCCCTAATCTTGAAAACTTCATAATTTATGGGCACAATTTCTTTTTATCTAGATTTACCAAGTCCGGGACTAGTCAACAAGGCTACATCTTAACCACAATGATGATTTTCCAATACTGGCTCAGCAGTCCAAATCAGAGTGGTTTTCTTCCCCAGAGGAATAAAGAAACAAACTCAGTGACCTGACCCCAGAGCCAAATAGGGCAGGGACTTTTGCGCTACCTTTTCTGCAATGTTTTAATAGCAGGATCCGACTTTCACCTTGCAACCCAACTCATTCTGAAGAAAATAGGCAACTCACTAGCTAGTCAAAACGTAATGTGGATCAAAGGAAATTATAGCCTGGGAGTGTGTATAATTACATTTTCAGTACTCACAAGGAAGACCTAAAACTGGAAGTCGGAGTTCATTAAGTCCCAACTCATTTGCATATGTAATGGTAAAGGAGCTTTCAATTTAATGCTTCTTAGTTCTTTCAGATCAGAATCTGTGATCGACGATTCCACGCGTTGCATAACAGGAGAGATATCAGGTAAAATCATTTCCTTACAGTGAAGGTGAAGACGGGGTTGCTTATCTGAAATGCTTCCATCTCTGAAATCAAGGCCAAAGGGATCTAACTTTTCCTTCGGCAGCTCCCTATAGAGTTCTTTAATGAGAGTTGAAGAAGAAAGATGTTTGAGGTTCTTGTGCGCTTGCCACCCATACTTGTAGTCCCCAACTATTGGTGTTCCCAATACCTCAGCGCAGTGAACGCGTAGCTTCAATAGGCAGACAAGTGAAAAGACGATCAATATGACACATTAGGAAAATAAGTTAAAAATTTAAATCGCACTATTTTCTACCACTAGTGTATTACCTGGTGCTTTCTTCCGGTAAGAGGCGATAATTCTACCCAGGTGAAGCCTGCAATAATAACACTATCTTAGAAAAATAAGAAAGACAAGAAACTCCTGCAATAAAATCATTTTATAAGGAGCCTGGGTTTGAAGATAAGTTACAGAAAATTCCACACAAGAACAATCATGGCACAGGAACGAATTCCTAAATAGCTTGCTGGATCATGAAAACATGGGATGGAAAAACAGGACTCTGCAAAAACTTAAGTTTGATTTTCTAACTGCAGTTTATGATATGTAGCAAGAAAAACTGAGAGATGCCTATCTGAAACTTCACACGAAATATAATAGCAGCATTGGAGCTCATCAGCAGGATAAATGGCGAGAGCGATAAAGATGAGAAGGAATGTGGCAATCGTGAAATAAAATGAGTAAATTACTGAAGGCTTGTATCAACATCACCCCTCATGTACCTCATATTTATTTCTTCATAAAGATAGCAACAAAATATGTTCAGAACTAACCATGGCAAGAAGATCCAATCACTTTGTATTCTGTCACAGCATTCTGTGCTGATGACGATTGAATATTCTCAAACACTGTTATTCGATCAGATCTACCATTGTCTATCAAAACCTAGAAAAAAAAAACAAATGTCAGTCACCAGGTGCTGGTATACATCCATAGGGCCATGAATTGGTGTGACAGCTCACATTAGCAAATTCTCCAATTTATCAATGCATTTGAAACTAAAACTTAGTTCATAAATCATGGATCTTGGTTCACTCACCAAACTCCTAGCGCATGTCAAGTCAATCATAAGTCTACTACAACAATTATTACAACTAAAAAGAAAAAGAAGAAACCATGACTGGCTACTGGAGTTTTTAACACACCGTCAATATGGAAAAAACTTCCGGTTCTGGCACCAAAACTCACTTGCACAAAGAGCAACCCTCACCTTACCCAATGGCTTTGAGATCAGTCCTTTGGGATATCTAGGAGATCCGACAACAAGTGCCCAATATGTCTTTTGGATGATTTGACTTCTGCAGTCGGGATCCTAAACACATTACATGATGTAAATGAGATCCATAAAGAAACAGACAACAGTTTCAATGCATTAAAATAGGGGAGAGAAACAAAAAAATATCAGTAGGAATTGGGGCAGTGACATACATGTTCAGCTGCCTCGAGTGTTTTCTCGCGAAAGATAGAATGAAGAGCTGCAGTACTCAACTTTGATCTTCCCATCACCAATATGCCACTACAGTCTCTATCAAGCCTATGCACCTAATAAACAATATGCTTGCCAGAAGCAAGCTACAAGAGTTGAGATAAATCATTAAACAGAAAGTATAATTTGAACAATGCTGGTTGCACATTGCATACAGAATGTGCATATCTGATATAGAACTTCCCATTTCTCTTAATTTATTAAGTTCTGAAACTATTTTCGGCAAGTCAAATTGTGTAGGCAATGCATTATTCACAGAAAAAAAAAATGCAGTTAAAAAAGCTGAAATTCCATAGATACTTATTTTATAAAGTACACTGGGGCTGAGGCTGGCTCGTGCAAGTATGCAACAAGCTAACATTGATATCTTACATGCGAATTTGTCAAAATTGAGGGAGTTAAAACAGCGACAAACAGCAACAAAACAGCAACAAACTTTAATCAGAGTTTAATTTGGCACATTCCATTGCAGACGCATAAGGAATCACTCTTTTCAACTTTTAATGTTCTCTACTGAGGCAGCACTATGGACTAGTGTTAGCAAAAAAAAGAAAAAAAAAGAAAGAATTAAAACATAGAGAACTCACCAAGCGAGGAGATTCTGAATTATTGAACCTCAAATACTTGGCAGCCAGTTCATCCAAACCCCTATTGATGCCAATGCCACCCTGCCCAAACTCTAGTATTCTCAATGAGGACTGAGGAATCTATAAAATCTACAATCTTTGAACAAAGTTAGCTGTGGTTAGTTACAGGAACAATTACCTGTACAGGCATTCCATGCGGCTTATTCACAACAATGATAGATTGATCCTGACATATGTTAAAAATGGAAGTGAAATACTGTATAACATTTGCATATCTTACACCCCAAAACAGAAAAGGAGAATGACAATTTAAAAAAAAAAAGAAAGAAAAGGGAAATAACCTAGAATATGCAAACTAAACAGTGTACTGACCTTGTAAAGTATAAGGTTACGAAGAAACTTCATTTCTTCTTCATCACAAGTGTCATCAGCTTTTGCTGAAGGAACATTCTTTCCAACTGTCACAGGTAAATATAATGTGTCTCCGGAATTCAACATATCTTTAGCCGATACCTAATTAGCACAAAAGATAAAATTACAAAAGACAAAAATAAAAATGCAACAACTTAAACACAAGCAGGTTACCGTCTTGAAACTTAGTAACAGTTAGTAATTTAGTAAGTTGGGATTCGAAAAGTTATACCCTTTTGAGTTGACGTTCTTGAACTTCACCATTACGGGAATCTCTCCGTACCCTTCTCAAGCGGAAGAGTTTCTGCACGAGGGATCTTGGCAGTTCAGGGCAGCATCGGATAACCCATTTGAGCGCCGTTACAGTGGATACGGCTGAAGGGCCTTTCTCTCTGCCACTCATATGGCTTCGGGAAATAGCTTTACCTAGAACGGCGCCGTCGACGGTGGGAGTGAACGGAGGCAGGGTGAACCATTTGTTTTCCTTTTTATCGATTTTGTAACTGCCGAAATCTTCTTCTTCTTCTTCGACAGCTGCGCTACTACCGTATGGACATCGTAGCTGAAACGAATTTGAAGTTCGGGATTCTTTTAATCGGAATACGGCGAACAATGGCGACGACCGGGAAACACAGCGGCGGATGACGGAGAAGTCCGCCATGACTTTGTCCCCTCGGTTTGGGCTTTACCGGGTGCTGATGCCTATAATAAAAGCTAAGATTGACCTTGTTCTGGGCTTTTAGTTTTTGGATTCACCATCATAAAAAGCCCATTTACTTCTTAGGAGTTATGGATTTAGAAAGAGATTCGTGAACACGGCCCACGAGAAAGATTGACATTTTTTTTTCCCACAATTAACTTTGTATTAACCGACCAGCGTTTGGATCAGTTGGCAAGGTGCTGATCCAGCTTAAGCAGAGATATCGGGTTGGAGACCATACGTACGCATCCGTGTTAAAAGGCTGGTTGGTAGAGGTTGCCTCCCGAAAGGAACCTACCCACCTCGAGTCCAGATTAGTCAGCGGTCAGTCGACACCCACGAGTGTAACGATAGCGGTTGGATACGGATACGTATGTAAAAAAATAAAATAAAATTGACTTTGTATTATTTTAATGGTCTTTTTTAGTACAATTATAATGAAATTTTTTTGTAGAAAGAAGAAGCAGGCTAAAACTTAATAAATTATTGAATCAGAACCGTTTGTTGGTAGGAAGGAATGGTATTCGAAATTTTTTTTTCCCCTCAATTGCCATGTTTGATGTTAGGGAGCTAGAGTGGACTTTAGATCAAACAGGAAGAACTTTCGAATGATTATGCTGAGAGGTAGAAAACGTACGCCTACCGAATTTGGTCAACGCACGCCTACCGATTCCTTTAGATTAAAGTCCAAACTAACATGAAATGAGCTAATAATTTGTCCTGTATGTTGTGAAAAGATAACAGTTAATTCCGCAATTCCCATAGTTAGCCAAGCTTGGTGATGAGGAAAGAAGACTGTTACATCTAAATGCTTGATTTTGAGGCCTAAAGAAACAAATAAAAACAAGTGTCGGGTAGAGATCAGGGATGTTAATGATATAATGTACTACAATTGTGAGTATTTGATACAAGGAAATTTAATTAGTAGTAAAAATAATCATAAATAATCACAAAGTTGAGGTCCTTATCCTCCATCCGATGATGTTCATGCGTTATAACACTCTAACGGTAAAGTATTTCTTTTTCTTTTTCTTTTTGGTTACAATGACAAAGTACGTTTTACTAGCTAGCTAGTAAAGTATTAGCACTAATGAACTAGCATTGACATTTTGTCTCCTGTGGGGGTTCAATCATGGGAATTTCAACTGAAATTCGTGACCAACAAATCACCTGACCTTCCCTATCACTGGCATTTTAATTGCCATTGCCTCTGGTATATCTATGTCCTTCACCCGGAGAAGGACCCGAATTCTGCATTGCTCCAACTGTTTTCCTCCAATCCTTTGATCCATTTCCAGTACCCGGGCTCGGCCCCGAATTCTTCGACTCCTTCATGTTCGGAGACATTCGTACGGAAACACTTAACATTCGCCGCGCTTCTGTACAATGTTGTGCCAGTAACAAACATACAAAAGATACCCACAACAACAACAAACAAATGGAGAAAGATTTAAGGAAACCCATTTTTTTTCTTAAGATTTTCGTAAAAGAAGAGACGATCTCTGAGTTTGTTAATTATCTTAAGCGATCGGGATTTAAGTATAGGCTTCGGAACTAATCAATTTATAGTGCTGGGATTCGGGAGGAATTTAGGTGGGAATCATTGACTTGCGGAGAATGGTAATCAATGTAGGAGACGAATGTAAGGTTTTGGTTTGAGCAGCTGACGTGCCGCCATCTCTTGGCTTTTTTAGTTGAGGTTACTTGACAAAACGTGGTGGGTTTTCATGCATGAAGGAATATTTACTTTTCTAAGTAAGATTTCATGTTTGGAAAATGGATACATCAGTGAGGAAAAAACTGGAAAATTTTACATCTATCTATTACGTTTGTCCGAGGAGTGAGCGAGGAGTTCATTTTTAGCTACAGTTTTCAACCTCTTTTTTTTTTTTGACATAATTATTTGGACGTGGAAGTCTATTACTGGATGTGAGAATGAAAAATGTCATTATCAGCTTTAAACTTTCGGAAATTATGGAGCATTTACAGCGATTTTGGGAGTTTATATGCAGATTCATGCGAATTTGCCATGCATGCATGAGTACATTACACGGCAAAGGTATTTAGTGGGTAAGAAGAAGGCTTAATTACCATGGGAATCCTGAAGTTGTCAAACGTTGGATATGTACTTGGATCGATTGTCTTATAATTAGAGAGAGTTGGGTGGATATGTACTTGGATCGATTGTCTTATAATTAGAGAGAGTTGACCCAAAAAAATAATGAGCAGAACAGTAGTTTGGATATGCGATACAGTAGACGAGATATGACTAACCAACGAAATTTGTCTAAATTAATTCTCTCTGCTCAACGTTCATGGCCTGGCGTGCAGTAGATGTTTTACGCTAATCAAATTCATAGTTCCAATGGCAGTGGAGAATTGCACTGAAGTTTGACTTCCATGCACAATAAAAATCAACGTTTGATTCCCGGTAACGTTTCCAAGTGACCTTAATTGAATCCTATAAATCCACTTTTAAGTAATTGCCGATTACTCCCTCCGTCCCATAATTATTATCTAATTTTACTAAAATGAAAGATTTTATTTTTAGTCAAACTTAACTATATTTTACCTTAAACAATCGGATGTACCCCTACATAAGTAATTGTTTAACCACTAAGATTTTATGGATAATGTCTTTTACTAAGGACAAATGTGTAACTTGATCCATAAAAAGTCAAATTGGACAATAATTTTGGGACAAAATTTTTTGGACAAAGTGGACAATAATTATGGGACGGAGGGAGTATTAGATATTTCTCCATACAAGACACAAATCAAAAGGATACTACATGCAAGGGTTAGATAAAGTAATAATTAGTCATCCTTTTCATAAAAACACAATTCGCCTGTAGAATTCAGCCCTCCAACTAATGGCTCGGGAGACGTACAGTAATTGGAAATTTGCAATGTTTGAGATTTTTCAAATTTCAAAATTGAGTATAGACGCTATGTATAATGGAAATATTGTTATACGAGGATTAATTATTGTGTCAAGTTTCATAGCCAGGAAGCTGCGCAATACCATCTGAAGATAATTAAGCAGATTTTGTTAGTTAAGAATACATTGCATTGGGATGATGAAATGAGGGGGAAAGAACATGAAAAGGAATACATCAAAGTTTATGGACGGGTAATGGTTTGATGGGAAACCGAACCCACCTCACTTTAGGTCAGGGCCGGCTACTTATGGCTGTATCCCTTTGTAGTTTGTAGTAAGTCCCAATATTTTGACTGTTTTCGTGGCTTTAGGCCATTTCCAATTGGAGAAAGGCGCCTTTCTCGATGCTTCATTCTTTCCTTTTTCTTTTTCTGGGGGTACTTCCAGCATGGGAAGGGAATTTGGCGTACAGTATTCTGTAATATTTGGGATAATTCCATACCAACTAATTAATTTTGTTCATACACACCGCCGGAGTTTAAAGTTTAAACTTACCGCCCGCTAAATCCAAATCGAGTCGCCTTAGACTCTTTGATATATTGGTATAAAGGAGGAGACATAAGTCTCACCGAAATTAAATTAAAAATGTTTTGTTAATAGAAGACGCCAATAATATCACGACTTCACTCTAAATTAACAGGAAATCATCTAATCACTTTACTCACCGGAATATTTGCAACTGAATTAGCCAAGTAATCTGCCACAAAATTTGATTCGCGAAAATTATATTTAAGAATTACACACCAATCCCTTCAAAACATATCATAAATATTTTAGTTATGTATGCTTATATCAGGATTCGAACGTGGTTATAACTTCAAAACATATCATAAATATTTTAGTTATGGAAAATGACTGGATATATAACCGATACAAATTAAGGAAAAGAAACAAAATAGTGATGCATAATATTATGGCTACACTATACTTAACAATAAACCGCAAGTCGAGTAATGATTGATATGAATGACATTCATTTTACACAGCGGTTCATGGTCTTCATAAAAAAAAAATATTGAGCTCATGTATTGTATCTTTTACGTGCAACAAATATTATGGTGTTAAAACTTCCATAAAATTTATCACTTTCTCTTATTAAAATTACTATTTTATCTTACTTATTATTTTTTACTATAAAATATTACGATATTCAACGATGAACTAACTAAGTGTTTGATGGATCTACTAATCCTCCCCAACGACTGGAGATACGAATAGAAGTACTAAAGTACATATAGCGTGAGCAGTTCAATATTTCGTGGCTTCCTTCAACCCCCGATTTCAAAAGAAAAAAGTCCCATCGGGGGTTGAATTGAAAGGGAAGGCTCTTAGTTAGGGGGATATTTGGTAATAGAAGTTACATATTCTAGAAATGTGCTGATTTTAATCTATACTTGTAATCTCTTTCTCTGTAATCAAAAAAAAAAGTTGCAAGTCCATGTGTTTTTAGGAAGAAGACGTCTCCAAGTTTTTAAGTATTATCAGTCAATACCTGTAGTTTCATATTTATTTAAGATGACCGCGGATTGTTTAAATCATTGTAATAGTTTTATAGAGTTTTGATTGAATCTTTTAAGATGTTAGACATTACAATTCTACCTCATTTCCATTCTAAATCCATATGCTTTAGTTTTCAAAATTTCTAAATTGGACCTTGGATCTAACAATTTAGTAATGCATATATGTGTGTTTGTTCATATTTTAAGATTGTGACATAATATATGTATTAATTAAGAATATAGAAAAATATTTATACGAGACAAAAAATAAAATTACATTCCTTTTAAGTAAGCAATAATTGAAATGATTTTTTTTGTACATATTTCTAAAATTATACTTCTTGTACGCCAAAAAACAAAAAAAAATCTGTCTATATAATTCAAACCCCCAACCTTAAAATCTGGTTCAGCCACTGGGTCCAAGGAGCGCGTTGGGCTGGACAATCTGATGAGGTCATCGTATTGTTGGATATCAAAGTCCAAGTCTGCAACTGTTTTGACTTGAGTAGATGTGTGCCAAA